CGAAATTCTCAAAAGGCATTAAGTTTTCTATAAGAAATGGCCCTTACTTGTTTCCAATGTTTTAAATTTTGACAAGGATATCACATGTCTGGACATGTCATAGCCGAGAGCCGCGATGCGGTCCTATACAGTCAAGACATGACCCTGCATCACGGCCGAGAACACCACCTTCATAAATCCTATTCAGATTCTAGTGGCCGATTACCCCTCGTATTTTCTTGAGATTTTTAAAATATATTTCCTGTGGGTTTTTGACTGAAAAGTCAATATCGATGTACTCCCAGATAATTTCCCTATACATACACGTAACTGTCATATTTTGGTGATCATACATTTAGATATTAATGGGCCTGAAACCCGTTGAGTTCTTGTTTCAACGATAGCGAGCTGACATGTTGACATGTTGTGCGCATGCGCCAAATTTCTATAGTCCGTATCGGAGGACCCTCTTCATTAGCGGTAGGCAATACTCTCTCTCACCTCCCGTTTTGCGCGCTCGTGATTTGGGTGAATCACACTTAATGTATATTATATTTATCTGCTTTTTGTCATAATTTACAGATTTTCCTCGCAGAGAGGATTCCATTCATATCTCTACAAAAAGATATGTCCATGGGATCTAGCAGATTTATTAATGTACAACGTAGTGCACAGGACACTTAAGGGGGCACGATCTTGTCACTTTCACTCTCCGGGACCACTATTTTTCCAGTTCAACGCCTGGCCGAGAATTTCAAGTATTCTCCAAATTTTCTTTTCTGTGTTGTTAAAAAAGATCCAAGCAGACTTTAGTTTAAGATTAGAATGTTATTAGTTATTACAGTCATAAATTACATTTCGCTGGACAATATGAATGTTTGAAGTTAATCTATTGTAAATTATTGTTAAACATGCGGGGTAGACATAGCTGTACAATATAGTCTGGTTATGTAAAACAAGGTCACAAATTTGTTGTATTCACAGACTGTGTATGAGATATATTTTTCTGAAAGATATAGATTTCAGGAGGTGTGTTTTAGTTCGGTAGTATTATGGAGATACTCTTTTGTGTAGACGTAATGTTTGTTGCAAGGTATATCAAATTCAGACGTCATTACATTTTTCTTTAAATCCAAAAATGAGGCGATTCTATTCTACATTTAGTTTAGTACCGGATTTATTTTCTATCTATTTTATAAGGTTGTGGCTCAATAGTTTTACCTGTGTACATTCAAATAACAAATGAATGACATTTTCAGTTTAAGCATTGCAGAAAGAATACATAGAATATGCTACAATTTTATATTGGAACATGTTTTTATCTGCTTCAGCATTCTATGAACAGTATGGTGTTGGAATTATCTTAACTTTGTCTTATACGTTGTTCTTAACGGTAAATAGTTTTCCATCCAATTATATTTCGATATTTCTGTATAAATATCATTTTGCCATTGTTATTGACTATGTTTTCCTTTAATGCAATATCCTTTAGACTGCAGCATAGATTAATCTGCATACTTTTCCCTCCATGTATATATAAAGTTCTGAGGTTACATGGATCGAATGGTTCTTCCAATATGCTATCCAATGGTACAGAATCTGAGATTCTTTCCATAGAATTTTTATAGATTTGATAAGATCTGTATGTTCTCAAAGAAAAATACTTTAGAGGATATATTAGTACAACAGAATGTTTCACTTTAGGAAAGTTATTAATATATTTTTAAATGTATATACACACATATTTATTAGGAATTATTCTGGTTATGAAATTTGTATTATATCTATTTATTGACAAAGGCGTTTAATGATTCACTAGGTGGCACATAGACGATCTTGTCACTGGTGCCTTTAACGATATGGAATTCGAATTTGTTTTGGGTTTCCATGGAAACGATTCCGACTTAGTCTCAAAAGGGAGGGTCGGGTTTCTTTTCCGGAGCACAACTGAAAAACTTCTTAATATCTTTCAGCAAAACTTGGCAGATATATGAGGCAGATGCCTTTTGCTATTTGGCAGATGTTTGGCATATTTTTCCCGATTTCCATGGAAACGATTTTGACTTAGTCAGAAAAGGGTGGGGTGATCCTTTCTCGAGCAATACTCAAGAACCGTTCAATATTTTGCACCAAAACCTGGTAGAAATATATGAAACAGTACCTTAAGTGGTGCCTTTGCTATTTGCAGATTTTGTGATTTATTATTTTCTCGGTTTCTATGGAAACGATTGGTGGCTTAGTCCCAAAAGGGAGGGGTGAGCTTTTTTCGAGCACAACTTGAAAAGCATTCAGTATCTTTCAAAAGAACTTGGCAGATATATTAGGCAAATTTTGAAATGGTGCCTTTTGCCATTTACAGATTTTTGGCATTTATGTTACTCATGATTTGCAAGGGATTTGGACTTAGTCTTTAAAAAATAAAGCTGGACTTTAAGTAACTGTCAGATGATTTGTTCTTTCAAATATGTGGGGCCGGGGATATGTCATCTTCTGATGACTCTTGCTTATAATATACACGACGTAATCACTATATTCAGTATATATATATTGCCAATAATCCCATGACATGATATTAAACTGTTCACTTTATTTCTGCAAGAACTATACCAAAAAAACGTAAAAACCCATGACATGTCCTCCTTTTGACCAATCGCTCAAGCATCCCTCTGACAGTTCATTTCTGGTGTCCCCGCCGTGAAAGGGTATTTTTAAGTTCACTCACTCACTCACCTTCTTCGTATAATTATGAAGAAAATAGCCACATGATAATGAACAATCAGAAGCCAGATCCGGGCATAATATTCGAGCATAAATATTACATTTGATTTTTGCAAAACAGGTGCTTCGCAGTAAGATGTACACAGTAAGATACATGGTAAACTATCCAATTGTTTATCTATCCAGGACATTATTCAAATGGTGAGCGAAATTAAACAGTGAGTTGAGATTATAGTCACATATCTTGTGTGGCAATATTTTAGCCATATCGTGACTAAAACAATTCATTTATCACTCCCTCCATTTCTGGTGTCCCTCGCCGTGATATTGCTTGAATATTGCTAAAAGTGGCGTAAAACAATACACACTCACTTCATCTCCATCCATCAGATTACCTAAACCGAGATTTTATACCTTGAACGGAAATTAGGTGAGATATATACTAAACAACATACAGATGTTATCTTTCTCCGGGGTTGCCAAATATGCACAACATGCAACTAATGTGGTGTCGTATTTTCAGTAATTTCATTACATTTGAAAATAAGGCTCGATCTGTTGATAATGATGAAACGTAAGTCAAAATACATCTCCAAAATCAGGCGAGTTTAGGAATCTAAGAACTAATTTCTAGGTAGATAGCACCATCCATTTAGCTGTTACCTCCTTTCTCATGAGCGATTTCCTAATTCATTATAATTTGTGATACTACCAAAACGTATCCGGTTACAATGTGGATTTTTGTATTGAAACAGATTGGCTCATCGTGTATATGTTTGTTTGTGTGTGTGCGTGCGCATGCGTGTGTCCTCTCTGTTGTCGCTTGACGTCAGAGGAAAATCAACTTTCGTCAACAAGCCATTTTTCACATTGAACGTAGAAAGTTATACATAAGCATACATAAGCAATTTCATATATTGTTATGTCGTTCAGATATCACGAAGTATTTTATTCGCACAAAGTTTCATTAAAGATTCTAAATAAAGAAATCATCACGTTGTAAACGGAGACATTTACTGCTTTTCAACGCATAATAAAATTGCGGACAACCTTTAACAAAGTCTACTTTCCAAATTACCTGTGTATTTGTGCTCCAAATTTACATCATCGGATAGGAAATTTAATACTCTACATATCTGTGTTATAGCCGTAGCTAGAAGCAGTGCATCACTAACGCAATTCTCGCTCAACGTTCATTTTTCAGAACTTCAGAGAAAATAAACCTCTGCTTCCTGGGGGTTAAGTGTCCTGTGCACTACGTTGTACATTAATAAATCTGCTAGATCCCATGGACATATCTTTTTGTAGAGATATGAATGGAATCCTCTCTGCAAGGAAAATCTGTAAATTATGACAAAAAGCAGATAAATATAATATACATTAAGTGTGATTCACCCAAATCACGAGCGCGCGAAACGGGAGGTGAGAGAGAGTATTGCCTACCGCTAATGAAGAACGTCCTCCGATACGGACTATAGAAATTTGGCGCATGCGCACAACATGTCAACATGTCAGCTCGCTATTGTTGAAACAAGAACTCAACGGGTTTCAGGCCCATTAATATCTAAATGTATGATCACCAAAATATGACAGTTACGTGTATGTATAGGGAAATTATCTGGGAGTACATCGATATTGACTTTTCAGTCAAAAACCCACAGGAAATATATTTTAAAAATCTCAAGAAAATACGAGGGGTAATCGGCCACTAGAATCTGAATAGGATTTATGAAGGTGGTGTTCTCGGCCGTGATGCAGGGTCATGTCTTGACTGTATAGGACCGCATCGCGGCTCTCGGCTAGACATGTCACAATTAGACCAGCAACGTAAACAAACAGAAGACAGGTGTGCTGTCAATTTACAACATGTGAAATAAATATTGTTTACATTTTATTTGAGCTGATAAAGTTACATTATTGATCTAGGGTTAAAAAGTAGTTGTTTGCTGAATATGAGCTATAACTTACGTTTGGTAACTTGACACGAAACAGTTTCCGGTCCAAACGAATGAAAGCGGTGTCACCAGAAGATCAAAGCTGCAGATATCGCGTAAGTTATCGCTACGTATCGCAACAATTACCATTCAAAATGGGTGATCGAAGTTACATGTCGATCGAAGTTGTATGACTTGACGATATGTTTTTGTCTTACATCGTCGAAAACCCCTGACAACGGCATATGTCATGAATAAGTGATAATTGTGTTTTAATTATGTTTGATTTTTTTTTTGTTTCATGTGACCTTTAACCGGGACCATTAACCGTCTTCAGGAGAAAGTAATTATCGAACCCTGTTAACTTACGTAGGACTCAACGATGTTCTTCCTACATGCACGACAAACACGCCGTTGTGTCTTATTTACGTTTCCCGCAAAATTATCTGCCCTTGGTGGAGCGGATACTGAAAACGTTTCGTATTTTGTCAAACAAAATGATACTCTTATTGCACATGAGTTATTCAAATATTAATACATTGTATGGCTCCATTATATCGCAAACGAATTGATTAATCTATCTAGAAATATTCTTAGGAGAAAATTCGCACCAAAGTTATTAGCTTTATATGGCCACAACCATCTTCCGGTGAGAAGATGTTGCGTATGCGAAGAGAAAGCTAGCAATAATAAAGATTTCCCCGTGAAATATTCATGCACGATGTCCCGCCACAGGGCTGTGCGTGGCATGAACCTAGATGATGGTAAGTATCACTTGTGAAGGATGGCGTACCTCTGTTATTCGATCTGACGATTCCAAACATGCTGGCTACGGCAGAAAGGAACTTGCCGCGACATTAGATCTACATTTAACCAGACGATGTTGTATTCAGATTTCATCATCTATAGTCGGAACTTTCGAGAGAAAATCACATTTGCATTTGTCAAACGTGTCACGATACTACACTTGGAGCTTACTTTTCAGCGTTTATTGACATATAATGTGATGATAAATCAACTGAATTCAGGCCTGAAGTAGCAGCCAAAAAAAGAAGGAAAACACCAACTTATGTTCCTCAAGCGGACACCATTTATTTATTCTTAATTAGAAATTGTCATTTGATCAGGTCATGTTTACGAAAAGCAGCGACCTTGCTAATTATGCCTAGTATATGTGTATCATCAGATCATATGATTTGACATATCTTAATTTTTCGAATGGCAGTGCCCTCTTGAGCTGAAATAAAGGGTGTTGCTTCACACAGACATTGTAAATTCTTGAATGATGACTTGTGTTTAGAATGAAATGATCAGATGTAAGTTAGTGACATGTTTTACAATTGTTCATGTGATAATTAAGACAACGGAGGAGAACTACAGCAGTAAGTGTGAATACACAACTGAAACATGTTTTCTTCACTCGCCTGGGTTACACAAATGACATGTGTTTTAGATATTGTCAAGTCATACAACTTCGATCGACATGTAACTTTGATCACCCATTTTGAATGGCAATTGTCGTGATACGTAGCGATAACTTACGATATCTGCAGCTTTGATCTTCTGGTGACACCGCTATCATTCGTTTGGACCGAAAAATGTTTCGTGTCAAGTTACCAAACGTAAGTTATAGCTCATATTCAGCAAACAACTACTTTTTAGCCCTAGATCAATAATGTAACTTTATCAGCTCAAATAAAATGTAAACAATGTTTATTTCACATGTTGTAAATTGACAGCACACCTGTCTTCTGTTTGTTTACGTTGCTGGTCTAATTGTGACATGTCCAGACATGTGATATCCTTGTCAAAATTTAAAACATTGGAAACAAGTAAGGGCCATTTCTTATAGAAAACTTAATGCCTTTTGAGAATTTCGGTCAATTTGTACCTGATGAGGTTTGAGCTATTGCCTCATTGATAAATACAACCTGGGCACAATGTACCCACCCTACGTGTCAGCACAGAACACATTTACGTTTCTGCAAGCCAGTTCGTGGTGTTTGTCGACATTCCGAGGTTTGGTGCCCGTCACGATGAGCCTGAAGAATAACTCCCTGCATAATACTTGTATTTAAGCTGAATATTTGTGACTTTTCATCGTTTTTAGAAGTATTGAAACATAAAATGAACGTTTCATGGACATAAATACCATAAAATTACTTGGGTCTGCTCTAACTCTGAATTTGACACAAGAGATCGTCCATATAAGTCATCCTGTTTACGCCACAAGTCAGCCAATCATATGATCGAACTTGTGTGACGTAATTTTCTGGGTCTCTTGTGTTGACAGAGGGCAGCCATGCTGCGATTGTGAAAAGCAGTAAAAATACCTGGATTTGTTAAATGTTTGACATAAATAAACAAGTTTAGAGGTAAGAGATTTGAAAATAAGATTATATGAATAAACTTTGAAAATTCAGCGACAGTTCTTAAGTGTTCGAACTTACATGACACAAGGGTATATAGTAAAAGCTGCAGCTAAGATGCTCAATATTTGAATGGATTCTTTCTGATGAATTAACTGTTTTATCTGATCAGTGCTTCAAAATTTGACCACCTTTGTCTCGATATTCATGGGAGCAAGAAAAAAATCGAGTTATCCGAACTTCGAACCAGGGCATATCATCACATATCAGTATGAAAGGAAACAAATTAACGTTTTATGTGATTCTCAGTATGTTTTGATTCGAAACTATAATCCGTTATCAGTAGTGTTTAGTCGTAACAGTGAGCACTTCCTGATTAATTCCTTCTTAATAAATCCTAATTTATTAGTAATTAAATAACAAACAAGTGACACCTTCAACTCAATTAGCCTCAATTAGTTTACACTACCGCATCCCTTTGATTCATGCCGCACCGTGTGGAAACGTGTGGAAACAACCTCAGTTCAGAGGGGTATTTGTCCATGAAAGGTAGGTGAATATCGAGTTTCTTTGCAAATATCGAGTTAAAAGGGTAATTTTGCTTGTTGGGACCATGAAATTATATCGAGATATCCGAAATATCGAGACATCCGTATTGAGTTAAAAGAGCTTGAATAATGATAAATTATGAAGGATTTTGCCGGGACCGAGATGTTACATCGAGTTATCAGAGTTCGACACAACAGTGCTCGACTGTATTGGGTGTTGTTGTCAACCAAATAACTGGTAGACAGGTGTAAATGTGCGTACAGATGATAGCTATTTCCAACTTAATTTAAAAGAAAATGCACACAGTAATCTTTACATCTGCATATAAAACAATACAAAAAAGAAAAAAAAGTATCTAAACGTAAATCCATCATGTCTAGTGATAATTGTTCTCAAATTTCATTTTCATCACTAAAGTTTGTTATCAGCTGCTTGTTCACCTGACCTGTGAAAATCTGGGTTAGAATTGGTCATCAGCATCCCAGTCCAGTAATAGGTGACTAACAGGGTCAGGTGGTCAGGATTGCTGACTTGGTCGACACATGTCATCGTATCCCAATTACGTAGATCAATGTTCATGCTGTTGATCACCTGAATTGTCTGATCTAGATGCCATTATTTACAGACCGCCATCATATAACTGGAAAATATCTGAATAAACAATGTTAAATAACAAACAAACAAAATTTGAAGTCTCTGAATGACTAATGTATTTACTATTTGTTTTACTGTGTATAAGATGATGTTTACCAATAGGTTCACATTAGACTTGTATGCATTAATCAACAACAAAAACACCTGCTAGTTTGGCTTGGGCTCTTCAGTGAAAATCCTTAGTTCTGATAGAAGGCTTCTCATTCTTTGATCATCTGTTAATTACCCCCTGCAACGCGTTTTGTGGGGTGTGTGTGTGTGTGGGTGTGTGTGTGTGTATTAAAATGCACTCCATGCGTCCGTGCACATTTGTCTTTTCCAGAGCTGAACTTTTAAACCGTTCAATATTTCTTCACCAAACATGGCACATAGATAGGTCTGGTGGTATACTGGTGCCTTTTGGTAGTTTTGATTTCTGATTATTATATTTTTTTGCGTTTCCATGGCAACAATTTTGACTTTGACTGGAATAGGTGCTCTTTTCCAGGTCAAAACTTTAAAACCGTCCAATATTTCTTTACCAAACTTCTCACATAGATAGGTCTGGTGGTGAACTGGTGCCTTTTGGTAGTTTTGGATTTCTGAATAAAATATCTTTGCATTTCCATGCCAACAAGTTTGTCTTAGACTGAATCTGGTGGTAGTGGTTTCTGGAACAGAACTTTTAAGACCTTTCAATACTCTCCTTCCACTTTTCTATATACACACCAAAACATTTGACATAATCATAACTCGTAGACATATTCATGAAGAGTATTTTGCCATTGCTGGGGATATTGATGACTTTGTCTTCTTGTTGTTGTTTCATGATGCAGCTGTACACAAGTCAAATCATCAAAAATCTTAGTCCACAATAAGCAAATTTTGATTCTGTGAAGAAAAGGTGATTCATATTTCAGTACTTTCAATTTTTGAAGGTTTGTTTCCTGTTAATACTGCTTATGCTTATTTTATTTAAAAGTGATCATGTAAAAGAATCCAGGTCTAAAATCACTATCAAGGAGTACATAAATAAAAGTAAAACAAATCTCACTGGATCGGAAGTTTGGGAAGATGTTGTGCATCAGCGGTGACTGTAGGATAAGTGCTGTGTGAATAAATGGATAAACATGTCTGGATTAAGATGGGTAGTTATCTTTTTAACAGTGTTGATGGTGTACATCCACGAATATGTTGTGTTTCAGAGTATGATGATGATGATGAATACTATAGTCAGTCGGTGGAGGACAACTTCTGCATCTCGCCAGGGACAGGTACAGTGCCTTTGTCTTGAGATAGAGACTAACTTTAACGTTCAGCTTTAACATACACGTGAGGATGTATTACATGCACTGCCATGTCTACCAGGCTTTGAAACCAGCATTTAATATTTACTACAATATGTTGAATAATATAGAGCAGTCTCTGTTTGAGAAACCCCAACTTCATGAAATTTATGGATCAACAAATCATGAATTTCATAACTTATTAGAGATGTAGGTGGGATCACCCAGGTTCCATTCACATCCTTGATGTACCTGCCAACACAGGGTTACCTGAAGCAGCAACATCTCTCTCTCTCTCACTCCCACTCACTCCCACCTTCCTCCCTCCGTCCCTCCCCCACTCACTCACTCACTCAGACTAACCAGACAAGTCCTATTTCAGCTGCACAGTTCACATTCAACCGTGGCCAGACCACGTTCGCCACATACATGGGTGGAGAAGATGAGGTAGAGGCGGTGGAGAGTGACGATGACGTAGACCACCAGGGGGGCATCATCAGGACAGACGGACAACAAACTAAATGCTGTTGATCAAGGTAAAGTTGAACAGAATTTAATTCATGCTTGTCACAAGAGGCAACTAAAGGGACTGGGTGGTCATGCTCAGAGACTTGGTTGATGTACAGAATCATAGTTCATATATCAATGATGTCAGTTGCTGGATTGTAAGGTCGAGACTTGGTTGTTTACAGACTGACAGCATGTAGCTTGAATATTGCTGATTGCCATGTTGAACAGCAGGTAAACAAACAGAACCAGATTTGATAGTAACAATTGTTAGGATGATACTCTAGGTGAGATCTACAAAACACATGTTCATATGCTTGATACACATCAGACACCCTTACAAAACAATCAGGCAGTGTATACAGGGGCAGTGTCTGCTCTAGAACTCCTTGAGTCAAATATATGCTCTGTAAAAATTTGCTGTGTAATATGATTTCCTGTTTAAAGGGCAGCCTTTTAGTTCACTTGTTTTAATTATAGGTTTACTCAGAGGTTCAGGAGAGTATGTAGATGTTAGGCAGAGACTGTATTGATGTCAGCTTCTTTATTTGAATAATGCAATGTTTCAGTGTATGTGCTCACACCTTCATCAGATGACATAGATATTCACAGACTTTTTGTTTTAACAGCTAAACTAAACAGCTGTTTGGAAGAGATTCACAACATTCTTGGTGAGTGTCGCCCCGACTCAGTCTACAGGGAGACCATCATCAAACACAACTTCAGCCTGCAGGCCTCCCTGGATGAACTGCTGTCACAGAAAGGTGTGGTTCTTGTCACGAAAAGGGGTTTCTTTGTCAGAGAAAGGTGGGGTTGGTTTGTCGGGGAAAGGTGGGGTTTGTCTGTCAGAGAAAGGTGGGGTTCTTGTCAAGAAAAGGGGTATCTTTGTCAGAGAAAGCTGGGGTTTGTCTGTTGGGGAAAGTTGGGGTTTGTCTGTCGGGGAAAGGTGAGGTTTGTCTGTCGGGGAAAGGTGGGGTTTATCTGTCACAGAAAGGTGGGGTTTGTTTGTCACAGAAAGGTGGGGTTTGTTTGTTGGGGAAAGTTGGGGTTTGTCTGTCGGGTAAAGGTGGGGTTTGTTTGTCAGGGAAAGGTGGGGTTTGTCAGAGTATGGTGGGGTTTGTCAGGGAATGGTTGGGTTTGTTTGTCGGGCAAAGGTGGGGTTTGTCTGTCAGAGAAAGGTGGGGTTTGCCTGTCGGGCAAAGGCGGGATTTGTCTGTCAGAGAATGGTGGGGTTTGTCTGTCAGAGAAAGGTGGGGTTTGTCTGTCGGAGAAAGGTGGGGTTTGTCTGTCAGAGAATGGTGGGGTTTGTCTGTCAGGGAAAGGTGGGGTTTGTCTGTCGGGCAAAGGTGGGATTGTCTGTCAGAGAATGGTTGGGTTGGGTTTCAGAGAATGGTTGGGTTTGTGGAAAGGTGGGGTTTGTCTGTCGGGCAAAGGTGGGGTTTGTCTGTCGGGCAAAGGTGGGATTTGTCTGTCAGAGAATGGTTGGGTTTGTCTGTCAGAGAATGGTTGGGTTTGTTCGTCGGGGAAAGGTGGGGTTTGTCTGTCGGGTAAAGGTGGGGTTTGTCTGTTGGGCAAAGGTGGGATTTGTCTGTCAAGAGAATGGTGGGGTTTGTCTGTCAGGGAAAGGTGGGGTTGGTCTGTTGGGCAAAGGTGGGATTTGTCTGTCAAGAGAATGGTGGGGTTTGTCTGTCAGGGAAAGGTGGGGTTTGTCTGTCGGGCAAAGGTGGGATTGTCTCTCAGAGAATGGTTGGGTTTGATCGTCGTGGAAAGGTGGGGTTTGTCGGGCAAAGGTGGGGTTTGTCTGTCGGGCAAAGGTGGGGTTTGTCTGTCGGGCAAAGGTGGGATTTGTCTGTCAGAGAATGGTTGGGTTTGTCTGTCAGAGAATGGTTGGGTTTGTTCGTCGGGCAAAGGTTGGGTTTGTATGTCGGGCAAAGGTGGGGTTTGTCTGTTGGGCAAAGGTGGGATTTGTCTGTCAAGAGAATGGTGGGGTTTGTCTGTCAGGGAAAGGTGGGGTTTGTCTGTTGGGCAAAGGTGGAATTTGTCTGTCAGAGAATGGTGGGGGTTTGTCTGTCAGGGAAAGGTGGGATTTGTTTGTCAGAGAAAGGTGGGGTTTGTCTGTCCGGCAAAGGTGGGATTTGTCTGTCAAGAGAATGGTGGGGTTTGTCTGTCAGGGAAAGGTGGGGTTTGTCTTTCAGAAAAAGTTGGGGTTTGTCTGTCGGGCAAAGGTGGGGTTTGTCTGTCAGGAAAGGTGGGGTTTGTTTGTCAGAGAAAGGTGGGGTTTGTTTGTCAGAGAAAGGTGGGCTTTGTCAGAGAAAGGTGGGGTTTGTCTGTCAGAGAAAGGTGGGGTTTGTCGGGTAAAGGTGGGATTTGTCTGTCAGAGAATGGTGGGGTTTGTTTGTCAGAGAAAGGTGGGGTTTGTCTGTCAGAGAAAGGTGGGGTTTGTCTGTCAGGGAAAGGTGGGGTTTGTCTGTCAGGGAAAGGTGGGATTTGTCTGTCTGGCAAAGGTGGGATTTGTCTGTCTGAGAAAGGTGGGGTTTGTTTGGCAGGGAAAGGTGGGGTTTGTTTGTCGGGGAAAGGTGGGCTTTGTTTGTCAGAGAAAGGTGGGGTTTGTTTGTCAGAGAAAGGTGGGGTTTGTTTGTCAGGGAAAGGTGGGGTTTGTAAGAGTATGGTGGGGTTAGTCAAGGAATGGTTGGGTTTGTTTGTCGGGCAAAGATGGGGTTTGTCTGTCAGAGAAAGGTGGGGTTTGTCTGTCGGGCAAAGGTGGGATTTGTCTGTCAAGAGAATGGTGGGGTTTGTCTGTCAGGGAAAGGTGGGGTTTGTCTGTCAGAGAAAGGTGGGGTTTGTCTGTCAGGCAAAGGTGGGGTTTGTCTGTCGGGCAAAGGTGGGGTTTGTCTGTCAGAGAAAGGTGGGGTTTGTCTGTCGGGCAAAGGTGGGATTTGTCTGTCAAGAGAATGGTGGGGGTTTGTCTGTCAGAAAAATTTGGGTTTTTTCTGTCGGGCAAAGGTGGGGTTTGTCTGTTAGGGAAAAGTGGGGTTTGTTTGTCAGAGAAAGGTGGGCTTTGTCAGAGAAAGGTGGGGTTTGTCTGTCAGAGAAAGGTGGGGTTTGTTTGTCAGGGAAAGGTGGGGTTTGTTTGTCAGGGAAAGGTGGGGTTTGTCTGATTCCTTTCCTTTCCATTTTTTGCTGGGAACAATGCAGAAGTTCCACACAAGTAGCTGTTATCATGATGCTGATTTTGAATGTATTTTATACATATTGGAATCATGTTTCTGGGATAATTTCAGAAGCACCCAAGCCTCAGAGAGCACCACGCCAAAATCGACGGAACAAATCTCAAGGTAAACATTGTTAATGTTTCCTACTCAGTATTAAAACTCCAATTTTGTTAAATTTAAAAGTATTTGAAAACAAGTGAACAGCTTTGTAATCTTTACATGATCAAGGCTTCATTGATTACTGTCTTTTGTTAACAAGATATCTTTTTGCCGTTTGCTATGTGTTCATATTTTGGTGACAATATTGTCTAACCAGTGGCCTGTTGTTTGTATTTTTTCCATCTGCTGTTCCGTGTGTTTCTGGTGTCATCCATCTGCCTGTTTCTGCATGACGATGTCTGGCGCTTGTAAGGTAAGGAGATAGTGATAGCGATGAAGCTAGTGACACAGAGTCTGATGCTAGGGCTCCAGACTCCGGGAAGGGGGAGACCCTGGTGGAGATTAATCAAATAGACCATCTAAAACAATCAAATACATTATCAAGCATTTGTTCAAAGGCTCACATTGGTGGTATTTCAGAATTAACCAAACCTGTTTCCACTGGGGCAGGTTTGTCTCTGGCTGACTTTGCTAAAGGTCCTCAAAGTCAGTCAGGAATAATGGCCAGTCATGATTGGATTAAGAATAATGTGTGTCTCAATTCTAACATTCCAAAGCTTTCAGGTTTAATTGAGGAGTTAGGTCAAATGAAAGTTGATGAAGCTCAGCTTATGTTAGGTCATAAGATGGAAGGTAGAAGTACAAAGTCCTCATTAAGTTCAAGCACTGGATCAGACTCAGGGATGTCATTATCTCAGCTTGCATTGATGCATCAGCAGCAGAAGCAGACACAGCCCAGCATCCAAGCTCCGAGGCCAACCTCATCCTCTGGGGATCCTGCATCAGCTGTGTCCGTGGAGACTTCAGTGTCAGCTGGAATCAACATCACTCAGGGCAGACATTTCAAGACGTTCACGGGAAGTCCCAAGTCTCAGAGCTCCAGTTTAGGTTCAGATTCATCACTGTCCCTGGCTGAACTGGCATCCCGACACCAACAGACTCATTCCAAGGGAGGCTACTCTCCTTCCTCATCTTTGGCTGAACTTGCTAAACAACATTCTCCAACTAAAAGTGCTGGAACTGTTTCCCTGTCCGTGCTGGCTCAACAACACAGTTTGTCCACAGTTCAGGGAACAGGGAAAGGGTTATCATCACAGGTGCCTATTTCTGAGAGGTCTGCAGGATTGAGTGGCCTGGGCAGTTTCACACCAGGTCTGTCTCTGGCTCAGTTAGCCAGCAGTCACAAAGCAACACAAAGTACACCTGGGCTGGGATCCCTGGCTCCTGCTAGTGCTGCTATGAAGCCTGGTAGTCAGTTAGGTGGTGTCTCCCTGGCAAATCTTGCCAAGGGGCATAAACATTCTGATCAATCTAAACAATTACCCATCGGTAATACATCTGCTTCAAGTACACCTAAGCCTGAAGGAACGCTTTGCCTGTCAGATTTACTCAAATCCAAGGTGACCATCTCAGGATCTCGGCAGTCATCTGTAGATAGAACTCCAAGTCCAAATGATACTAGCAGTAGCTTCACGGCAGTTCAAGATGAGATAACTCTGTTAGTCAAGGTCCAGTGTGATGCCACATTACAGTCCACACCTTCGATCCTCGGCAAGGCATTGTGTTTACTGAAAACTAGGAAAAGGAAAGCTAGCGGTTCTGATAAGTTTAGTATGAAGTATCCAAGATTTATGTATGCTGTCCAGGCTAAAGGTGTTAAACATCATACTCCAGTACATAAGAGAGAGGTGAAACTGTTTGACTTCTCAACTCCTTCCCCTGATGACCTCGTCCGTCAAAGACAACGCGGGGCCTTTACCCGTACCGGGGAGAGACATGTGTCTAGTTAGCGTGGCCAGTACTACATGGAGCAAGTATACATTTGAATCAAGTTCGCCTGGCCAGCATTACAGCAAGCATGGAGAAGGATGTCTAGTTAATGTTTAGGACAATGAAAGAAAGTGGCCTTCCCTCTAGAATAGTCCTAGCCACAAGTAGACCAGTTTAGCATGATATTTTTCATAAATCCAAGTTAGTGTAGATGTGTCAGTCATATCATCTTCAATGAAGTTGACTTGGGCCATAGTATTTGGCTAAGTAGATACATGATATCAAAAGCATCATAAGTGCTATGTGATGAAATTGAAAACTCACTCAAATGTTTATTCAAGTTTATTGATCTCATTTGTAACACTGTATAACTGTAAACTGGAACTTGAGGCGTTTTGTGTTTCATCCTAGGAGTATGCAGCTGGCCCTGTAGACTCCAACACTGAGTTTATCATAGGTTACTGGGAGATAACTTGGTGGACATGTGTAACCTTAAAGTTGATTAAATAAACCTGTCTGACTAATAGTTTGATATCCACATTTGAGTGTCTCCATTGCACTGGTTACTGTAAGTCAGCTGTAGTCATGAGTGGATGCATGGATGGCTTGTCGTCATGGAGATGCAGGCCAGGTTTCACTGGGTCATATCTTGTACATACAGTAATCTTTGTCCTGGAAGCTGACTCCGTCCGTGCATGCGTGGGTGCGTGTGTCCGTCCGTCCGTCTGTGCACTTTTGTCTTTTCCGGAGCAGAACTCTAAAACCGTTCTCTATTTCTTCACCAAACTTGGCACATAGATAGATCTGGTGGTGTACTGGTGCCTTTTGGTAGTTTTGGAATTCTGAATAAAATATTTTTGGCGTTTCCATGGCAACAGTTTCGACTTAGACTGAAATTAGTGGTAGTGCTCTTTTCCGGAGCAGAACTCTAAAACTGTTCACTATTTCTTCACCAAACTTGGCACATAGATAGATCTGGTGGTGTACTGGTGCCTTTTGGTAGTTTTGGAATTCTGAATAAAATATTTTTGGGGTTTCCATGGCAACAAGTTCGACTTAGACTGAAATTAGTGGTAGTGCTCTTTTCCGGAGCATAACTCTAAAACTGTTCACTATTTCTTCACCAAATTTGGCACATAGATAGATCTGGTGGTGTACTGGTGCCTTTTGGTAGTTTTGGAATTCTGAATAAAATATTTTTGGGTTTCCATGGCAACAATTTTGACTTAGACTGAATAAAATTTCTTCACCAAATTTGGCACATTTTTGGGTTTGCCATGGCAACAATTTCCATGGCAACTCGACTTAGACTGAAATTGGTGGTATTGCTCTTTTCCGGAGCAGAACTCTAAAACCGTTCACTATTTCTTCACCAAACTTGGCACATAGATATATCTGGTGGTGTACTTGTGCCTTTTGGTAGTTTTGGATTTCTGAATAAAATATTTTGGCGTTTCTATGGCAACAAGTCTCACTTAGACTGAAATTGGTGAGAGTGCCATTTTCTGGAGCAGAACCTTTCAATACTCTCCTTCCACTTTTCTATATACACACCTAAATATTTGACATAATCATAACTCGTAGACATAATCATGAAGAGTATTTTGCCATTGCGGGGAATATTGATGACTTTGTCTTCTTGTTAATACTCCACGTACACTGACCTAACAAGTGTGGAATACAAGATTGTGTTTAAGAATAATGCTTTTGAACATGATAAATGAACATGATAAATGAATTCCGTAACACTTTTATTTAGAGGGATGGGGTGTATGTTGTTTTAAGGTACAAGCATCCTTGATCAGCTATCTTCACTCTATTTTTTTAGCAATGGGTTAGCCTAGTGGTTAAAGTGTTGGCTCTCCACACTGAAGACCCGGGTTCGATTCCCTACATGGGTACAGTGTGTGAAGCCCATTTTCTGGTTTCCCCTGCCATGATATGGTTGACTGTGTGTCCCTGCCTCTATGGTTGACTGTGTGTCCCTGTTTCTATGGTTGACTGTGTCCCTAGCTCTGTGGTTGAATGTGTGTTCCTGACTCTATGGTTGACTGTGTGTCCCTGGCTCTATGGTTGACTGTGTGTCCCTAGCTCTATGGTTGACTGTGTGTCCCTAGCTCTGTGGTTGACTGTGTGTCCCTGACTCTATGGTTGACTGTGTGTCCCGTGCTCTATGGTTGACTGTGTGTCCCTAACTCTATGGTTGACTGTGTGTCCCGAGCTCTATGGTTGACTGTGTGTCCCGAGCTCTATGGTTGACTGTGTGTCCCTAGGTCTATGGTTGACTGTGTGTCCCGAGCTCTATGGTTGACTGTGTGTCTAGAGCTCTATGGTTGACTGTGTGTCCCTAGCTCTATGCTTGACTGTGTGTCCCTGACTCTATGCTTGACTGTGTGTCCCTAGCTCTATGCTTGACTGTGTGTCCCTAGCTCTATGCTTGACTGTGTGTCTAGAGCTCCATGGTTGACTGTGTGTCCCTAGCTCTATGCTTGACTGTGTGTCCCTAGGTCTATGCTTGACTGTGTGTCCCTGGCTCTGTGGTTGACTGTGTGTCTAGAGCTCTATGGTTGACTGTGTGTCCCTAGCTCTATGCTTGACTGTGTGTCCCTAGGTCTATGCTTGACTGTGTGTCCCTGGCTCTGTGGTTGACTGTGTGTCTGGAGCTCTATGGTTGACTGTGTGTCCCTAGCTCTATGCTTGACTGTGTGTCCCTAGGTCTATGCTTGACTGTGTGTCCCTGGCTCTGTGGTTGACTGTGTCTCCCTGGCTCTATGCTTGACTGTGTGTCCCCAGCTCTATGGTTTACTCTGTATCCCTAGCTCTATGGCTGATGTGTGTCCCTAGCTCTATGGTTGACTGTGTGTCCTTGACTCTATGGTTGACTGTGTGTCCCTGGCTGCTTGTACTAGTTTGAAGTATGCTGTTTTATAGCACTAGCCCAGTGAGATTGCATGCCCCTGTTTAACATGGATGCCCTATTCAGCTACAGTATACTGACAGTAGCCAGTAGTCTCTTGTGTCCCTGATTATTGCTGAGCATGGGGCAGGGCAACAACATGTACTCTTAATGTCTTCTGGTATGATCAGACGGAGATTAAACCACCTCCCTTCCTGTCTCTCCAGCTAGATTCTCTACACGCTAGACAAGGTGATCTCATTGCTTTACGTAGCATAAACTTTGGGTCACTCCTACACTGTGTGTTCATGGGTGCAGTAAAAAAGGGTACACAAATAAATTAATGCTGTATTGTGGGTGGATAATATTTGTAGTTTTATCTTTTAAAATGTTAAATGGATTGTCCTCATTGTTTATATGTGAACTACATTATAGAGATTAGCTGTGAATCAAAACATAAGGCATGTGTTGATCTTACACTTATAAATATTGTGTTGATATTATGTTTCTTTCATGTCATATCTTTACGTCACACATAAACTCACACATTAACATGGTAATGAACTATTTGTTTTTACTTTAAATAAGAGCAGCAGATTGTAATTATTCATTGGCAGGTATCACTGATAGAAAAACAGTTGATTTTACTGGTAACTTTCATTAATTGATTGTGAATATTGGCAGCTGAATGGTGTTTGTATATACAGCAGCAAATTTGTTAATAGGATATTTTATACAAGTTAAGTGTTCTTGCCTTTTTATTACTTTTATGCTTTTCTTTCCAATAAAGTCAGCAATGCAGGTGTTGTTTGTTTTATTACACATAACTTGTTTCCCATACAGATAGACTGACATTTAGTTCCAGGAATGGGGCGGTGGTGTAGCCTAGTGGTTAAAGCATTGGCTCGTCACGCCGAAGACCCGGGTTCAATTCCCCACATGGGCACAATGTGTTAAGCCCATTTCTGGTGTCCCCCGCTGTGATATTGCTTGAATATTGCTAAAAGCAGCATAAAACTAAACTCAGTCAGTCAGTCAGTTCCAGGAATATAGTTCTTGTAGAATTGTATATGGTAATACTATTATTGACTAATAAGAATATAAGGTAATCCAAAAAGGAGACCACAACAAGCCTTTTTTTGCCCTTGGCTCTTGACACTGGGGGTCATTGTCACAGGTTACATGGCTACAAGGGTGAACAGGGGAGCTGTGTGAGGTTTGCCCTACCCTCTTGACACTGGGGGTCATTGTGACAGCCTGCATGACTACAAGGGTGAACAGGGGAGCTGTGTGAGGTTTGCCCTAGGCTCTTGACACTGGGGGTCATTGTGACAGCCTACATGACTACAAGGGTGAACAGGGGAACTGTGTTAGGTTTGCCCTAGGCTCTTGACACTGGGGGTCATTGTGACAGCCTGCATGACTACAAGGGTGAACAGGGGAGCTGTGTGAGGTTTGCCCTACCCTCCTGACACTGGGGGTCATTGTGACAGGTTACATGGCTACAAGGGTGGGGCTACAGACTACAAGGGTGAACAGGGGAGCTGTGTGACACACTGGGGGTCATTGTGACAGCCTGCATGACTACAAGGGTGAACAGGGGAGCTGTGTGAGGTTTGCCCTACCCTCCTGACACTGGGGGTCATTGTGACAGGTTACATGGCTACAAGGGTGAACAGGGGAACTGTGTGAGGTTTGCCCTACCCTCTTGACACTGGGGGTCATTGTGACAGCCTACATGACTACAAGGGTGAACAGGGGAGCTGTGTGAGGTTTGCCCTACCCTCTTGACACTGGGGGTCATTGTGACAGCCTGCATACATGACTACAAGGGTGAACAGGGGAACTGTGTGAGGTTTGCCCTACCCTCTTGACACTGGGGTCATTGTGACAGTTACATGGCTACAAGGGTGAACAGGGGAACCAGTTTGCCCTACATGACACTGGGAGGTCATTGTGACAGGTCATTGTGACCTACATGACTACAAGGGTGAACAGGGGAGCTGTGTGAGGTTTGCCCTAGGCACTTGACACTGGGGGTCATTGTGACAGGCTACAAGGGTGAACAGGGGAGCTGTGTGAGGTTTGCCCTACCCTCTTGACACTGGGGGTCATTGTGACAGGCTACATGACTACAAGGGTGAACAGGGGAACTGTGTGAGGTTTGCCCTACCCTCTTGACACTGGGGGTCATTGTGACAGGCTACATGACTACAAGGGTGAACAGGGGAGCTGTGTGAGGTTTGCCCTGGCCCCCTGACACTGGGGGTCATTGTCACAGGTTACATGACTACAAGGGTGAACAGGGGAACTGTGTGAGGTTTGCCCTAGGCTCTTGACACTGGGGGTCATTGTGACAGGCTACAAGGGTGAACAGGGGAACTGTGTGAGGTTTGCCCTACCCTCTTGACACTGGGGGTCATTGTGACAGCCTGCATGACTACAAGGGTGAACAGGGGAGCTGTGTGAGGTTTGCCCTAGGCTCTTGACACTGGGGGTCATTGTGACAGCCTACATGACTACAAGGGTGAACAGGGGAGCTGTGTGAGGTTTGCCCTAGGCTCTTGACACTGGGGGTCATTGTGACAGCCTACATGACTACAAGGGTGAACAGGGGAGCTGTGTGAGGTTTGCCCTAGGCTCTTGACACTGGGGGTCATTGTGACAGGCTCCATGACTACAAGGGTGAACAGGGGAGGTGTGTGAGGTTTGCCCTAGGCTCTTGACACTGGGGGTCATTGTGACAGGCTACATGGCTACAAGGGTGAACAGGGGAGCTGTGTGAGGTTTGCCCTACCCTCTTGACACTGGGGGTCATTGTGACAGGCTACAAGGGTGAACAGGGGAACTGTGTGAGGTTTGCCCTAGGCTCTTGACACTGGGGGTCATTGTGACAGGCTACATGGCTACAAGGGTGAACAGGGGAGCTGTGTGAGGTTTGCCCGAGGCTCTGACTGACACTGGGGTCATTGTCACAGACAGGCTACATGGCTACAAGGGTGAACAGGGAGCTGTGTGAGGTTTGCCCTAGGCTCTTGCCCTAGGCTCTTGACACTGGGGGTCATTGTGACAGGCTACATGGCTACAAGGGTGAACAGGGGAGCTGTGTGAGGTTTGCCCTAGGCTCTTGACACTGGGGGTCATTGTGACAGGTTACATGGCTACAAGGGTGAACAGGGGAGCTGTGTGAGGTTTGCCCTACCCTCTTGACACTGGGGGTCATTGTGACAGGTTACATGGCTACAACTGACAAGTCAATTTTCAAAAGAAAACTGGGGCGGTGGGGTAGCCTAGTGGTTAAAGCGTTGGCTCGTCATGCCGAAGACCCGGGTTCGAATCCCCACATGGGTACAATGTGTGAAGCCCATTTCTGGTGTCCTCCGCCGTTATGTTGCTGGAATATTGCTAAAAGCGGCGTAAAACCAAACTCAGTCAGTCAGTCAGTCAAAAGAAAACTGAAACCCTGGTCGTGTATTTGATGAACATTGATTTCAACCTTAAATTTGTCAAGAATAATATTCTAGGTTTGTCTGCACCAGTGCTTCATGTCTGAACAAAGAACAACCCCAACATGTTGTACACTTACATCTCGTCCATTACTCTTGCCACAAGCACCTAGTATTGACGGGTGTGGCATTGAACAATTAACATCTTTGGTCTTCACTCAATTAACTTAAGCACTAATGTGACTGAACTATAACACAAAGCATCAAGTTCCTTCAGTGTGTTGGTAAGAAAATTTTCATAATGTGACAAGTATATTTGGTAGTGACATTCCTATATTTCAGCAGGTACCTTGGTTAGGTCAGGTTCTCCTGTCAGCCCTGTGGGACAAGTTCTCAAGGATATCGATGCTGCACTTGTTGATCCAGGGACACTTCATTTCTGTGTGAAAGCTAAACTTTCAGATTTTCACATTGAATCCACACTTACTATGCATGTTATTCTCGTATGTCAACACACTCTCCGCATCACAGAATGAACATGGTCAAGCTACAGATAAATCATGATGTATTGTATATGTTCGTTCACTCACTCACTCACTCACTCACTCACTCAATCACATATGTTCAGCTGATTTCACAGAGTGTAATAATGTGTTGCATTGCAGGCATCACAAATACAGATGTACCTATCCTGAAAGATCCACCTTCGATTTTCAAGTCCCAGAATTCCATTGGAAGTGCAACAAATTCAATTTCGAAAGTAACTGTGACTCCAAAGAAGGAGCCTGTCGAGGTTTTGAACCTGTGGTTGCCACATCAACCAAGAGTGATGATAGACTTGCCCCTCAGGTGGCCACAAGCTGTGATAATGTGACTGTTGGCCTTGGAGGAGCAGCGGCGAGTACGTCTGAGACGACGCTGGGAGAGTCGACCATGCCGCTGGCATCCAGTTCTACCTCCAGTCTCCTCACACCTAAGAAAGATCCAGCGTATCGACCGCCTTTACCAAGGTCATCGTCTAAGTAAGTGAGATGCTATAGATACAAAATGTGAAATGTCTGCTGAAAATATACGCATGGAATTCAGATTGAAATAAAGATGATGAAGCCCTCGTTGTCCATCAGAATTGCCATGTTGGTCAGTGTTAAGTCTGGTGTGCAGTAACAATGTTACATTACAACATCACACTGTTAGCATCAGTAGTTTTCTGGTGTCTCTCTCAGACCTCTTGGGCGGTGGGGTAGCCTAGTGGTTAAAGCATTTGCTTGTCACGCCAAAGACCCGGGTACGATTCCAAATGTGGGTACAGTGTGTGAAGCCCATTTCTGGTTTCCACCACAATGATATTGCTGGAATATTGCTAAAAGCGGCGTAAAACTAACCTCGCTCACTCTCAGACCTCTGTAACCATGCAGGTAGTGTGTGTCTTGATGACCTCTGCTACTTTGTCAAAAGTTTGCTAAAAATCCCAGATTTAATGCTTGGATTGTATTCCTATGTAAAGTGATATTTACCTGTAACAGGGTCGAGTGGTCAGGCTCTCTGTTGACACGTTATCGTATCCCAGTTGTGTAGATTGATGCTCATGCTGTTGATCACTGGATTGTCTGGTCAAGACTATTATTTACAGACCGCCGCCATATAGCTGGAATATTACAGAGTGCAGCTTAAAACTAAACTCTCTCACTCATTAGGTTTGCAGCAGTCTGTATATACCCCAACAAGAGACTTGTCCTTCACCTCTGTCCTCACCCAGGAAGCAGGTCAAGCATGTATATTGCCTCTAACATCTCTCATCTAAAATTTATCTTTACTGGAATCTTTTCATCTTTCAGAAGTAAACAAAAAATAAATGTACAGGAAGAATATACCAAACGGCAGGGTGAGATGGAGCTGTTGAACCTTGTGGTGATAGGTGAGTTGGAGACTCTGGCAGGGTGAGATTGTACTGTTGAACCTTGTGGTGATAGGTAAGTTGGAGACTCCGGCAGGGTGAGATGGAGCTGTTGAACCTTGTGGTGATAGGTGAGTTGGAGACTCTGGCAGGGTGAGATTATACTGTTGAACCTTGTGGTGATAGGTAAGTTGGAAACACTGGCAGGGTGAGATGGAGCTGTTGAACCTTGTGGTGATAGGTAAGTTGGAGACTCTGGCAGGGTGAGATAGAGCTGTTGAACCTTGTGGTGATAGGTAAGTTGGAGACACCGGCAGGGTGAGATAGAGCTGTTGAACCTTGTGGTAATAGGTGGGTTGGAGACTCCGGCAGAGTGAGAGTATGTACTGTCATTATGCTGTAATCCCTGAAATTACTGTGAATCCTGTAGCATGAAGTCATACTGTGAGTCTGTAGGGTGTGATTGAACCTAATGGTTAAAGTGTCCGTTCTTCACACTGAACACCCGGGTTCAATTCTCCACATGGGTACATTGTGTGAAGCCCATTTCTGGTGTCCCTGCTGTGATATTGCTGGAATATTACTAAAATTGCTGTACTGTAAGTTTTGTGAGTGTGAGATTGTACTGTATTTTCTGTAAGAGGTTATGCTGCTATAATTCCAGTGAGGGTTCACGTCAATGAAGCTACTACCAGCGCAGTCCCAGTGACTCATGTGTTTATTGCAGGTCATGTGGATGCAGGCAAGAGCACGCTGATGGGGCACCTGCTGTACCAGTTGGGATCTGTCAACAAGAAGGCAATGCATAAATATGAGCAGGAGTCGAAGAAGTTGGGCAAGGGATCGTTTGCGTTTGCATGGGTGCTTGATGAAACAGAGGAGGAGAGGTAGGTGTCACCTCACAACTGCCCTGCACAAGTGTGGAATAACAAGACATAGTCACTCAGTAAAATAAAGTTAACAATTTTTCCTTATCCTGACTCATGCTCTTTTTGCTTGTCTTCTTCTTCTTGCGAACATAGTGGAACACTTGTATCTCCCTAATTGAAGCTCCCTTCAATGTAAAATCACTAATTAGTACTCACCACGAGTTACCTCCCTTCCACAAGCGCGTGAACGAGGGCGCCACCTCCACCCATGTGCCTCACTCTCTCCTTCTTCGCCCAGTGAGCTGGACGTGAGAGCGCCTGTGTCTCCCGACACACTATATCCTTTGATTATATTTAGTTAGTTACCTCGTATAGACATCTATAGAGGTTTAGCTAGTATCCTTCAACAATTATATATTGATATTTAGTCGTGTTTCTACTGTTTATTCACGGGACGCCGTGTTTGTTTCAGTGGATTACGTTGATGAAAATTCTGTACTGTTGCAGATTACGTCTTTTATTCTGCTGCTGATCCGCATGTAATATGCCCTAGTTGTACTGCGCCATGGTCATTTTATTCACGCTTGCAGTTGCGTACTAATTTATCCAATTCTGCCTTTTATAAATATTTACTTTGGCGCTTTGAGACGCCGCAGCAGATAGGTCGCGCGATGCAGAGTCTAGCATGACTGATACACCTGAACCCTCGCCAGTCTACTGCTGTTGGTCGACCCTCCCGTGTGGTGTTCCGCTAGAGTGGTGGAGAGGCGTGGGACGTAGTCCGCCGCCTCCAAGAAGTGTCCTGCTTCCCCAGACATCCCATCGTCGCAGCCGAAGACTAGAGGGTTTCTACTGCATCTCAACGCAGACTTCGCACCCCCAGGGCAGCATCGACCTCTGAGGGGAAATCAACGAAGTCTACTAGAACTTTCTCAGCCGAGATTGTTCCCATCGCAGATTTGGGCCTGTATGATGATCAGCCGATCATCATACCTGATGTACATCAAAAGAATGACCGATGTCGGCAACAGTGATGTCAGCGCAGATCAACATGCAGCCTGATGTACCAACGCTGATATTCGATGATCTTCCTGAAGGTCCCGTCGCTACCAACACTCAACGCAGACTTCGCACCCCCAGGGCAGCGTCGACCTCTGAGGGGAAATCAACGAAGTCTACTAGGACTTTCTCAACCGAGATTGTTCCAGCCGCTGAACTGGGCCTCTACGATGATCAGCCGATCATCATCCCCGACGCACGCCACAAGAAGCGACCGGTGACAGCTACAATGACATCAGCAGAGATCGCCATGCAGCCTGATGTCTCTACACTGATGTCAGACGACTTCCCTGAGGGCCCCACCGCTAACATCGCAGAGAGGGCACCGACTACTTCGTCGCAGACCATCCCAGATGAACTGTTGCGGCAAATCATGATCATGATGGAGGGCCACTACAGACTGGAGAAGCAGCCAGCCCAAGGCCTGAGCCTTCGCGAAGGTTCCAACGCAGACGACACCCCAGAGGCACCCCCTCAGCGCCAGAGCAGCCAGCGACGAAGCCACCTTCGCAAAGGAAGTCGCAGACCACCTCAACGGCGACCCAGATGTACAGCCTTCGCCGGGCGGATAGATCATCACCTTCCTCGCTACATCCTTAGATGCAGACTCAGACCACCAGACCTCAAGGAAGCCTTCGCTGGTCAAGTCGCCGTTCCCCAGGACCGGACGCAGAGGAAGCTTCGCGAAGGACACCTGACCACAGATCGTCATCGTCCAGAAGGACTTCGAGGGACTACACAAGAGCTTCGCTGAAGCTATCAACATTCTCCTCACAGGTCTCCCGAAGGTCAACCCATAGACGAGATCACCCAAGACGATCGCTCGCTGTTCATCGCTACCGATCTCCTCGCACATCACCACGCCGACGCCTTCACAGGTCACCACACAAGTCTGCATTACAAGTCTAGTCAGGTCTCCCCGAGCGTCACCCGACATAGAGATAGAAACACACAGTCCACCATAAGAAGAGCATAAACCTCTCATCAGCGATGCTGGGATAGAAGATGATAGAGGCATCATTTTCTCAGACGCTGAGATACGATATTGGATGGTAAACAACCTAGATCTCTCTTCACCTTCCAAGAGTGGCAACTCGGCGCAGACATACCTGATGAAGGAAGACGATGCAGACACCATCACCTTACCTCCGATCGACCCGATTACTGCGGTGCCACAGAATTTGGACACAGCCTGCCATAAAGCCATGAAAGTTCAAACGCCAGAGGCGTATGTTCTTTGGCCTTAATAGATCTAGAACGATCAATGAGATTCTTATCACCAGATTTCGTGACACGACTTCTGAAGATGATAGGATGATCTACTCGGCTCTACTTATGCAGAACCAGCAAGAACCACACCCTGTATGGAGCTAACGCTCATATATTGTTCGGACTATAAACACTTCGCTAAGGAAGTCCCAGGCCACCTCCGCGAAGGAGCTAGAGCCTCACCAGTTACAAGGGACGTCGCGGAGGAGCAGCGCTTCACCGACCCCACATCCTGTTAAACACAGAGGCCGTTCGCGAAGCAAGCGCTCATATATATATATATACTAATCGGGCTTTGACTCGATACCTTCGCGAAGGTCGCGAAGGCTAAGTGGCTCCAAGTCTACTTCACCCAGAAGATCTAGAAGGGATACTTCGAGAGCTTCGCGAAGTCTCCGGCGTTCACCGAGGAAGTCTCCTCCAAGGTCTCCATATACTAGCCACTCGTCATATATAGCTACTCGTCAGTCCGTTCAAGACATCGCATAAGTTGTCTATCAACTGTATGCCAGATGCCGTCTATAAGCCTACGCGAAGACAATTGCACAGGCTATTTACAACACAGAACGTCGCTGTATCAATTAGTCAACGACGTTTCATAGATCTTCACAGAAATCAACTGTTCCGTATAGATTGCTAGAATATGCAATCCCGGACGACGATACGATTATCTACATGCGTGACCATTACGCATATCTGCAGACAATTCAATATCGAAATTGAACAGCAGCCTTGTTACAGCCGAAAGTATAACTCATAATCGTCAACATTTCTGAGAAGAAATATGTACAACAAGTTCAGCTTTAATTCTACAATTATGACGATACATTCATGTATACAGTCTACAAGCTGACAACTTGCAAGTTATTGTACCTTTACATAAGGAAGTCGGAATTATATTCAAAACTGAAGTTACTTTCACGACAGCCAGGAAAATAACCTACCCAGCATTAATATTACAGAGCGAGGTATTTTCGCTACCGGAGGTTTCATGAAGTTTACCATTAACCCAAACACGTGGTCACTCGGGTAACTTCGAAGCTTACGGTGAAGACCGACGATTATGCTAATATCAACGACGGCAAGATTTTATAGCAGGTTTTTTCCTGCTACACCGGTGACATCACAGCGCGGGTATTCTACAGAATCAAATGCCTTGTTCTGATTGGACCGCGATGGACAACGACCTACGCAGAGGTCGATCTTAGTTCACAGTTCAAGACTTACGTTACAAGTGACAACTATATATCAGTGAACGAGCAAGCCTCCTTACAGTCCAGTTAATCTGAACCTTCATGATTGGGCTGCTTTCTTCAGGTTAGAGACCTCCCCTGTCAAGTTAGGACGAGGGCACGGCAGTCAGGCGATTTTACATAAAGTTCAACGAGGACAGACACACCTGGTTGTGCACCTACATTGTCAAGGACTTCGCGAGCGAATTACCTAGACAACGGGATACAAGTGGATCTAAATCCACAGCGTCTCAGACCACAGCTGAATTTCATCATCAAGCTACTAACACAACTAGATGGTTAGTAAACCTACTTAAGCTTTCTGATTGGAGAAATAAAACGGAAGTTTCACGCTCCAACTTGGGGATCTGAATATAGTGCTCCAACACCTCACAAGTGAGATTTATGAACACGCCTGGATGACATACTTGGACTCCATGATACGATGATTCTATCACGATGGCCAGCAAGAGCACTGTAAATTATCTCCACCGAACCAAACAGGAAGGAAAAATGCAACAGATTATTTCCTCTATCATCAACTTACGCAGAATGAAGTCTCACGTACTATATCTCCGTTTGGATCAGAACTGTCATACTATGTGCATACAAGACGGATGGACCCAATCCGACCCTCCATGAGCCTTTAATACTCATGATATTAGAGCGCTAACTTCTACAATTGATCTACACAAATGTTATTTGAAATAATGGAGGGTTTATTTCTGGAGATCCGATATGGTGGTTGCCAACCATTATCTGAGAGATATCACCCCCGAGGACGCCTCAGGTATCCACCAACCGATCCCATGGTCCTCGCGACAACAGTTGACAGTTCCTCGGAGAAGATAAGTCAATCTTACAGATTTCTACTTATCTTATAACAGTACTAAATAGCTACATGCTATATATAATTTGCTTAAGTTCCTTTTATCATCACAGTACTATGATTATTACATCATACAATATATAAGTTAACAACTCTACAGAGTTTGTTATTATATATTTACCTTAAGTTAATCATATCTTAAGAGTAGTACTATGGTTACATGATAAATGCATTAGCTAAACAAACTCTACAGAGTTTTTGGCTATTATATATGTAGCTTAAGTTAATTATATCTTAAGCATAGTACTATACTCATATTGTAAAAATATATTAGCTAACAAACTCTACGGAGTTTTGCTATTATATAGGTAGCTTAAGCTTATTCATATCTTAAGCTCAGTACTATGTTTATATCATATAAGTATATTAGCTAACAAACTCTAAAGAGTTTTTTGCTATTTGGCTTAAGTGTCATCATATCTTAAGCAATATGGTTACATTATAACATGTATTAGCTAACAAACTCTACGGAGTTTTTGCTATTATATATGTAACTTAAGCTTATTCATATCTTAAGAGCAGTACTATGTTTATATCATATAGGTATATTAGCTATCAAAACTCTAAAAGAGGTTTTTGCTATTATATATTTGGCTTAAATTTCATCATATTTTAAGCTTTATGGTTACATTATAACATGTATTAGCTAACAAACTCTACGGAGTTTTTGCTATTATATATGTAGCTTAAGGTTTTCTTCATAAGCTCAATACTAGGTTTATATCATATAAGTATTTTAGCTAACAAACTCTAAAGGTTTTTTTGCTATTATACTTTAAGCTTAAGTTTCATCATATCTTAAGCAGTATGGTTACATTATAAAATGTATTAGCTAACAAAACTCTACGGAGTTTTGCTATTATATATATAGCTTAAGTTTAATCATATCTTAAGCTCAGTACTATGTTTATAACATAAAAGTATATTAGTTAATAAACTCTAAGGAGTTTTTTGCTATATACATTTAGCTTAAGTCTAATCTTATCTTAAGCTTAGTACTATGGTTACATTATAAATCTATTAGCTAATAAACTCTACAGAGTTTTTGGCTATTGTATATGTAGCTTAAGTTAATTATATCTTAAGCACAGTACTATACTCATATTGTAAAAATATATTAGCTAACAAACTCTACAGAGTTTTGCTATTATATATGTAGCTAAAGCTTATTCATATCTTAAGCTCAGCATTATATCTATATCATATAAGATATTAACTAACAAACTCTAAAGAGTTTTGCTATTATATAATTAGCTTAAGTTTAATCATATCTTAAGCTTAGTACTATGTTTATATCTTAAAGTATTTTAGCTAACAAACTCTAAGGAGTTTATACTAGCATATTAACAAGCTTAAGTCTATTAGTCTTAAGCATTGTATTAATGTTATATATACTTTATCATAATAAGTACATTGTAATAACCTTTATATGGCAGCTGATAAGTTAGCAGCAGGAATTCATCAGTTCAGTGCCTTTATGAAGTTCCCATAGGGTTATTACAATCATCACAGTTCAAATCACTAATTATTAAAATCCAAAGTATTATATATTCCCACCTCCTTTGCCGTAGGATTCTACAAGCAAAAAGAGCATGAGTCAGGATAAGGAAAAATATGTAATTTTTAGAGTAAAATTGATATTTTATACTTATACTGACTCATGAGGTAAGCCCTCCCATCCTCCCCACATAACACTTTGGATTTCCCTGTAAATTCAAATGTTGGGCTCAGTATATGAGGAGAGAGTGAGGCACATGGGTGGAGGTGGCGCCCTCGTTCCCGCGCTTGTGGAAGGGAGGTAACTCGTGGTGAGTACTAATTAGGGATTTTACATTGAAGGGAGCTTCAATTAGGGAGATACAAGTGTTCCACTATGTTCGCAAGAAGAAGAAGACAAGCAAAAAGAGCATGAGTCAGGATAAGTATAAAATATCAATTTTACTCTAAAAATTACATTTTCATCTCTTGGATGTATGTATTATATGTACTTCTTGAACAAAGCTGCATTTAATTCTGAGGCATTTCTGACAAAGAAAACATCAATATGTTGTGGCCAAACCAGAGATAATGTTGCTAACATAGTGCTTCTTGGGGGCAGGACACGCGGGGTGACGATGGATGTGGCACAGACAAAGTTTCAAACACCAAAGAAGATTGTGACTCTCCTGGATGCTCCAGGCCATAAAGATTTCATTCCAAATATGATCACTGGTCAGTAGTGATGATTTCCTACCCTGACTTTCTCCCTGGACAGTATCATCACAGTAACTCTAGTCCACTGTTAGCTTGTGTCAATGTGGCAACTTGAGAAGATTTTGTCAGAATTTGTCTTCAGCAACCCATGCTTGTCGTAGGAGACGACTTTCAGGCTTGCCGACTTGGTTGGCACATGTCATCGTATCCCAATTGTGTAGATTGATGCTGATGCTGTTGTTCACTGGATTGTCTTGTTCAAACTTGATTATTTGAATTGCCGAGTGTGGGTTAAGCAACGCACAAACAAGCAAACACTGTGGTAACCAGGAGTGTCAGTTGTAGTACCTTGCCCGGTACTTGAACTGAATGTTTGTTAATCTGTGGTTTGACAGAGCACTCAGCAATAAGCCAGCAATATGTGCTGGCCTCATCAGCCGGTCTGGATATAATCAGACAATCCAGGGATTGATTTGGTGACCACTGACCCACACTGGGATATGTTGACTCGTAAGGCTAACAGTTTGATTCTTCTTCACATACTGTTGTTCTGTTGGATATATTTGTCTGATTCATAGCGACCGACCTCTCTTTCCAGGAGCAGCTCAAGCTGATGTTGCTATTTTAGTGATCAACGCCACAAAGGGAGAGTTCGAGACTGGCTTCGAGACCGGTGGTCAAACCCGCGAACATGCGCTACTAGCCAGATCACTGGGTGCGTTGTCTCATTGTTTATCAGTCAGGAAGATGGAAGTAACGGTTAGTGATATGGTGTGAGGCTGAGAACATATTTATGTGATAGTTCTAAGAGCCAGTTTGTATGATTAATCATTCTGTTGTTGTGGTAACAGTCTCGTTGGTATGTGAACTGTTGAGTTCTAGTTGTCTGTCCTTGGTCACCAGGTGTTGCCCAAATAATAGTTGCTGTCAACAAGATGGACACTGTCGATTGGTCAGAGGACAGGTATAATGAGGTGGTCAAGAAGATTGGTCAGTTCCTCAAGCAGGCTGGGTTCCGGGAAGGGGATGTGTCATTTGTGCCGTGCAGTGGTCTTGGTGGCGAGAATCTCACCCAAACTGTGAAAGAACCCAAGCTAGCAGCCTGGTACAAGGGACCCACACTTTCCGAGCAGATTGGTAGGTGATGGCCATCTTTAATACTCCATAGTTGTATGTACACAATATAGAACTGGTTTCTGCAACCCATGCTTGTCGTAACAGGTGACTAACAAGAATGTCTGACTTGATTGGTGCATTACTGGTCACCTTCATAGACCTGGAGACCCCTGAACATACAGGTTTGATTTGGTCTTGAGCAACCCATCAATTAATGGGATCGGGTGGTCAGACCCATTGACTTGGTTGATGGTGTCATCATTTCCCAATTGTGTAAAATGATGTTCAGGTCAATCACTGGATTGTCTGGTCCAGACTCAAATATTTTTCAAACTGCTGTCATATAGCTGGAAAATTGCTGAGCTGAGCACAATGGTAAACAAGAAACCAACAAACAAATAATATAGGTGGAATATTGCTGAGTTTGGCCTTATCTGAAATTATGTTGCCAGGTGCTTTTGTTTCTGTATGTACCCAGTGGTATTTTCTGGACATGTATACCTGGATTCATGGTTAATGTCGTCACCTGCTGTAATTGGGTGGTGGAGTAGTCTTATTTGCTTGTCTTGCTACATACCTAGGTTTGTTTCCCAACGTTGATTCCGATACAGGCACTGGCAGACATATATAGTTCCGATTACCAAGTTAGAAGTGAGTTGATTGTATTTGTTCTCTCTTACAGATAAGTTTAAGTCACTGGAACGACCAATAGACAAACCGTTCCGCCTGAATGTAGGGGATGTGTTCAAGGGTCAGGGCACGGGCTTCAGGATCTCCGGAAGAATAGGTGCAGGCTACATCCAGGCGGGAGACAGAGCCATCGTCATGCCTGGCAACGTCACTGCCACTGTCAGAAGTAAAGCTCATGTCTACTTCCTATATAATGATACAAGGCTTGTAGTGACAGTATTTCCAGCTTCACATCGTCATGCCTGGCAACGTCACTGCCACTGTCAGAAGTAAAGCTCATGTCTACTTCCTATATAATGATACAAGGCTTGTAGTGACAGTATTTCCAGCTTCACATCGTCATGCCTGGCAACGTCACTGCCACTGTCAGAAGTAAAGCTCATGTCTACTTCCTATATAATGATACAAGGCTTGTAGTGACAGTATTTCCAGCTTCACATTAAGCTGGTCATACCTGATTGTGTTGATCATGAGACAATGTTGGAGGCACCTTTGAAATTGTGAGGTTGTCATGTTGGGCTTGAAATGGTGAGGCTAAAAACTTGGGGGCTGTCATAATAAGTTTCAAATTCAAGGTTGTATCCTTTTGTTCCAATAAACTGCTAGTAGTACAAGTAAAGGATGTAATTCTCTTTGTTCCAGATGTATTTATAGATGAGATGCCAGTTCAGGTGGCATTTGCTGGTGACCATGTGACTATCTTGATCAGCGGAATAGACATAGCCAATGTAAATATAGGTATGTATTAAATGTGATGTAAATGTAGGTATGTACACATCTGATGTAAATGTAGGTATGTATACATCTGATGTAAATGTAGGTATGTATACATCTGATGTAAATGTAGGTATGTATACATCTGATGTAAATGTAGGTATGTAATAAATCTTATGTAAATGTAGGTATGCATTAGATTTGATGTAAATGTAGGTATGCATTAGATTTGATGTAAATGTAGGTATGTATACATGTGATGTAAATGTAGGTATGTATTAGATATGATGTAAATGTAGGTATGTATACATCTGATGTAAATGTAGGTATGTATTAGATGCTGTTTGCTGCTGGATATTGTAACGCTATGATGGCAGTAAATGTAAGTGTCTATTGTTTCAGGGAGTGTGTTGTGCGATCCAGTCAACCCAGCCAAGTTTTCAACTCGAATCCGTGCCAAGATAGTCATCTTCAGCCTGGAAGTGCCCATCACACGGGGCTACCCAGTATGTACCCTTAGTATTTGTACATTTCGTACAGAGGTCTACCTAGTATGTACCCTTAGTGTTTGTACATTTCGTACAGAGGTCTACCTAGTATGTACCCTTAGTGTTTGTACATTTCATACAGAGGTCTACCCTAGTATGTACCCTTAGTGTTTGTACATTTCATACAGAGGTCTACCTAGTATGTACCCTTAGTATTTGTACATTTCATACAGAGGTCTACCTAGTATGTACCCTTAGTATTTGTACATTTCGCAGTACAGAGGTCTACCTAGTATGTACCCTTAGTGTTTGTACATTTCATACAGAGGTCTTCACCTAGTATGTACCCTTAGTGTTTGTACATTTCCCATACAGAGGTCTACCTAGTATGTACCCCTTAGTGTTTGTACATTTCCATACAGAGGTCTACCTAGTATGTACCCCTTAGTGTTTGTACATTTCATACAGAGGTCTACCTAGTATGTACCCTTAGTGTTTGTACATTTCGTACAGAGGTCTACCTAGTATGTACCCTTAGTATTTGTACATTTTGTACAGAGGTCTACCTAGTATGTACCCTTAGTGTTTGTACATTTCATACAGAGGTCTACCTAGTATGTACCCTTAGTGTTTGTACATTTCATACAGAGGTCTACCTAGTATGTACCCTTAGTGTTTGTACATTTCATACAGAGGTCTACCTAGTATGTACCCTTAGTGTTTGTACATTTCAGTACAGAGGTCTACCTAGTATGTACCCTTAGTATTTGTACATTTCATACAGAGGTCTACCCAGTATGTACCCTTAGTGTTTGTACATTTCGTACAGAGGTCTACCCAGTATGTACCCTTAGTGTTTGTACATTTCATACAGAGGTCTACCCAGTATGTACCCTTAGTGTTTGTACATTTACAGAGGTCTACCTAGTATGTACCCTTAGTGTTTGTACATTTTGTACAGAGGTCTCACCTAGTATGTACCCTTAGTGTTTGTACATTTCATACAGAGGTCTACCCTAGTATGTACCCTTAGTGTTTGTACATTTGTACAGAGGTCTACCCAGTATGTACCCCTTAGTGTTTGTACATTTTCATACAGAGGTCTACCCAGTATGTACCCTTAGTGTTTGTACATTTCATACAGAGGTCTACCCAGTATGTACCCTTAGTGTTTGTACATTTCATGTACAGAGGTCTACCCTTAGTGTTTGTACCCTTAGTGTTTGTACATTTCATACAGAGGTCTACCCAGTATGTACCCTTAGTATTTGTACATTTCATACAGAGGTCTACCTAGTATGTACCCTTAGTGTTTGTACATTTCATACAGAGGTCTACCTAGTATGTACCCTTAGTGTTTGTACATAGTATTACCCATACAGAGGTCTACCTAGTATGTACCCTTAGTGTTTGTACATTTCATACAGAGGTCTACCTAGTATGTACCCTTAGTGTTTGTACATTTCATACAGAGGTCTACCTAGTATGTACCCTTAGTGTTTGTACATTTCATACAGAGGTCTACCCAGTATGTACCCTTAGTATTTGTACATTTCATACAGAGGTCTACCCAGTATGTACCCTTAGTGATTTGTACATTTCATACAGAGGTCTACCTAGTATGTACCCTTAGTGTTTGTACATTTCATACAGAGGTCTACCCAGTATGTACCCTTAGTATTTGTACATTTCATACAGAGGTCTACCTAGTATGTACCCTTAGTATTTGTACATTTCATACAGAGGTCTACCTAGTATGTACCCTTAGTGTTTGTACATTTCAGTACAGAGGTCTACCTAGTATGTACCCTTAGTGTTTGTACATTTCATACAGAGGTCTACCTAGTATGTACCCTTAGTGTTTGTACATTTCATACAAAGGTCTACCTAGTATGTACCCTTAGTGTTTGTACATTTCATACAGAGGTCTACCCAGTATGTACCCTTAGTATTTGTACATTTCGTACAGAGGTCTACCCAGTATGTACCCTTAGTATTTGTACATTTCATACAGAGGTCTACCTAGTATGTACCCTTAGTGTTTGTACATTTCATACAGAGGTCTACCCAGTATGTACCCTTAGTATTTGTACATTTCATACAGAGGTCTACCTAGTATGTACCCTTAGTGTTTGTACATTTCGTACAGAGGTCTACCCAGTATGTACCCTTAGTGTTTGTACATTTCTTACAGAGGTCTACCCAGTATGTACCCTTAGTGTTTGTACATTTCGTACAGAGGTCTACCCAGTATGTACCCTTAGTGTTTGTACATGTTGTACAGAGGTCTGCCCAGTACGTATCCATAGTGTTTATATATGTTGTACAGATATCTACCCAGTACGTATCCATAGTGTTTATACGTGTTATATACACGTCTCCATGGCAGTAGTCATCATGTTTATATGTGTTACACATGACTGAAGCTATGTATGTGTGTTCTCAGGTGGTGTTCCACTACCAGTCTGTTAGTGAACCAGCTGTCATTAGACGCCTCCTAGCTCAGCTCAACAAGAGTACCGGCGAGGTGGTGAAGAAGAAGCCCAGGTGAGAAGCTTTGTGTATGCTAGTTACTAAGTCTACAGCAAACTTACTTTGTGGATTGCAACTACATAGTGGATTGCAACTACATAGTGGATTGCAGCTACTTTGTGGATTTCAACTACTTAATGGATTGCAACTACATAGTGGATTGCAACTCAGAGTGGATTGCAGCTACTTTGTGGATTGCAACTACATAGTGGATTGCAACTACTTAATGGATTGCAAGAACATAGTGGATTGCAGCTACTTTGTGGATTGCAACTACTTAATGGATTGCAACTACTTTGTGGATTGCAGCTACTTTGTGGATTGCAGCTACTTTGTGGATTGCAACTACTTAATGGATTGCAACTACTTTGTGGATTGCAGCTACTTTGTGGATTGCAGCTACTTTGTGGATTGCAACTACTTAATGGATTGCAAGAACATAGTGGATTGCAGCTACATAGTGGATTGCAACTACTTAATGGATTGTAACTACTTAGTGGATTGCAACTACTTAGTGGATTGCAACTACTTTGTGGATTGCAACTACTTAGTGGATTGCAACTACATAGTGGATTGCAGCTACATAATGGATTGCAACTACTTAATGGATTGCAACCACATATTTGATTGCAACTACTTAATGGATTGCAGCTACATAGTGGATTGCAGCTACTTTGTGGATTGTAACTACTTAGTGGATTGCAACTACTTAATGGATTGCAGCTACTTTGTGGATTTCAACTACTTTGTGGATTGCAGCTACTTTGTGGATTGCAACTACTTAATGGATTGTAACTACTTAGTGGATTGCAACTACTTAGTGGATTGCAACTACTTAGTGGATTGCAACTACTTTGTGGATTGCAACTACTTTGTGGATTGCAACTTTAGTGGATTGCAACTACATAGTGGATTGCAGCTACATAGTGGATTGCAACTACTTAATGGATTGCAACCACATATTTGATTGCAACTACTTAATGGATTGCAGCTACATAGTGGATTGCAGCTACTTTGTGGATTGTAACTACTTAGTGGATTGCAACTACTTTGTGGATTGTAACTACTTAGTGGATTGCAACTACTTTGTGGATTGCAACTACTTAGTGGATTGCAACTACATAGTGGATTGCAGCTACATATTTGATTGCAACTACTTAATGGATTGCAACCACATATTTGATTGCAACTACTTAATGGATTGCAACTACATAGTGGATTGCAGCTACTTTGTGGATTGCGGGTACTTTGTGGATTGTAACTACTTAGTGGTTAGGGTTAGGGAAGGAAAGCTTTAGTGAAATGCAGCTCCTATATAAGAACTTAAGTATGGAGCAACTTAGTGTGTGGCAACTTCTGGATGACTGGATTGGAGAGCTTAGGTGATGTCCAGTTAGTGTACGCCATCTTTGTGTAGGAGAGATTAGGTGATGGAGAGTTAAACAGATATGTTTACCTGTGAAATCAGACATGTTTGGTTGTAAAGTCAGCTGTATGTTTACCTTTGAAGTCAGTCATGTTTACTAGGGGTGGGCGATAATACCGGTTAACCGGTATATTGCAATTCGAACTTCACAATACGATATATTGCGGTACACTTTTCACCCGATAAGATCGGTAATTTTTGTGGTGTAGTCAAAACTACTTATAACATTTGTATTTCCTTTATATTATTATACATTAATAGTTTTGAGAATGTTTATTGGTCATATGATTTCATTTGCGTGACTTTTAAACCATATAAATAAAGAAAATAGATTGGTACCGGCACTCATTGTAAGAATAAACAAACCAAAATGGCGGATGCCGCTGCAGATGGTTTTTCTCGAGTTCCAAACTTTAGAGCGAAAGTCTTCAATTTGGAAACATTTTCAATTGATCTCTTGTACAATCACATCTGAGTCCTGACAGTGGCCAGTGGCATCGTTTCAAAAGAAAGGAAACAGTAATTTCATTCCCTTGACCCATGTGTTACACTTTAACAATATATTGCAATACATATTGCAATACGCCAACACATATCGCAATACGAAAATTTTGGCAATACCCAACCCTAATGTTTACCTATGGTGTATGTTTCAGATGCCTGGTGAAGAATACCAGTGCAGTGGTGGAGATCGAGCTGGAGAGGAACATATGTCTGGAGGAATATAAAGACTTCAAGGACTTGGGGAGGTTCATGCTGAGGTCGGGTGGAGCCACCATCGCTGCTGGCCTGGTGGAGGAGGTACGCTTCTTGAGCTTGTTAAAGGTCACATGCAACGTAAAACACAACTTTGCAGATTCTGATACCTTTCAGTATGGACTTACCGAAACAAATCATCAAAAATGCAAATTCAACTTATAAAGTTGAAAAAAAGCGCGCGAAATCATAGTTCAAACGTTTTCACTAATTTTCCCCCAGCGTTTGGGGGGAATTCAAGTGGTTTCAACAGCTTGGCTGCGCTCATAGCACGTGCGCAGTGAAATAGGTTCGCGCAACTTGGAAGCGGGTTGTCCGGTGAATACTCGGTGAAGGCTTCGGTGTTTTGTTGATATCTCACAGGCGTGAGCTTTTTATATGTTATGACAGTAAATTAACTGTTTATATAATTTCATTTGTCTCTTTCACCACACGTTCTTCTTACCGAGTCACTTTCTCAGTTCGATACTTAAAAGCAATGTCATTATTTAGCGTTGACAGAATTTCTAACTGTGATATAGATATGTCGTTGTCACAGACTAAACTCAATGTCTGTTTTATTGACACCTGTGTGTCTGCCTGCCTGTCTGCTAATGACAATATTCAATACACAACTGTGATCACCGACCACATGCAATTTGAACTTAACACCTATCAGGCTATACACCATAAACAAAATGCATTGATTTATGGCCCGAGTTCGGTCTCTGTCACATTATGTAATTACACAGACTGGCAGGTGTGATACTTGAATACATGACATGTTATGATGTCTGTTGATTGCAAAATGTTATACACAAAAAGTGAGCATGTATTTACAAAACCCAACATCTCTATATATACACACACAATGAGCCGTGAGGGCATCTGCAAATGAACCAACCGTTACACTTGAGTGCACACCCACCCGCTCTGACTGGGTTCGGTATCCCGGCTGCTTCGTTTCTTGGGAAGTAAACCCAAGTACACAATATTGCACTTTTGATTTGCGATTGTACGCTTATAATTTAGTTTTTATGTTTTTTCATAACCAGCAATGTATATTATATGTCATGAATAAGTGATAATTGTGTTTTAATTATGTTTGATTTTTTGGTTGCATGTGACCTTTAAGTTGGGACACTTTAAAGTAATATCTGCAACATACATATAATCCTGCTCACAGCAGCAGCAGCAGCAACTCCCTCCAGGCTGTTTACCTGTTTTTTATATGTTTCAGATTTTACCTCAAAAAGTGAAAGAAGATCAGTGATGCGGTCTTCCAGATATTCATGACTTGGTGCAATTATTTCAACTTTTATGCAAAATCTGGCTGGAAAGGAATGTTCATGAAGTACATGTTGTGATTCAAGCATTAATTTGTTCATGAAATCAAAACCAACCAATGATAAAACCATGTAGGGTGATGGATGAGTGCGTGAGCATAATGGCAGAACAGTGTGAAGAGGACCACAGCTCGGTGTAGGAGTAGAAGTGGGTGATGGGCATGGACTCAGAGACAAATCTCATGACTGCGTGGAAGTTGTTGATGCCCATTTGTGATGCAAAGTCAGCTCCAGATGAACCATGACAGATTCTGAACAGTCTGCCAAAAACAGATATGCCCGGTTGCCAAACATTAAGTTGCTTTATAGTTATGTCTACCTCGACATCCTGATATTCATTAATTAATATGTTATCAATTCTTCTGTGAATATCAAAAATACTTAATTCTGAGAGGTCAAACAGGTTTCAAGACACATTACCAACTCTGAAACAGCTTGTTTGACATCAGCATCACTGCATAAGCTGAAGTAAACAGAAAAATACTTCTTTCCCAGAATATATCTACAGGTAACACATTTCTCCTTCAATCTGTATGGCATTAAATGTGGATTACAAAGACAGGTATAGCAGATCCAATGTGTAATGTAACAAGTAAGGTCTTGTACCATTGTCATGCTTGGGCAAGTTATTGTTCATGTGAGCAGCACATTGAACCAAAGAAAGTTGCTTTTTTAAAGACAAGTTCTGGTAAGGGGGAGGGGGGGATAGTAGAAACCTGATTTCCCTTGTCCTCGGAGTTTGTATCTCATCCTGCTTGAATGAGACTAATGTATACTGTGTACATTATGTGTCAGTTTTATTCAATTCAAGTTTGAATGAAAATTGAAGCAGAACTAATTCATAAATGCTCAATCCAGTGAGGGCTACCATCTCTGGACTTCTACTTGTGCTCAGTACAGATTTGTAGTCTGTGGCTAACGGATTAAAGCACGTCGAAGACCGACGCTTCACTGACTAACGAGGCACCTGGCTGTATGTTATAGGAGATGGCTGTGTTGATGGGGTGACATTTTACACTACAAGTTAAAGGCTGTTTTATTGTTTTGTTAAGGAACCTTCATGATGCTGAATTTTGAAATGAATTCTAAAAAATGTACTGATGAATGTAATTATTGAAATAAATACAATTATGGGACTGCATGACAAATAGAAACCATTATTGAATGAAACTACTCTCAACATATTAAATGTAGGGTGTTTTAACCATGCTCATACCATAGCAGCTGTACGCTGAAGCGGTGTGTTAACCAAGGGTACACATACCATGGAAGCGGTGTCACACCAGGATACACATACCATGGCAGCTGTACTCTGATGCAGTGTAAAACCAGGGCAGCTGTACAGTGAAGCAGTGTGTAAAACCAGGATACACATACCATGGCAGCTGTACTCGTATGCAGTGTGAAACCAGGTCACACATACCAGGGCAGCTGTACACTGAAGCAGTGAGTAAAACCAGGGCATACATACCATGGCAGCTGTACTCTGAAGCAGTGTGTGAAACCAGGGCAAAGAATGTCACAAGTTTCACAATGTTCTGAAACCTGATTTATGAAATCTGAAACTAATGAATATATTACATGTGACTTTGAATGTTCTAAATCTAGTTCTTAATTTGTTAAAATACTATACCAGTGTGGCCTGAGTTCAGTGAGGGGCAAATAGACAACCAGAGAACATCAAATGATAATGCTTTATTCCATTCTGAGATGACGAACCAGGAACATACATGGAGTCAATGATAATCTCAAAATATAGTCTTTGAAATTGTGCATTTATCAACAAGCTGACCCATCAACAACAATTTGGCAATTAGTTTACACACTGCACCAACACAAACTTTCACTCTAGTACATCCCAAACCAGTGCACCGCCACCAGAGAAGGGACATAACTCTAACACCAGTAAAACCAATCACTGAGACAGGTGATATTCCATTGTAAAATCGACCATTGCAAGCAAATTTACAGTTGTCAGTTGAATATAGTAGTTATGTCCCTTTAGAATTCACAATAGCCATTTGTAAGTGGCTGTGACATGGATGAATATTAACCTCTGTACAAGAATATTATTTACAGAAATGTGTGGCCTACTGTGCTACAACACTGTTGTAAGTTCTCATAAAGTAGGTGACAGTGCCTCACAGATGTCCACATTCAGAATGATGTGTGTACTCTTCAGCAACATCGGACCAGTATTCAGCTCACTGACATTTAACTGGCTTAGTTCAACTGGGGTTTGGCAAGTAGTGTTGTGTCTGACTTGTTAGAAGAGACAAATTATCCACTAAATCAGGTTTGTTTAGTGAGGTAGTTGTCGCCTCTATATACAGGGATCTTGTAACCATACAAGTGAACAGGTGCTTGTGCTGGACATACACTGGCTCTAGGTCCGAAAGGTGCACTACAATCTGGTGTATAATGAAGAAATGGTGCATTCCAGAGTTCACATTTATTCCATGAGAGACTGAATGTGCTTGACCAAGAAAACATGTCAAGTGTCCATTAGTATACCTAAAAAAAAACCAACCAAACAATTAATGTCTGTGCTGATTCGATAATTTGCAGGCATATTCTTCAGTCACAACTTATCGGGCACATATAACTTGATCCAGCTATTTACAATCAATATTCTGCCAAAGAGGTCTCTCTCTCTCTCTCTCTGATGGTGTCTGTGTGACTCAGGGTTCCAAATAAAAGGAATATATAACAAAGATTCACATTTATGTCCCCTGCTTCCATATCAACAATCAATTACACAGACTATTGAGTGTTTCAGACAATTCCACTTCAAAATGTTGAACAATACTATGTTGAACGTCCAAAAACAAAACACCCTAAACTGTACCCCTTTTACTCATTATACTATATACAATGTAAAATATTTGAGCATATGATATGATTCCAACTGAAAATAGCTGGAAATCTTGTGAATGCATTCAAGCTAAAACATTTTTCTTTATAAACAGTGAGAATCTCTGGTATCTAGTGGCAACTGTGTGCAGACAATGGTGACTGTTCCTGATGGACAAGCACCAATGATTCATGACAATACATTTCTGCAAACAAAATAACAAAAATATTTCTTCTCATACCATAATAGAATACATATCAAAATATCTACAAAATATCAATCAATAGACCCCCACCTGCAGAGACAGAAACAACGCCTACAACCACGTCCGTTACCATGGCTACTCACAATGACAGGAAACTATCTTATATTAGACTGGGGTGTGTGTGACATCACAATGCTGACAATGAAAGTCATGGGGGGAGCATTTGAAACTATATGCTGGTAAAGATAAACATGATAAGTTAACATAGTATGTCTGTAAACGCTACCTAAACACAATCTAAAACATTAACAATTTCATTGCAGTCATGTCTGTGTGTAATCAACAGCATTGCACTGAACTGAACAACCATAATTAACACATAAATGAAATCCGACATCCACAAGACAAATAGCAGTCAACTCTCGTAACAAGGGCAATGCACAGACCAGAATTTTCTGGCATTTCTGATGACGTAGGGATCTCAAACAATTCCTCCCCAACTTACAGCCCTGTGATGGCCCAGCTGCAGATTGAGGTGAGCCAAAGCAATTAGCCCTATCAAGGCATTGTCGTTGGAACACATGATAAGCTTATCAGTCACTGGGTTTATCAGTGTGCGGTAATTGAGGGCAGACTTGTACTACAATGTGGCTGAGAAGCTTCACTGGCACTAGTATCTAGGTTTTCACAGATTGTGTCTAATGAACAGGACTTGACTGCTGAATCATGAGATGAGTCAGCAAAACTGGTACAAGTACAAATATGGCTTTGAAATGTTTAACAATAGTTGTAACAAACTGTATTTTGGCTATTTCCATTGGCCTTATATTTACAGACTTCTAGTTGTAATCAAAGTGTTCGTTCATTACAGAACAGCTGCAAGCAGCCACACATGATAGTTTTACATACATTGAAGAATATTCCAATCTGATTTACCAGGTTTCAAATCACTATGGAGAGAACTGGCAGTTGTACCTTCTCATACACATGGAAAAAAGTTGTTCACCACAATTCCTTCTTTTCATTGACACTTGTACATGTGTTTTGTAAATACTACTTATATTTCATTCTGATAGATGTAGCCTAACCACAGCCACCTGCTGAACACAAGTGGTGTGCTCTCAATAGTTCAATATCGCTGGCTCTATCACTATGTCAAACTACATCAAAATATTCTGTGATTCTTTTGTATGAGTAAAGAATCTGGGCAGTAATCTCAGTTCAGACCAAGGAAGGGGGGAAAAGAAACAAAGAATACACAGCAGTCATTCAAACTGGCACAACTGTGCACTGAAAAGTCCCCAAATTCCAAATAGTTTGGAGATCCTCAGTGTATTTCTTCTCTGAATGCCAATTTGAAACTAGTATGTTGACTTTTCTTGAGGGTTCCCCTCTCTGATACGACCTAATTGAAAAAAATATTTGTTTTAGCCCCCAGTTTTCCAATGGGTATATACTTTAAGTGGTGCTTTGACCTTTTTTCCATGTGTAAAAGTAGTAATAGTAATCAAACTTTCACAAACGCGGCACGAACATTCAGCAAATATCACAAGTGTAGAGACAGTGGCAGGCATCCAGTTGTGTACAAGGTCGTTGGGAAGACTATTGTGGAGAAGTGGCGATACCTCAGCACCATTAGCTGCAGGCTACAATACTGTCTAGCTTACCACAATACACTGTATACCACCATGCTGCCACCATGGGCAGCTCCCTCCCTCAGTGATCAAGGTGCAAGCCATATATGGTCATATGTCACTTGCTTGACAATGACATTACAATCTATGTCGAAAAACGTCGCCTTTCACTGAACAAAGAAGTTGTATATCCATAACATTATCCTCATTCAACATGTGTGTAGTCAAATCTAAAATACTTGTACTAATTCTTTTCTTTAAAAACCCCATAAAAAACCAGCTACATTAATCAGTTGACTTCACCTGATTTATTCCCTAATTAGCTTTTTAGGTTTGGCATAAATTCTTTCACCTACCTAGATGAACACATCAATGGATCACAAAACTGGCTCTCCACTGATTCCAACAAAACATCAACATAAGAGTCAATCGTAATACACTTTCACAGTTACAATGTTTTGGAAAGCAATTTTAGCTATCAGTCCAAACAATGAAGTATTGAATGTCTTGTGGCACTGCGAAAACTGCAGATAGTCACACAAGCTATTTGACAATAATACTGTTGACCAGTATGTAGTTATCTTTGCAACTTCAATACTGCTATATTCCTGTAAATGGCCAAGAAGAAATGTTGAAGATTAATCATAAATTATTTCATCCATTCAAAGATTGATATAAATGATTTTCCCTTCTCCAAAGCACAAACAATATGACCGCACCAGTATTTGAGCATGACATCATGAGTAATGAACATTTTGATTTTTCCTTTGTCTAAAATATCAATGTTTGTGATAGAAATTCTGTGGATAACATTATGATCATAAGTAAACTTTGCAACAAATTGTATGAACAGACATTCAAAAACATCATGGAGAAAGAAGCAATATACAACCACTTCCTAAAAATCAATACGGGTTTTGATTAAGGATTAGTATGCCTATGCTGTCTCCACAGATCCAAGCTGCCTGCTGTGTAACTGTATTGGAGCCAACCATAGACACCCTTCAGTGTCGCAACAAATAACATGGGGTTGGGTCTGGGTGGGGGGTTGGGAAGGGATACTATTTATCATACACAACCATCCTCCCGACGTCTTCAATAACAGTAATAACCAGTGTCACAAGTACTGCTAGCCAGTGTAACAAGTACTGCTAACCAGTGTCTCCAGTGTAACAAGTACTGCTATCCAGTGAAAGGGAGATTAACAATGCCAACTGTGATGTCATGGTAACCTTGGACCACAGAACCTGTGAATGACCACAGGTGTTTATGAGCGGAGGGCTGAAGCAGATTCATATTATGCACATTGTCTGTTCCACACGGCAGTAAGTAGATAGGAAGATCTGACTACCAACAACCCATTCCTCATTGAACCAATAATGTTCTATCTTATAGGCAGACACTTCACTCACATAGGAGTGAGTGAATGAGTGAGTTAGTGGCTTAATGCAACACTTCTGCACATTGGCCTTGCTTTAAAACAGAGAATATGACCGTGAGAGGACTATAAAATGTGTCTGGAGACAGCCTGTCTCTAGGGGCAACAAGAGTTTACCATAACACAGAAAGAATGTACCACATCCTTGCTCATCTTGTGTGAAGGCTGCAGCAGAATATCAGTTACTCCAGTTCATAATGCAGGTTTCCTATCGTGATTCACAGCAAGCTGCCAACCAGTCAAACCAAAACAATACATTTGAAACATTTATCACATTATGCATGATCAAATGAATTCCCATCCTGAACGGAAAAGGTTTTATTGTGACAGTTGTTACAGAGCTATGAGTGAACCTCATACAACATCATCAGTAACTCATCACTTACAGTATCTAACTAGTGTTTCAAGGACAGCTGTTGTCTGGCGACAGGTGCTTGCTGAACTGTGCATACACTGCACCAACAACAGACCTAGACTGGTGACAGGTGCTTGCTGAACTGTGCATACACTGCACCAACAACAGACCTAGACTGGTGACAGGTGCTTGCTGAACTGTGCATACACTGCACCAACAACAGACCTAGACTGGTGACAGGTGCTTGCTGAACTGTGCATACACTGCACCAACAACAGACCTAGACTGGTGACAGGTGCTTGCTGAGCTGTGCATACACTGCATGAACAATACAACAGAGGTAGCAGGTGTAGGGGCTATGTCAGCAAAGAAGCATCATCAAGCAATCCGCTTCAATACAATGTGAGGAATAATTAGCTGCCAGAGAGTTGCCCCCATGATGCAGATCTACACCAAAACCTCATAAAACCATATTCCATTACTAATCTGTCAAATCTGCTGCCAGTCATTCTCCCCTCCCACCCCACCTGCCTCTCCCCTCACCTGCCTCGCACCCTCCCCTCCCATGACCGTACTCACCAGCCTCTCTCACAACACATGGCAAGATATACACGTTTCTCGTCTGCCTTATGTTAATTTCATTATGAGCACTGATTCAAACACAAACTAACATTCCCTCACCTATAGACTGTGTGGAAATACCAACATCACACTGAAGATCACAGTTGTCTCCGAGACTGCACTCATTCAAAGTGGCACCTCTCACTCCGGTTTGAGACACAAAGCCTGTCCGACATCTTCATGGTAGGCATTGCTAAGCACTTGTTATTACATTTATCATCTGTCCAGTCTTGCTCCCATGGTTTACACTGACCAGATTATGCTTGTACGTTTGGCACTATCACAAATAACTCTATCACTACGTGGAACTGGCAGATTTCTCAACACCAGCAGTGGCTTATGTCTCACTAACAGACTGAAATATTCCACCAGCGACACACATGTCACAGCACTGCAGATTCCACACATGGTAACAATGGGATTTAGACCCACAGTACTTCGTATTTCATGTTTAAGTTTTAAATTGATCCATGCCCATATCCAGAGCTTCCATGTTTAAGTTCAGTCCATGCTGTAGGAATATATAGTTTCTGTTGACAGTGGTCCCTTATAAGCTACTGAGAGGAGCAGAGCTGTTGCGCATGACACTGACACAGCCAGTTGATCCTACTCTGTAATGACAGGAGTGTGCACAACCTTACAACTGTGGAGGGGGGTGCTGTCAGTTGAGAACGTCACATACCAACCATCACTGAAGGAGATTCAGAAGAAGATATCTTCTCATCTGCCAGACACCAGCTGATGACAGTAGACAAACCATCATTGAGACAATATCAGTCAGAATTAGGCTACAGGAGACACACTTACCTCCCTTGTTTAAGGCATTATATATCAGAGATTTGTTTTTTACAGTACAAGCATAATGATTGGAAAATGACAAAGCAAAGTATTCTTTTCTCTCTAAATAATCATAAAAATATTTCCTAAAGCACCATGTAATCTGACACTCCCTATTTAAACTTCTGAAAGTGAAAACCCAAATGGTTGGTGAATGGTGGTTGACAGAAAAGACATCTTCTTCCTCGACCTGCCTCCAAATGACCTATCACAATACCAGCTTTACATCTAAATATATGGCTGACTAGATCATTTGGAACAAAAAATATAGTTGGCCCCTGTTTCCCCCCCAACAAAACTTTGTCCAAGAACATGAGCATAGATTGGCCTTCTTCCAGTACATCTGAGGTAAGGGGAGACAACCCTTGTTCTCCCCACTGCACATCACAATGGCAGCAATAGTTCTCATGAGAGTTCCTAGTTCTCACGACGGGATCTCTTCTTTTTACTTTTGGGAACTGCTTCCCAAGAATCTGTAAAAGAAAAGGAAAAGATTGCCATGAATTAGCAAGGCAGCATAATTATTGGTGGAAATATCACAGGTCCTACACCATGTGAACAGTGGATCCATGGCTAAAGACTGCAAGTGCCTTTGAACAATCTATGCACTAGTTTAAGGTTTATCAGCTGTTCTGTTCAAAGATATAGTTTGTGTTAAATCAACTAAGTCAGCAGACCCCTGGTAGTGATTACTGACTGACAGAGAGCTCAAAAACTGTTCAACAGATTCTTGACACTCCAGGGTAGCTGGACTCTCACTTGACTTTTGTAGACTGCTTTCATGGACCTACTTCCCCATTCTCCAGCAACCATCGAAAGCCATTGTCTTACCTCCAGTTCCACCCATCTCATCAAATGTGACAGGTTTCGATGCCTCTGCTTTGGCTGCATCACCACCAGCAGCACCTCCCAAGTCAGCCTTGGCACCCGTGGGTGCATCTGCATCAACAACACACATACATGTAGCCTCAGTGTAGCTGGGGTGGAAAGCAACATTCACAAATATTCAAGCAGTAACACAGCTCCCTAATAAATTGTGTCTGTACTAAACAATCCAATAATTATTATTGGGAACATCAACTACGTCATGAGTCTGCCCATCAAATTCCTTTAGTCACCAATGACTGGCCTATTCTGACCAGGATGTTATGACCAGCAGAGATTGTTGGGGGCCTATTCTGACAAGGAATGCCCACAGTGTGACCAGCAGAGATTGTTGGGGGCCTATTCTGACAAGGAATGCCCACGGTAGGACCAGCAGAGATTGTTGGAGGCCTATTCTGACCAGGAATGCCCACGGTATGACCAGCAGAGATTGTTGGAGGCCTATTCTGACCACGAATGCCAATGGTTTGACCAGCAGAGATTGTTTGGGGCCTATTCTGACCAGGATGTTATGACCAGCAGAGATTGTTGGGGGCCTATTCTGACCAGGGCGATGTTATGACCAGCAGAGATTGTTGGAGGCCTATTCTGACCAGGATGTTATCACCAGCAGAGATTGTTGGGGGCCTATTCTGACCAGGATGTTATCACCAGCAGAGATTGTTGGGGGCCTATTCTGACCAGGATGTTATCACCAGCAGAGATTGTTGGGGGCCTATTCTGACCAGGAATGCCAACGGTATGACCAGCAGAGATTGTTGGAGGCCTATTCTGACCACGAATGCCCACGGTATGACCAGCAGAGATTGTTGGAGGCCTATTCTGACCACGAATGCCAATGGTATGATCAGCAGAGATTGTTTGGGGCCTATTCTGACCAGGATGTTATCACCAGCAGAGATTGTTGGAGGCCTATTCTGACCAGGAATGCCAACGGTATGACCAGCAGAGATTGTTGGAGGCCTATTCTGACCACGAATGCCAATGGTTTGACCAGCAGAGATTGTTTGGGGCCTATTCTGACCAGGATGTTATCACCAGCAGAGATTGTTGGGGGCCTATTCTGACCAGGAATGCCAACGGTATGACCAGCAGAGATTGTTGGAGGCCTATTCTGACCATGACCAGCAGAGATGCCAATGGTTTGACCAATGGTTTGACCAGCAGAGATTGTTTGGGGCCTATTCTGACCAGGATGTTATGACCAGCAGAGATTGTTGGGGGCCTATTCTGACCAGGGCGATGTTATGACCAGCAGAGATTGTTGGGGGCCTATTCTGAAAAGGAATGCCCACAGTGTGACCAGCAGAGATTGTTGGGGGCCTATTCTGACAAGGAATGCCCACAGTGTGACCAGCAGAGATTGTTGGGGGCCTATTCTGACAAGGAATGCCCACGGTAGGACCAGCAGAGATTGTTGGGGGCCTATTCTGACCAGGATGTTATCACCAGCAGAGATTGTTGGGGGCCTATTCTGACAAGGAATGCCAACGGTATGACCAGCAGAGATTGTTGGAGGCCTATTCTGACCACGAATGCCAATGGTTTGACCAGCAGAGATTGTTTGGGGCCTATTCTGACCAGGATGTTATCACCAGCAGAGATTGTTGGAGGCCTATTCTGACCAGGATGTTATCACCAGCAGAGATTGTTGGGGGCCTATTCTGACAAGGAATGCCAACGGTATGACCAGCAGAGATTGTTGGAGGCCTATTCTGACCTCGAATGCCAATGGTTTGACCAGCAGAGATTGTTGGGGGCCTATTCTGACCAGGATGTTATGACCAGCAGAGATTGTTGGGGGCCTATTCTGACCAGGGCGATGTTATCACCAGCAGAGATTGTTGGGGGCCTATTCTGACCAGGATGTTATGACCAGCAGAGATTGTTGGGGGCCTATTCTGACCAGGATGTTGTGAACAGCAGAGATTGTTGGGGGCCTATTCTGACCAGGATGTTATCACCAGCAGAGATTGTTGGGGGCCTATTCTGACCAGGATGTTACCACCAGCAGAGATTGTTGGGGGCCTATTCTGACCAGGATGTTATGACCAGCAGAGATTGTTGGGGGCCTATTCTGACCAGGATGTTATCACCAGCAGAGATTGTTGGGGGCCTATTCTGACCAGGATGTTATCACCAGCAGAGATTGTTGGGGGCCTATTCTGACCACGAATGCCAATGGTTTGACCAGCAGAGATTGTTTGGGGCCTATTCTGACCAGGATGTTATGACCAGCAGAGATTGTTGGGGGCCTATTCTGACCAGGATGTTATCACCAGCAGAGATTGTTGGGGGCCTATTCTGACCAGGATGTTATCACCAGCAGAGATTGTTGGAGGCCTATTCTGACCAGGATGTTATCACCAGCAGAGATTGTTGGGGGCCTATTCTGACCAGGATGTTATGACCAGCAGAGATTGTTGGGGGCCTATTCTGACCAGGATGTTATCACCAGCAGAGATTGTTGGGGGCCTATTCTTACCAGGATGTTATCACCAGCAGAGATTGTTGGAGGCCTATTCTGACCAGGATGTTATCACCAGCAGAGATTGTTGGGGGCCTATTCAGACCAGGATGTTATCACCAGCAGAGATTGTTGGGGGCCTATTCTGACCAGGAATGCCAACGGTATGACCAGCAGAGATTGTTGGAGGCCTATTCTGACCACGAATGCCAATGGTTTGACCAGCAGAGATTGTTTGGGGCCTATTCTGACCAGGATGTTATCACCAGCAGAGATTGTTGGGGGCCTATTCTGACCAGGATGTTATCACCAGCAGAGATTGTTGGAGGCCTATTCTGACCAGGATGTTATCACCAGCAGAGATTGTTGGGGGCCTATTCTGACCAGGATGTTATGACCAGCAGAGATTGTTGGGGGCCTATTCTGACCAGGATGTTATGACCAGCAGAGATTGTTGGAGGCCTATTCTGACCAGGATGTTATCACCAGCAGAGATTGTTGGGGCCTATTCTGACCAGGATGTTATCACCAGCAGAGATTGTTGGGGGCCTATTCTGACCAGGATGTTATCACCAGCAGAGATTGTTGGGGGCCTATTCTGACCAGGATGTTATCACCAGCAGAGATTGTTGGGGGCCTATTCTGACCAGGATGTTATCACCAGCAGAGATTGTTGGGGGCCTATTCTGACCAGGATGTTATCACCAGCAGAGATTGTTGGGGGCCTATTCTGACCAGGATGTTATCACCAGCAGAGATTGTTGGGGGCCTATTCTGAACAGGATGTTATGACCAGCAGAGATTGTTGGGGGCCTATTCTGACCAGGATGTTATCACCAGCAGAGATTGTTGGGGCCTATTCTGACCAGGATGTTATCACCAGCAGAGATTGTTGGAGGCCTATTCTGACCAGGATGTTATCACCAGCAGAGATTGTTGGGGCCTATTCTGACCAGGACCAGGATGCCTATTTATGACCAGCAGAGATTGTTGGGGGCCTATTCTGACCAGGATGTTATCACCAGCAGAGATTGTTGGGGGCCTATTCTGACCAGGATGTTATGACCAGCAGAGATTGTTGGGGGCCTATTCTGACCAGGATGTTATGACCAGCAGAGATTGTTGGGGCCTATTCTGACCAGGATGTTATGACCAGCAGAGATTGTTGGGGGCCTATTCAGGATGACCCACTGACCAATGCCATGGTATGACCAGCAGAGATTGTTGGAGGCCTATTCTGACCAGGAATGCCAATGGTTTGACCAGCAGAGATTGTTTGGGGCCTATTCTGACCAGGATGTTATCACCAGCAGAGATTGTTGGGGGCCTATTCTGACCAGGATGTTATCACCAGCAGAGATTGTTGGGGCCTATTCTGACCAGGATGTTATCACCAGCAGAGATTGTTGGGGGCCTATTCTGACAAGGAATGATGTTATCACCAGCGCCTATTCTGACCAGGATGTATTGTTGGGGACCAGCAGAGATTGTTGGAGGCCTATTCTGACCAGGATGCCAATGGTTTGAGCAGAGATTGTTGGAGGCCTATTCTGACCAGGATGTTATGACCAGCAGAGATTGTTGGGGCCTATTCTGACCAGGATGTTATCACCAGCAGAGATTGTTGGGGGCCTATTCTGACCAGGAATGCCAACAGAGGGTGTTGAGGGGCCCGGTATGACCAGCAGAGATTGTTGGAGGCCTATTCTGACCACGAATGCCAATGGTTTGACCAGCAGAGATTGTTTGGGGCCTATTCTGACCAGGAATGCCAACGGTATGATCAGCAGAGATTGTTGGAGGCCTATTCTGACCACGAATGCCAATGGTTTGACCAGCAGAGATTGTTTGGGGCCTATTCTGACCAGGATGTTATGACCAGCAGAGATTGTTGGGGCCTATTCTGACCAGGAATGCCAACGGTATGACCAGCAGAGATTGTTGGAGGCCTATTCTGACCACGAATGCCAATGGTTTGACCAGCAGAGATTGTTTGGGGCCTATTCTGACCAGGATGTTATGACCAGCAGAGATTGTTGGGGGCCTATTCTGACCAGGGCGATGTTACCACCAGCAGAGATTGTTGGGGGCCTATTCTGACCAGGATGTTATGACCAGCAGAGATTGTTGGGGGCCTATTCTGACAAGGAATGCCCACAGTGTGACCAGCAGAGATTGTTGGAGGCCTATTCTGACAAGGAATGCCCACGGTAGGACCAGCAGAGATTGTTGGAGGCCTATTCATTACATGACTGACCACAACATATATATGTAATCACTGCTGCCAACTATCTGGGGATACGAGATGCCAGATCCCACCTATCACGCTGCTGTATGACACTACTGAGGTAAGGTATTCAATGATATTATCTAACAATACTTAACACCTTGTATCAATACTACTGCTGTGTGTTAAGTTAGGAACTAGCCACTGCCACGTCATTAATCTGCATCCAGTAATAGGGAATAGCGGTTGAATGAAGTGATGTTTTCCTGCTTTGTGCATGAGCAGTTGCGTTTCCTGTGAGGATCCTGAGAGGGTTACCCTCACAACTATTAAGATATGTTAGCAGTGAAAAGGACATCTGTTGAAATTTTAAATAAAATCTATAGTGTGAATGACAACCAAACAGGAATTAGTGGCTATGATGTAACAGAGATAAGGTTTTAAAAGCAATTCTACTTGCTCACTAAATAACCTCCATCACCTTGGATGGGGACTACCTTGTGTAGACTCACCAGGGACTGATGAAGGCTCAGTACCTCTTGTTTTACTCTTCTCAGGCAGCTCTGCTATAGACTTTTTATCAGCTTTATTTTTTTCTGGTGAACCTTTATTTTCATTATTAACTTGTAAAACCTGAAAAACACACAGAAACAAACAAAACATGAGCGTATGTACATAACATCCAAGACTGGCAACACATTTCACCAGGATCCCAATGAGACAACACATTTCAACAGGATCCCAATGAGACAACTCATTTCAACAGGATCCCAATGAGACAACTCATTTCAACAGGATCACAATGAGACAACACATTTCAACAGGATCAAAATGAGTCAAGCTGTATTTCCCTGAAGCAGAATTACAGTCCACAAAACTACAAAAATTCAAATCCAGAACAAGACACAAATTGAGTAAGTGAATCTCTTAGATGAGGAAGTGACATAAACATGTTTCGATATAATGGTCTATTGTATAGTGCTCAGTACAACTGGAAGCACACAAGGAGTCAGCTCACCTTATCAGCTTTATCTGGTGACGGCTCTTTAGTTTTTTTCTTTTTAGGACTCTTTACTATTTTTGGCTCTTCTTGTGACACCTGTGGAGCGACCTTGACCTCAGGTTCCACTGGTTTGGGAATGTCCTGAACCTCGGACGACTTGCCCTCCGGAGCAGGACTGCCTTTTTTATTCTCTTTTTTAGATTTTGACTTTTTCTTTGGGCTTACATCTGTAAATTCCTGCAAATCATAACAACCATATCATACATTAAACCAATGTAGAGGATGAATATCATGTCATATTTATATGTGAAAAATATTGTAAATTTTATAATAAATTGTATATTTATATACTTATCCTATCTCACGGTATGCACCTCTCTTCTTCTTGTGTGGAAACGTGCTGTAGGCTAAGTTGAATCAAATCTTACTGGCCTCTGACCCGCCCTGACCTCTGCCCCCACTCCAACATCAGCACCTGTCAATCATCTCCGTAAGAGTGCAGCTCGCTCAGATGATCATGTGACTACCTGTGCCTGTCATTCTCTTCTTGGAGCTTCCAGTAATCTGTGATGTGGGGCAGGTCGGGTGGGTATCCATCGTGTGAGATAGGATAAGTATATAAATATACAATTTATTATAAAATTTACAAATTTTTAAACTTATCCTATCTCACGGTACGCACAATCCCACGGTTGGCAGGAGGGCCGCAGATTACCCCGTCAATACGTACAACTGGGAAGACGCATAACCCCAAGGAGGCCAGGAGAAAGCACCAACTCCCAATATGCAGACTCCAAACTTGAGATGGGTTTCTTGTAACCCCATGGCTTACACAGCACAAAAACTCTAGGGAGTGGGCGCTCCCGAATTAATGTGGTTTTCAGCTGCAACTTTTGACAAGCAAAAGGACGCAGTTTGGCAAGTAGGCCAAGCCGCCCCGCGATTTATCAGGTGACCCCAGTGAATTAAAGTCGAAGACCTTAATCTGGCTAGTCCCTGCTTTGAAACTACGAAGCAGTAGACAGACACACGCTAGAAGGCAGTGAAAGCTCGGTTGCTCAACTAGTTTAACGTTCAGTACCAATCTCCCTAACTTACCAAGGTGAGAAAGGACTTAGGAGCAGAACGCTTCGTAAACCATGTAGGTAAGCAACACTTTACTGACGTATTTGCTCGGAGAGTAGAGGTCAGTAAGCGGAGTGTCGATCATCTCTTCATGTAGCACAAGACTGGCCTCACAGTCTATTAAGTCATAACTTATGACAGTGCAGACACGCCCTATTCCCATAGGTGAGAATAATCTAATCCCAATGGAAAAAAGTACCAAGACATGGATTACATCGATATCTTTTATTATGTACAGAGCAACACCGACCAAAGAAGGATTGCTTTATCTGCGAACACGGGCCGATGACAATTGCTGCACCAGGACCAAGGGGCCGAATTGATGTAGACCTTCCACGTCTGTAACAGATAGGTCCCTCAGGTAGTGTGAAGCAAACACTGTATCGGATCTCCCAAAACAGCCCTCCATGATGGACTGCAGGGAACAATTTCTATGAAGAGCCATGGTGGAGGCAAGAGCTCGAGTCTCATGAGGCTCATGAGCCTTTGAGTTTTCTGGAGGTTCGTAGATGTTGAAGGTACTCTGCCACCATCTGCGGGGAGGCCCTGCAATACGCTTCAAAATTCTTCCATTTGTCATCGTAGAGTGACCTCGTAGAAGTACGATGCCCTGTAGAAATGGCAGTAGCCACCCGTTTAGAATAGCCCTTCGCCGTTAACGACCGATGTAGATGCGCCAAGCGTGCAGATGGAGCGTCAACGGGGACCGATCGGGTCGAACGGGAAGTGGTATGGGATCTGGTTCGGCTAGGTCTTGAAGGTTTACGAACCAACTTCTGGCCGGCCAATAGGGCGTGACCAAAAGCAGAGTCATCCTCTGAGTTGCGCGCAGTTTCACTAATATGCGAGGAAGGAGGACCACTGGCGGAAACGCGTAAGCGTACAGGTCCTCCCACAGAATGGCTAGAGCATCGAGGTCCCAAGCCAGAGGGTCCGGAATCGGTGACACAAACCGAGGCAGCTGATCGTTGAATTGGGTGGCGAAGAGATCTACTGTCGGAGTTGTCAACGGAAGACAAAGGGTCTGGAACACCTGAGGATGTAATCTCCATTCCGTTGGAGAGGGATGACTCGGCCGGGACAGAGAATCTGCGATGACATTCTTCGCCCCCGGAATGTGGTTGGCTCTGGCTCGGACTAAGATGTTGAGAGAGTCCACCAGATCGAAGAACTGTTGGGTCCACTACAGCAGTTGAGTAGACCCCGTGGACCCCATCCTGTTGTTATGCCAAACCACCGCTGCGTTGTCCGATCGGATCATGAGGGAAGTTGCTCGTAGGAAATCCTGCCAGTGACTGATAGCAAGAATCACCGCCCTGAACTCCGGGACGTTGATGTGACAGGACGCGATCGTTGTGAGACCACAGCCCTGCCACTTGTTGATTGAGAAGATGAGCTCCCCACCCGTGTTGAGACGCGTCCACATACAGGTGGTGAGACGGAACAAACGGCCCTAAACAAACTCCGTCGCAAACATTCAATTCTTCCATCCACCACAGGAGATGGGGATGGAGCTCCAGAGGTAGAGTGATCAAGGCAACGGGATCTCCCACTCTGATGTAAGGCGCTAGAAAGAACTGCAAGGGACGAAGTTGTAGTTGACCCCTGAGGGTCAACGCCTGAGCCGACGTCAAGAGGCCCAGGAGCTCCTGCCAATGACGAAGCGTCCTGGGGTGCGCCAGTGCCAGAGAGACCAATCGCTGTATCTTGCAGAAACAATCCCTCGGGACAAAGAGTTTGTTGACCTCTGTGTTGAACACTGCTCCAATGAATTGAAGACGGCACATAGGGACTAGTTCCGATTCCTGCAGATTGATTAACCAGCCTAATTGGCAAAGAAGCTGTATCGCAAACTGCATGTGGCGAAGCAGAAGGGCATGATTGGTCTGCACCTGAATGCAGTGGTCGATGTAAGCCTCGAACACTATCCCCTTGCGGTGAAGGAAGCTGGTGATAGGCTTCGTGACCCGTGTGAATAGCCACGGGGCCGAAGAAATTCCAAATGGGAGGACACGTCACTGATAGTGGGTGCCCTCAAAGACAAACCGAAGGAACTTGCGATGAGCCGGGAAGATCGGGATGTGCAGGTACGCATCCTTGAGATCCAAACTGACCATGTAGTCTCATGGCTTGACAATGGTCTTGAGGAGTGCCACCGATACCATGCGAAAATGGGGTGGAGGCTGCAGAAACCTCTCGTTGAAGACCATGTTGAAGATTAACCTCAGTTTGTGCAAATCCTTCTTGGGGACCAGAAAGATTGGAGAATAAAACTCCGGGACGGTCGGAGCCTGACCCAGGGATTCGATCGCAAGTTTCTTGAGTAAGGTGTCTATTGTGGATCGAAGAACAGCCGTCTGCTGAGTGGGATATGTTCTGCGATCCGGAAGTAAAGTGAGAGGAGGATCCCCGATGATTGGCAGCTGAAACCCCTTGGATAACATGGAGAGGACGTAAGGGTCTCCCAAGATGATCCAGTTGAGAGCATAGGTCCCAAGCCGGCCGCCTACTGGGGAAGTCAGAAAGGGCATGACTGGAGGTAGAAGAACCCAGTCGTGTTCTAATGTCATCAAGTCACTGCTTGTCAGGTCTTTGCGAAGTGGTCTAGTCGGTAGTGGAAGCTGGTCATGAAGCAGTGAACGCCCGACGTTGATGGCTGGATCGTCCTCTGCCAAAGGATCCCTTTCCATGAAAGAAAGCAGTAGAACCCGCACGCAGGTCCTGATTGACAGGAACATAACTGGCTGGTCGTTGCCGCCGCAACGATTCCTCCATCTGCAAACGTTGGAATTTCAACAATTCCACTGACACTTGTAAATGAGCATCTTGACCAACATCCCCGACATCTCTAATCGCCCCGTTGAAAAGAGACCTGCCAGACCACGGCTGCCGAAAGAGATCAGTACGGAACCTATCCTCCCATGAGGATAAGTGCAAAGGCCCCCTGCGACGCACAGCTGGTACATACGAAAAGAAGGGAGCCAACTGATCCAGAATGGTCTGAAATTGCTCTTGCAATAAGACCATAGCCGCTCGAATATACGCTTGTTGATGGGACGTAGCATGTGAAACCGACATAGCCACCGCTTCGGTAGTCGTCAACACCATGTTGAGTGGCGCCATAATCTACCATCCAGATGCAAAAGCTCACGATCCTCCACCAGGAACGGCGAGTAGGCTTTCTGTTTAGTTCTCAGCAATGTAATATCATCATCCACCGGAGGGAAACCATGCACATGAGGTGATGCCAAATTGAAGTGAGGAGCCGCGAACCCATCCTTAACCTTCCTCAGGTTACCAAAAGCCTCATCCAGATATGCTGCCAACTGAGTAATACACAGTCGAGGCGTGAACGTGATGGAACCGAAATCACCTGGCTTCATATCAAAACAGGATAATAAATCCGCCGACGAACTACTACGCTGTAAACGGAGGCTATCGGCAATCCAGATGAGTAGTTGAGGTGTGTCAACAGCATCCACGCTACCATCCGACAGTGCCGTACCATCAGAAGAAGGAAATGGCGTCGTCGAACGATGAACCTCCTTTAAAAGTGGAACTGGATTGGTCGAAGGACCCGATGACTGAACAGCAGTGGAAGTTGCTGGCGCCTGATGCCGTAATGCTGACGCTTCCGCTAGCACAATGGCGTCAAAATCCACAGGTTGAAAAGTCGAAACCTCCGACACCGGATTCCAGGATACCGGTAAAATAGGTCTCACCACCGATCCCGTTGTAGGAGGAACCGACGAAACAGACGCAGACACTAAGGGATGACGAGGCACCTCACTGAGAGCCGACGTTTATCCAGCTGACTGAGACACACCCCCATGAGGCAACGATGAACCCGTAGGGTCCCTGGCATTGGAAGCAAAAGCTGAGCTGAGTGGACCCAGCCGAACTAGACACATGAGACATGAGTGCTGAACCCTGAGGAAGCGTCGAACCAAATGTCCCATGAGTCAACCTTGAAGCCAGTGAACTATGAGTAAGCGCCGAAGCACGAACCCCGTGAGTAAGCGCCGAACCAGGAGCCCCGGGAGCAAGCGTCGAACCAGGAATACTGTGAGTAAACGCCGAACCAAAGCCTCCATGAATAAGCGCCGAACTGGGAGCACCGGGATTAAGCGCTGAACCGGGAGCACCAGGATAAATCGCCGAACCGGGAACACCGGGAGCAAGCGCCTAACCAAAGCCACCATGAGTAAGCGCCGAATCGGGAACACCAGGAGCAAGCGCCGAACCAGAGGCAAACAAGAACACTCTGAATGACATCATGGGATCGGTAAAAAGCGGCGCTCTACCAACAGGTAACTGTCCTGATGTAAGCGGTGCTGGAGCAGCAAACGACGCACTAGAATAACGTGGTGGTCCATTACCCAACGGTACATGATAAGGGATAGATGTGGAAAAAGGCACTCTAGGAATCATTGACACACCTGTCAACCCCACCGGAGGATGAGAGAGCGCCGCACCGAAACCATCCACTGCACCCGAAGCAATTGACACATTCGACACAAGCCCCGAATGGGAAACAGGCGTAGAATCAACCACCGAAGTGGAAAGCGCCGCACTGCAAGGAAGCGTCATTTGAGATGTAATGCTAGTAATCACACCAAGTGCCGCACGAGAAACCCCCACCAAGTGCCGCACGAGAAACCCCCACCTCAGGAACAGAAGTGCACTGAGGAATAGGTATCACCGAGGAGGGACGGGGACTTCGAACGTCGGACTGCAGTTTTCTTACGGCATTCTGTCTTAGAAAAATTTAGACGCAGAAGGACCCTCAGATGGGTGACGACGATCCCTGTCTGACACGCATCTACAAGCTACCCGGTGATATTCAGAAAAAGCATCATCGTTGAGGTCTGCACAAAAAGTGCAACATTGAGACCACTCACAACGTCCTAAACAATCAACACATAAAGCATGTGGGTCTGCCGCCGAGAAGTTGCTGTTGCATTTATCGCAAAGTTTGCGCTTTTTAGCACTATTGCGATTCGATTTTCCCATTGTAGAAACACAATCAAACTTTCTTAGAGACAAGCACACGTCCACAAGACGTAGCGACAAGAAAGAGAATGACAGGCACAGGTAGTCACATGATCATCTGAGCGAGCTGCACGCTTACAGAGATGATTGACAGGTGCTGATGTCATGGTGGGGGCAAAGGTCAGGGCGGGTCAGAGGCCAGTAAGATTTGATTCAACTTCGTCTACAGCACGTTTCCACACATGGTCGTAGAAGAAGAGAGGTGCATACCGTGAGATAGAAGTTTAAAAAGTTTAAGGCATAAATGTCTCCCTATGGCGCAGGATAGATTTCAACACCACCAGCTAATGATAAGTCTTTTAAAATCTGATATTCCAGATCTGATCCATGCTGTTGCTGTATTTTTAATAAATGTGTTTGTAATTAGAAATGTGTAAACAGTCATCAAATTTCAATATGTACATTACGTGACAAATGTTAATATGTTATCTGCATTTGTACCAGGGGCCTTGAGCCTGAGGTACTGAAAATATAGTGTCTGTCTGTCTGTCTGTCTATTAAACCAACCAAAGGCTATACAGATCAGCCACAAGTGAACCTGACAGCAGTAAGTAATTACAGGAACATCCAAGCCAAACGTGGGCTTCACACACTATATGATGGCTCAGCTCTATAACCACTGGGACATCCCATCTACAGATAAAACACATTCTATATTTCATCAAGCGGATCAACTCCTGACTGACAAGCAGGGTTGTTACGACTCACTTGCATGTTTGGTGAATCAAACCATATTCCTCCATGAATTCATTTTCTTATTTGCAATCACTAGAATAAATATTTTGTGAATTTTTAAGAAGAGAGCTTTTTAACTTGAGATTCTTATGTATCAAAGGGAGATATGCCAAATGGAATATATCAGCACTCTTATACATTTCACCTGACAGTAATATGGTCAATGGTCATGTCATCACAAATTAACACTGAAGTAACACTTATAAAACAACGTAACTTTATGTATTATTTTATCATTTGACTGACTATACAGAACAAACATCATTAACTTTTCCTTTAAGAGCAAGTGTTGGAAAAGGCATGTATTGGAGACTGTTGAATAAACATGGTCATAGCTACACAAAAGTAAGAATAGATAACTGGTGATTAAATTTCAAGAAATAGTTTTCACCTACAAACAGGATTTTATTACAAATTTAGGGAACATGTATGCTCTGATGATTTTTTTGTTTGTGGTCATGTTATAGACGAGTACACAAATCAGCATTGACTGGTGGGCTGCCTTATACGTAGGGGCACTTTATACGCAGCTATATCCGGCAGTTTCAGGAGTTCTCTGTCCAGCCCACTTGTGTGGGACACCCAGTTATCCAGATATATAGCCAGTTATTCCGATATATAGCCAGTTATCCAGTAATATAGCCAGTTATTCAGTTATATACCCAGTTATCCAGTTATATAGCCAGTTATCCAGTTATATAGCCAGTTATCCAGTTATATAACCAGTTATCCAGTTATATAACCAGATATATAGCCAGTTATCCAGATATATAGCCTTCCAATCAAAGCCAGAGATGAAGCAGGTCGTACATCACATCGCTGAAATCCTCAAGGACATGTATGGAGCTGACAAACCAAGAATAACACCCAGAACCAAGCATGGATTCAGACTGATGATCAGCATATTCTGTTCTGACAGAAGAGTTGCACAGCAACTTGTAGCACCTCCAACCAACAGACAACTTCTGTCCTCAGTCAAGTTATAATCAATGTACATTCAACTGTAAAACATTAGAAATCTTACAGCTTCTTTTGGTACAGTCTTTGGCGGAGGGGGAGGCTCCACAGGCTTGTCTTGTTTTGGTGCTGGAACAGACTGCGGAGCTGCTGCCTTGGACTCGGCAACCTTCACTGGCTCATCACTGTCCTTCTCGTTCTGTAACAGTGAGCAACACCCCTCTATGTCATGAGAGTGAATGATTTCAATAAAATATGAGGTTACTTTTATGAGAAAAACATGCAAAATTTCAGAGAAGAAATGTCTTTCCGGTGTTATTCTGCACTTTGAGAGATTCTCTCAGAATAATCAAACAGGGCTAAAACATTAGACATTGTAAACAAACAGAACATACCTGTCGAACAGCACGATGAACTGTATTAATTTCCTAACATTATGAACAAAAACACCCAAGTACAGACCATGGGTAATGACTGATAGGTGACATACCTTTGGCGACTTCTTCTTTTTAGCTGGCCGCTGACCTTTAGGGCTGACCTCAGTCTCAGTCTGAATGACTGTAGTTTCTTGTTTCACAGGTGCTGGTTTGTCTTCCGATGTACTGGTCTTACTACGCTCGTCAGAACTGTTGTCGGCTTTGTCATCTTTGCTGCCTTTCTGCTTTTTCACTTTGCGTGAGGTCTTGGTAACCCATCCATCAGCTGTTGACGACAGACACAGGATGACTAGCGAGACCAGTATAATGTTGCAACAATGTAAATATATCCCAATACGTCCCCTGTTTCCCAGGGCCTGTTATAATACAGACTCCCTGGCTGTATGTAACTTGTCCTAGGTCAAAAGTATGTCAGCCAGTTAGCATGCATAGGTTTACTTGACTACCATGGAAGTTCTATGGTTTTTGGTGGTTCTTTCCTTATATATACACATTTTTTCTCATTAAAAAATAATTTGAAGAGGATTAATTTCAGTTGTCAATCAAACATGATTTCAAAGGGCCAAAATCAATCAAACACAGACAACTTGGCAATGAACTAGTTGCCGTCCAGCAGCAAAGACACACCGCAAATAGGATGAGTGAAGAAGGATGAGTGAGCATGGTCAGCATGGCAGGGGATACCATATATAGTAGGGGTGTCGCGATGCATCGATACATTTTTACTGACGATACGATACGCGATACATGCTTGCGTGTATCGATTCCTATTTTAAAACTTTATCGATTCAAATTTTTATGCTATATCATCTCCGTCAAAGTCTTGATAGTAAAATTATACCAGACCGCTCCGATAAATAGATGTCGCTAGCTTTACTTAAAAAATAGGTTGGAAACTAACAGCTTTTGTGATTGGCTAGACGATTTTGATGGACCAATCAGCGAACGCGTACGTTGCCGGTAAGGTAATGCTATGAAAAGGCGTGATAATTATGTATCGTGATACGTATCGTATCGTGACCTTAAAATCGTGATACGTATCGTATCGTGAGATTGGTGTATCGTGACACCCCTAATATATAGGCTTCACACATTGTACCCATGTAGGGAATCAAACCCTGGTCTTCACTGAGACGAGCGAACGCTTTAACCAGTAGGCTGTCCCACTGCCCCTGATCTGACACTGAAATTGTCCACACAAAACATAAATCTGGCACACTTACCATCATCTTCTACTACTGGCTTGGATTTGACCTTTGCTTCCTCTTTGGCTGCTGGTTTTTTGGCCTGCTGGAAAACAACATGCAGGTGTCATTATATCTCTGTACACAGGTGTCATTATATCTCTGTACACAGGTGTCATTATATCTATGTACACAGGTGTCATTATATCTGTATACAGGTGTCATATCTCTGTACACAGGTGTCATATCTCAGTACACAGGTGTCCTAGGGGAGCAGGGAATTATTTAGACCTATAGTGAGTGGTACTTAGTGTAGTGCTGACTGCTGCATAATTAGTGGTACTTAGTGTAGTGCTGACTGCTGCACAGTTAGTGGTACTTTGTGTAGTGCTGACTGCAGCACAGTTAGTGGTACTTAGTGTAGTGCTGACTGCTGCACAGTTAGTGGTACTTAGTGTAGTGCTGACTGGTACAGTTAGTGGTGTAGTGCTGACTGCTGCACAGTTAGTGGTACTTAGTGTAGTGCTGACTGCTGCACAGTTAGTGGTACTTAGTGTAGTGCTGACTGCTGCACAGTTAGTGGTACTTAGTGTAGTGCTGACTGCTGCACAGTTAGTGGTACTTAGTGTAGTGCTGACTGCTGCACAGTTAGTAGTACTTAGTGTAGTGCTGACTGCTGCACAGTTAGTAGTAGTAGTGTAGTGTAGTGCTGACTGCTTGTGTAGTGCTGACTGCTGCATAGTAAGTAGTACTTAGTGTAGTGCTGACTGCTGCACAGTTAGTAGTACTTAGTGTAGTGCTGACTGCTGCACAGTTAGTAGTACTTAGTGTAGTGCTGACTGCTGCACAGTTAGTAGTACTTAGTGTAGTGCTGATAGTTGCATACTTAGTAGTACTTAGTGTAGTGCTGACTGCTGCATAGTTAGTAGTACTTAGTGTAATGCTGACTGCTGCATTGAATAACTTGACAGTGAGTGAGTGAGTGAGTTTGGTTTTATGCCGCTTTTAGCAATATTCCTGCAATTTTACGGCGGGGAACAAAAGTAATAAGCTTCACACATTGTACCCATGTGGGGAATTGAACCCTGGTCTTCAGCGTGACAAGCGAACACTTTAACCACTAGGCTACCCCAACGCCCCGAATAACTTGCTAGCTAATTTTGATTAGATAGCTCAGATTAAGGCACAGAAAATAATTCCCCAGGCATGAAGTAGGGCAAAAGTGGAGAGAGTGACTAGTGAACTGACTCAGTCACGGTTCCAGTGCGTTCAGAGCAAGGGTGCTCAAGGTGAGATGTTTAAAACTATATTTCTGAGGAAAATGAAGAGATAAGTGGTCCATCTGAGTCAGGATAAGGGAAATTAATGTTATTACTCCGTTTGAATGACTTGCATTTCACTGGGTAATATGTAGGGCTGATCATTGGCAAATATACCGTATTGCAATATACTGCAAAACAAGGTATCTGCTTTGCAATATATTGGGAGCTGAAGTATGTGACATTGACTGACACTGACTGTATGTACATAGATCCAATTTTCTACATAATAAAAGCTGAAAATAATGTTAACAACTATCTCTAAATCAGGTTGAATAGTTTGAGTTTTCCTTTCTTTTTGAAACAATTGATATTAACTTATACCACATACCAGACAATTGGAGTTGAAAACACATCTCACATCTGTCTCATTCATCCTCACCTTTTTATCAGTCTTGTCGGACTTGGGAGATTTGGCCTCAGGTGTCTTTGACTTGCTCGTGTTGCTTGAGCTTGACTGTTTGGCGGACACTTTGGGAGATGCAGATTTTGATGAGGCAGTGTTCTCATCAGCAATACCAATCGCAACATGGCCATTGGCAGAACTCTTCACCTGGGAGATTAATACCAATACAATCAATTTTTTCACCAACTCTTTGACATGTTTAGAGATATTATTTTCTAAAATGAGACAACACCATGTCTGATATAAAATCATTTTAGTAAAACTAATCATTTGTATACAGTGAATCAGTCGATCAAAACTTTATATACACTAAACTATATCTTGTACAACTGTCGCCATCAAAACACATGCCACAGTAACATGTCTGTAGCACAACAAGTTAAAACCTATAGTCTGTCTCCACAAAGCAATCTTGTTATTATGAATAATATACACAGAATATAACTGCTGATATGACAACATATGATATCTAACAAATGATATCAGGTTGTCTATCCTAATGGCATCTACCCCAAATGACATCTACCCTAATGATGTCTACCTTCAGGTTGTCTACCCTAATGGCATCTATCCCTAATGGTATCTACCCCTAATGGTGCCTACCTTCAGGTTGTCTACCCTTAACAGTCTCTACCCTAATGGCATCTATCCCCAATGGTATCTACCCCTAATGGTGCCTACCTTCTGGTTGTCTACCCTAAAGGCATCTATCCCTAATGGTATCTACCCCTAATGGTGCCTACCTTCAGGTTGTCTACCCTTAACAGTATCTACCCTAATGGCATCTTCCCCTAATGGTGTCTACTTTCAGGTTGTCTCCACCATAACAGTGTCTACCTTCAGGTTGTCTACCCTTAACAGTATCTACCCTAATGGCATCTACCCCTAATGCTGTCTACCTCCAGGTTGTCTCCCCTATAACAGTGTCTACCTTCAGGTTGTCTACCCTAATGGTGTCTACCCCAAAAGGCATCTACCCAAATAGTGCCTTCCCTGATGGCATTTCCACTAATAGTGTTCAACCCCATCTTCTGCCAATGTTGTCTATCTTAATATTGTCTACCTTAACAGTTTTTTTTTTCTACCCCAATGGTGACTTTGCAAACCCTCAGTAAAGGAGACAGAATATGTACCAAAGAACTGAATGTGAAGGGTAGTGCTGGAACGTGTACAAATTTACTGTCAAGGTATTTGACTCCTATTACCCCATTGCTGAAGGTCTTGGGTTGGCTACTATTGTCTGCTTGGAAACTGTTTGACTGGAGCCCTGGCACAAGGTATTCAGATGCACACATGAAAGAACCTGGTAATGCATACATCTAAGTTGTCTAAATCATACATTTATTCAAACTATGTTAGATTGAAATCTTGGATGGTGAAAAAGAATGTGAACATTAGTGTCTTGAATTGTGGAGGAGCCATAGAGACAATCATGGTTACAACAAGTAAGTCAGCTGGGTCCTGTACTTCTGTGAGTACCTGGGCAGTCTTACTCCATACCCACCCAGTTATTCATACCAGCCCTAGTGGGAACAGCAATAGTCTTTGTACTATGGTGATCACCGGTCACCCTTGCTAGAGATGGTGCTAATGACCGGTGTCGGGAGGTAATAGGAACAGCCGGAAAAACAGCGAGTCTATGCCAGCCATTCTGTGAGTACACAACGCCTTATCTGGGGTCTACCTAAATCCTTAGGTTAGGACTATATTACCGCAGAGTGCGAGCCATAGCTAACTCCATTGGTGTTCCGCCGTAGTGGTGAACTAGTTTTCACTACAGTGACGCCGCGAACACCGTTCCTGGGTGGGAATTTCCGTTTTTCTACCTCGGGAGATCGCAGCGCAGTTTTCAGTTTTTCCGCTATTGGGGAGAGGCGTAGTCTGCGACATCACGTGTCGTAGGACTGTGTGTCAGCCAGCGTACTGCTGTTTAGGATATTTTTAAAGTTATTCCGGCGTTCTCGGAAGGTTAGCTTTGGGGAAATCTTCTACAAAATAGATTAATATAAGTTTTTTCAACTCCGGTCGGCTCACGTGCAGGTCACGTGGGTCGGCGCAACCGACTGGTGCTCCAGCCAACCTGGCTGGCATACCGTGCTATCTAACTTTCTAAGATTTTGTTAGGCTTCTAAAGTTATAAGGGGCCATTGAACATTCATCGTGTGCTGGACAAATTTTGGATGTTGTATGACTTTATTGATGTTATGCACTGTGTTACTCTTGTGAACTGTCTGCGCATGTCAAGAAGGAAGTGGCAGTGTTTACATTCGAGGGATGTGATATGTTGTTCTGGGAGTGCAAACGAACAGCGGATAGCCGTAAAACACTATTTCCATTGACGGGAGCTTGGACACTCATATTGTGTTTTATGGGGAAGGACTATTCACGGAAAGATTATTCACGGAAGGACTATTCACGGAAATATTAAAGCGTGAGTGCTAGAAACTGGACTTTATAGGCTATACACTATGGCTCAACAACCCATTTATGTAAATCTTTCAACCGCGAATGATTTGAAGGAGAGAGGACTTTCCCCAAGTCAAGTGAAATCATTGGTGACAATGAGGAAAACAGGATTTAATATTACCGCTGTGGACATACCGGACTTGGAAGAATTTAATCATGATGCAGATTTAGTGTCAACATTTGATTACACCCCAAGTGGGAAATTGAAGAACCGGATCCAACCCATCAAACAGGATAGTTTGGAAGATAACATAGAGCCAGAGGATACCACAGGTTCGGAAGGTTGGCACGCGGTGGGCGAGGACAATGAAGATATACAGATGCAGGCCAATGGGAGTAATACCCAACAGAGCTCAGGATTGGAATCGGCACGCGGAGCACACAGTTTCGGTTCACGGGATACCGGAATGGTAAACATGATGGACAGAATGATGCGGTCAATGGAGGACTTGAACAGAAGGAACGCAGGTTTTATGATGAGGACGGTGAGCGAAATGTCCATTAACAATGTAGAATTGTGTAAAAACACCTCCGCAGCAGTGAAAGTTAGCACTGAGGCAGTGGAGAGAGCAATTCACGGCTAGATAGCTTGGGACATCCTCTGACATCGCCGTATGGGTTCAGTCCATTATGGTCAGTGTCCCAGGGGTATGCCTTCGGATCCCCAGTTTCCTGGACGGACGTACACCGTGGACCAAACCCTATTGTGAGATGGGAGCAAGGTGGCGGAGGGATGGAGGGCTGGTTCCAGGGCGTAAAGCCGGAGCCGGCCACACCAGAGCAAGCGGCGGGATTGCATCATGAAGCCCCTGTGTGCAGGAAAACAAAACCTGGGGAGTGCAATGAAGGATATGACCCTATGAGTAAGATGCTGGATGAGAGAACTGCCAGGAGGTCCGCTTCCGAGTTACCGTCTGTGCATGCAGTGAGGGAGGAGTGGATCAGAATAAAGGAACTGGAGCGACTTGTTGCTAGATTTGACCATGAACCATGTATGACCGATGTCTATGCCAATGAGGAGCGTTTACAGGCAGTGACTGCTGCAATATCAGAAATGGAACTAGATGACTACTATGACATTGACACTGATGAAGAGCTGAGACTATGGAATTACCTGCTAGAGCTTCTTCACACTCGTTGCATGAATTTGGAGTTGACACTGAGCCTGCAGAAGATCTTCCAGGAGATGCTGTGCAACTTGGACTGGATGGAAGGGACCACAGCCTGGCTTACATCTGAGGGTGATGGTTGGCACCTGATGGAGGTGGAGGAGTTGCAGCAGCGACTATTGGAAGCCTGACATCCATGTAGTGGCAGAGAAGGTGGAAACTGTGAACAGTTCAGCCTCCCGTTTTACTGAAGCGACTTGTGGGACTTCTGTGACCCTGATGTGGGAAAAAGCTAATGCTTATTTTGGGGAATCGGCTTATGATGAACTGAAAAAACTTGTTGAGCAGAGAGCGATCTCGTGTGGAAGAGGATGCAGCTCTACAGGAACATGAAAGATGAGGAAGGATGGATCAGGGAGAAGAAACAACTTATGTCATCACTTGACTTTGGACTTAACCCACCAGTACTTCGCCTGCTGCTGAACAAGCATGACACGATGGAGGAGGAGATGAATGCCCGCCACAGCCATCTCCAGTCAGTACTACAAGTGGGAGACATCCTCGTTGCTGCAGGCAATTTCTGTGCTGACAAGATTCAGCAACACATCAATGAGGTCAAACAGCAGTGGCGCAGCCTGGTGGACCTAAGCTGATGAAACGAGCTTGAAAGAAAGCGACTGTTTGTTGCCATGGATTTCCACCCAGTTCGTTGATTCTGGCAAGGTGGCGCCTTGACACTTGGATGAAGGACACTTTACAACTAGGGTCCATGGAAGACGTGATTCAAGATGATGAGGCCAGTGTTCAATCAGCTTTGAAGCAGAAACATGGAGGAGGTGACTGAGGAGCTCAAGAGCTATCAGAATGTTATTGTGAACCTGCATAAGCAGGCCATCGGTCTGGGAGAGGAGTACTGTGAATGTCATTTGGTCAGGAGTCGATTGAATAATATTGACTATTGTTACCAGAGACTTCTGGAACTCGCTGAATGGCGGAAGCAGAGACTGGTTAATGCACTGTATCAGTACAAAGTCCTCATTGAGAGTGAAGGTGTGGAAACAATGATTGATGAGAGTGAACACACTCAGGATGATGCAGTCCTGGACCTCGGGGATAATGATGGTTCAGTAGACTTGGATGAGGGGGATGTTGTAGATTTTGAAGAAGTGAGGGAGGGTTTGACTGTCCCCGAAGTACCCTTTGTTCCTGCCCTTGCTACACCTACTACACCAGCAAATATCAAGACTGTTCCTCCGGCAGTCAAATCAACGCGTTCTGCAGCAGCTAAAGCGACACGATCACCCACCCACCAAAAGTGCTTTGGCAGCAAAGTCACAGGCGACACAGGGAGTTCCTGCTGGGAATGCTACTCGATCATCTTCACCTAAAGTAGCGGTATCAGCAAACACAGCAACAGAAAAAGGGAACATTCCTAAGCATCCGGTCACTCTGTTCGACCAAACAGATGATTCTTTTGAGGTGAGTCTTGATGACACTCAGATGAATGAGATTGTTGCGGACCAGAAGGAGAACGATGGAGAAAGAAAGACTGCTGACAGAGACACCTCAGCAACAACTGATGAGGTTGTGAGAGGTTGCGGAGAGAATATCAAAGCGAGAACAGGGGGCTTAAGCATGATAGCAGAAGGGGGTCTACCCCCCTGGCCACCAGATGGCGCCCTAGTGAGCTGTGGTAAGGAGGATGCAGATGGTGTTCTCCTCAGCAACACAGGTCTGAACGTTAAATGTTTGCCGCTGTGGATACCCGACGGTCACACCAGGGAGGGTGGTCAATCTCCCGTTTTGGAGATGGGGGCTTCGATAACAGGTAAGGCACGCCTCCAAATGGATGGAGAGACGAACCGGCAGGACGTGCTGGTGGCACAAATCAGCAATCAGCTCATCCTGGGACTTCACTTAGCCGACAGGCACTGCACAAACATTGATGTGCAACCAGGGACAGTTACCATTGGCGGGTGTGAGATCCCGGTAACGTTCAGGACCAGAGAGTCTGTTGTATGCCAAGGGGCCATTCCAAGGGCAGTGTCGTGTGGACCGCACACAGCTACCAGACTACCATGCCATGACCATGTTGACAGTCAAGAGTTGAACCAATCCCCGGTGGAGCCTGTTTCAGAAACCAGGCGGTGTGCATTAAGTTTGGGGAACCTACATCAAGGGCAATGCTCTGCTTTGGTGTACTTGATCAACACGGCTGACCCCTTAGTGAAGGTACACAAGGGTCAGCACATTGGCAATGCAGTTGAAGACAGACAGGGTGAGGAGACCAACAGCGTTATCTGTAGGGCCTCTTCCATTGCGAAGGTAGGGGAGGGTGTCCTACGGAAACTTCCATTGCTAGACATGCCCAACGAGATGGACATGTGTATTTTGGACACAGACGGCTCTGGCCTAGCTGTCAGGATTGAGCTACCCTTAGGGCAAGAGAGAGGGGCCAGTTGTGGTCGTTGCTCATTAACCCTAGAGCAGCGGGGGTATGGCCAAACTCACAAGAAGATGCTGGTGGATGTTCGCCTTCCAAGACAGTATTGCCACTACCTGTTGGGGCATTATTTTCTGATGCGGATGGACCACAACAGTTGGAGGTGGTCGCTTAATTTCGAATCGTCTGACAGACAGCTGGCCTGCTGGCCTGAGACACTGAGCCCTTATGACATGAAGGTTGAATATCGTCCAGGGACCAAAGAAATGGCCGATGAAGCAGACTGTGACAGCTGCCAGAGGTTGGTTGAGTTACACAAGCTCCCATGCGGGGGCTGTCAAAATGCTCGCCAACGAGGGGATCAGTTCCACAAGGACGTAGAGTACATCCTTCCATTAGCTGGCCGACCTTGGACAGTCAGGGGGGTAACAGGGGTGGAAGATAACAGCTACTTGGGAGAGATCCCTACCAGGTGGGACCCCGGTGGGATGAGCAAGAATCAGGCAGAAGATCAGGGGCATTCTCTTGAACAGAGTGACCCCAAATCCTACCCGGAGAAGATTCACACTGATCCCAAGTGTAGGACAGTTGTGGGATTGCACCCCAGAGTGGGCGCCAATCTGGTTGTGAGGCGTGCCCGCCTGCCGCTTCGCTCTTTGGCGGGGCGTCCTCTGCGTGGTGGGGCTAGACGACACCGCAGAGGCCAACGAGTGGAGAGGACAGGAAAAAGTTTTGAGGGAGCTGGCACCGAACATCCCGGCTGGGTGCCCGGTAGTGGTATGGGTTCGTGGGCCTGAGGGGGATGAGCTGGCTGGATCATCCCACACCCGGGTCATCCGGGTGTTGAAGGAATGCCTTCCCCAAGATAAACCCTTGGTAGTCCCCAACTTCACCAGAGAGGAGGGGACGGACCAGGAATGGTTGGAGGGGTTCTCACAATCTTGTTTCAGTTTCACCTCCCGGGTGGTGGAATTTCCCCAGGGCCAGATGGTGTGGTTAAGGGCGGTGCCAGAGGATAGGGTGCTGATGGGGACAGACTGTCCCGACACTGGGCCGGGAAGGTTGCACCCTGAACTCCAGTGTTGCTGTGCTATGTGACGCAAGTGGTAGCAAGAAAGAGGGACTTCTCTTGACCACAAACGTCAACGCGGCTCGGCTGTTCACTCTGGGGGACGCCGTGGGTCTCATCCAATGGTAGGGTGAGGCTCGTGTAATGCCTAATGTTTTCTGGGCTCCACCCAAGACGGGGGTGGGGTCTGTGTGCGCCAGTAGCAGCCAGTTGGCCCCACCTAATGGCTAGGTGGGGTTGGATGGCCTTTGGCAGGTCATCAGTGTCGCTCCGAAGTGGAGTGGGACTTTCCTAGAGACTGTAAAAGACTGCGGGTCTTACTTGATGGTACGAGTGGGACCTGAACCCTATATGATATGGACGATTGGTCCCACCGAGGATACGGTGGAATCCACACCAGAAAGCCGGAAGCTAGGTGCTTGCGGAATCAGGGTGACTGAGGGGAGGACCCCTTGGTGTGCCGCGCAGAAAGGATACCCCTCGGGAGACAGTTACGAGAAGACCCCTTGGCTGAGGACGGCATGGTGTACTTCCTATGGAGGGTGTACTTCCTGTGGAGGGGGCCTTTTAAAACGGGGAGGAATATGGTGATCACCGGTCACCCTTGCTAGAGATGGTGCTAATGACCGGTGTCGGGAGGTAATAGGAACAGCCGGAAAAACAGCGAGTCTATGCCAGCCATTCTGTGAGTACACAACGCCTTATCTGGGGTCTACCTAAATCCTTAGGTTAGGGCTATATTACCGCAGAGTGCGAGCCATAGCTAACTCCATAGGTGTTCCGCCGTAGTGGTGAACTAGTTTTCACTACAGTACCAAAAATAAAATCAACCTGTGGAACAATGACCAAGACCAACAATAAAACTATGATTAAAATCAGTATTTAGTTAAAACAAAAGGATCAAAGCACAAAAGCGATTAATTGAAACCATCACATGTCATTATCAAAGTAGAGTGTCATTTCACATATGAGATTTCTAACCTTTCCAAGCAGAAACAAATTCTGAAATATTTTTTCACATCTTGTAGCAGATGGGAGCCCCTCCCGTGTTAAGTCACAAGCCGTTTTGGGGGAAACGAGCGCGGTGTTGGTTATTGTGTTGCACTTGTCCATCAGTTGTATTCCAGTCGTTTTTCGTTTACCAACAACGTGTATCATTATATTTCAATACAAACAGTGTGTCATCAAACATACATACCTTGCTTCTCTTCGACCTCTTCTCTCGCTGCTTCTTGTCATCATCGAAGTCGAAGCTTGGTGGCTGCGCTGGCGACTTGAAACCGAACGCAAAAACAAGGAAAGCACAGAAAACAACGCCTAAAACTGGCAAAGCAACGTGGAGAGACACCACCTCCGTGACTTCCATTTCAAAACAATGTCATTTACTGCAAGATACTTGATAAAGACAGTAAAATATGGGACAACAGCAAAGTAAACCAATTTTCTATCACCACATGCTGACGTAGCTACTGCTGATCACGTCATCACTTTCTGTGTGCTTTTGAAGCAAATACAAAGAAACCACAATTTCTTAAAATAAATCATACAAAGTATTTTTAGAGTGTTTATCGTTGAAAATAATGTTCTAGCTTTTAACTTTGTAGAATTAGGCCTATTATTGCACTGACACATTGCGCTCTATTTATGACGTCATCACAGTGGAAGTTCAATATGGCGTCGTTGGTGTTTTGGCAAGGTGATAATCCGAACATTCTTTTCTGTAAATGATGCATTTGACACGTGCTTGACTGTATTATGTTCTTGTTTGATACAGTGTAAATGTAAAATTGATAACACTATGTTAAATGTATAAATATTAAATTTATGCAGGCAATATGCGCAGTCGAAATGATGAATCACTCTGACCTGCTTGATCTCCTGGCCTATGATGTAAACAGACGAGGAAATCACATATTTTGATAACTCTTTTTAAACATAGTTTGTGTAACATATTTTCTCTTGGTTTAGACACAGTAATGGCAATAATCATGTCACTATCTTTGATGACTTTCCATTGACTGAGTGGCCAAATGTACGATGAGAGGCCAAGGGTGTGTGTTTAGCTTATATTTATAGTTAGTCGACCTGTTTATCCTAGATAGAGGGAGTAACACGTATTCAGTGGATGGATCATTATCATTTATCTACCTGTCACTAATAGGTTTTAGATTCTAAAGGTTTCGTTGAGAATTTTAAGCATTGTCATGTTTCAAGCATGTTTTGAGAATATCCTTCAAGATGTATGTTTTTTATTTAATGTTCCTACTGTGTAATGGTGACCAAGAGAAAACCATATTTAGTAATTACCTCCCGCTCCATGTGTGTACATCATCACAAGAATATAACAGCATCCATAGAAACTTAAAAGAGAAGATCACACAATATTTTACTATGAACACATTTTTGTTACACAGTTTCATGACATGATAGATAGTTATAGTTTCCAATAACATCACAAATGTATGTCATTGTTTAAATACAATAGTACTGTAGTAGTTACCAGTAAGCATCCATGTTATTATATTGCTGATTTGTTATGACACTGTTTCAGTATGTTGCCAATTACTATACATGCTAATGCTGAAAAGTTGTCTTTTGTGTAAAAATTTGATCAGGATAAATATAACTTTATATTTGGCTGAAATTATTAACCTGATTAAATTGCTCACAGGAGATTGAGAATTGTTTGGAGAAAATGACAAAAGAAGAAGAAAGCGAATGCAGTGACAGTGAACCCGGCCTCCACCTGGCCCTAAAGAAACTCAAGGTGGACCCAAACTGGTAAGCTGATGTTGTTATATTTTAACAAATCTGCAGCCAATGTCAGTGCTTTGATTAATAGTTTGCCAATTTATGTAGTCTTATAATCAATTAAATCAATGTAAAAGCTTTGCAGATGTGACTTTGGAGCACCTTTAGAATACAGCACCACAACTTCTCATGCGGACAGTCTCTGTTGTGGGTCACATGTTACTAACTCAATCAACCAGTTTTGTGAGAATAGGTCTCGGGTTCGATTCCCAACCGCGTCATACCAAAAGACGTTAAAATATGGTACTTGTTGGTCCCTGCCTGGCGCTCGGCATTAATGGGTACAACAAGGACTGGTCTGCTCGGAGTCAGTATAATGTGTCTGAGTTGGGTATAAATTCTTCACTGTGGCATGGTATCTCAGTGGGCTAGCACTATAAACCCAGCTTCAGTCTGGGCTAGTACAAGCAGCCGCACATACACATACACACGCATGCACGTCGTCATATGAGCGAAATATTCTCAAGCACAACGTTAAACCCAATTTCACCTCACCTCACCGTCAGACGCGAATCCATGATCTTCTGATTGTTAGCCTTACTGAAAAATCTATCAGGGCACTTCTCAGTCAAGTGGTTGTCAACTTCAAGGCAAAACAGGACACGTGCTCTCATCTCTCGTGTATTACCCATAATGTACAGTACCAAAAGAAAAAATCCGGAAAAACAACACAGTCCTCAGTTAACCGGACGAGTCGCAGATAAATTGAAATCCGGGCATAGGGATGCTTCTCGACAGCCGCCCCCAAATTTGACACAAATTTGAAAATAAACGATTACCTAATAATGTCTCTATTATCAGCACAGGACATGTCCATGATCTGTTATTCGTCAGGGCACACAGGTAGTAGGATAAGTCGACAGACAGGTCTCAGGATCCGCTGACCATCAACCTGAACAGCAGCTGATCGAATCCTACCGTCAACCCCTGGGAAAGTCTCATTTACTCTACCGACTTGCCATGCAGCTCTAACACTCTGCGGGTCTAAGGCCATCACAACATCTCCACACTCAATGTCCTTATGATCCTTGCGATCGTTCTGCCATTTCTGCCTCAACTGTAGCTTGGGTAAGTAGTCACGAATAAAATGTTTCCAAAAATGATCAGCAAGAACTTGACTGTGCCGCCATCTGCAGCGACCAAGTATCTCGTCTTCTGGATACACAACCTGTGGCATAGAACTGTCTCTGCGACCGTTCAGAAGTATGTTTGGAGTCACCGGGTCAATGTCACTTACATCTGACGACACATAACCCAAAGGCTTTGAGTTTAGGATTCCTTCTACTTCGGCCAATACAGTCTGGAGTACTGGTTCTGTGACACTTTGATCTCCGAGGGCAACTCTAAGCCCATACTTCACAGATTTAATTTCTCTCTCCCATACACCTCCAAAGTGTGGGGCACTTGGCGGGTTAAAGTGGAAGCGAATCTTCTGTTTAGCAAGTTGTGTTGTTAATGATGGCACCATTACTGCCCATGCCTCATTGAGTTCCTTGACTCCTCCTTTGAAATTGGTTCCATTGTCTGACCAAATCTCAAATGGCTTCCCTCGACGAGCTATGAAACGCCGTAGTGCCATCAAGTAGGCATCAGTGTCCATTTTGTCAAGCAGGTCGATATGAACTGATCGGGTTGTCATGCATTTGAATATGATACCCCATCTTTTCTCCAAACGTCGTCCAACTGTTACGTGCATAGGTCCAAAGCAATCAGTTCCCGAGGAAAAAAAAGGCGGTTTGAAGAGTCTCAAGCGTGCTGGTGGCAAATCCGCCATTTTGGGAACTTGTGGATTTGCCCGCCATTTCTGACAGACTACACACTTTCTCTGGTGGGAACGAACAGCTTCTCGTCCTCGTAAAATCCAATAACTTCGCCGAATCTCGGCAAACACACGCTCCGCTCCACAGTGTAACAAGTCAGTGTCATATTTGCTGATGAGCAGACGGGTTGTCGGATGTTTAGGGTCAAGCACAATAGGGTGTTTGGTGTCATCTGAAAGTTCCTCAGAGCGACGGAGTCGTCCACCAACACGGATTAGCTGTAATTGCTTGTCGAACACAGGGTCGAGCTGCATTAGTCGACTCTTTGAAGGTAATCTCTCACCATTCTCAAGTGCTGCAAGATCACCAGGGAAACATTGCAATTGTACATCTCGCAGTAATTGCAGTTCTGCGGCTTTTCGCTGTTCAGCAGGTTCGGCCGCCCCATCAAAACCCTCCATGGTTTTTGTCACAAGTTCATCCCAACTGGTACATTCAGCTGGATCTACTGTCTTCAGATCTGATACCACAGCATTAGCACAGAATGTTGACTTCAGCTCCACTGTGCCATCAATTATCTCAGAACCTTCTTGGTCGGGCCACTTATGGCGTGGCAATGACAGGAAGGGTGGACCTAGTTTCCAACGTGAGTCCACACTGAGTTCTGTGAGTGTTTTCCCTCGTGTGACGTCATCTGCTGGATTGTCCTGAGTGTCCACATAGTGCCACTGTGTCACGTTAGTTAGGGTCTGAATCTCTGATATCCTAGTACCGACAAACACTTTGTATCGACACGACTCAGACTTCAGCCATGTCAACACTGTTGTGGAGTCGCTCCACAGAATCACATTGGCAATTGGAAGGATTATTTCTTTCTGGAGCACACTTGCAAGTTGTGCACCTGTCAAAGCAGCACATAATTCAAGTCTTGGAATTGACTGTTGACGTTTTGGTGCCACTCTGGAGCGGGACTGAACGAAACTCACAAATATCTCTCCATCTTCAGTCTCTGTTCTCAAGTAGGCAACGGAACCATACAATCTCTCAGAAGCATCACAGAATACATGGAGTTCTCTGGATGCAGTTCTTGGGTCAATGTGCAACGGTGTATAACATCTGGGTAACCTGATGTGTACTATGTCCTTCAGTTCACTTTCCCAGACTGCCCACAGATCACGTAGGGTTCCTGATTCTAGTGGTGCATTCCAGTCCCTTTTCTTGTTCCAAAGGTCCTGAACAATGCACTTTGCTCGTGCAGTGTATGGTGCGATGTACCCAAGAGGGTCGTATTGACTGGCCATGATCCGGTAAATGACCCTCATGCTCAAGCAGTCATATGGTATGTCCCTGTACTTGAAGCTCAGTTCATCAGATTCACAATGCCATCTCAGACCAAGGGCACCCTCACAGGGCTGACAATCATCAAGGGTCAACCACAATTCACAATCCGAGGACCTGTCTTCAGGAAGCACTCCTGATACCACATCGGACATATTACTTGCCCATTGTCTGAGATGGAATCCTCCTTCGTCGAGCACGGAACTCATTCGGTGGACAAGGTCTTTAGCTTCAGCTATGGTAGGCACACTCTGGAGGCAATTGTCAACATAATAGGCATTTGCGATGGATTGGTAGACATTTTCATTTCCATCTCTGTGATCAGTTACATGTTTCCTGAGTGCGAAAGTAGCACAACAAGGGCTACATGTTGTTCCCGAAAGGCAGGACTTCCCATTGGTATACATCCGGGTCTCTATCACCTTCTAGATCACGCCATATGAACCTCAAGAGAGGTTTGTCCTTGTCCAGCAGTCTCACTTGGTGGAACATACCTTTAATATCTCCTGAGATTGCCACAGGGCTCTGTCGAAACCTCAATAATACACCAAGTAGAGATGATCCGATCTGGGGACCTCGCAGGAGCTTCTTGTTCAGGTTCTGTCCATTAACCTCGTACGAGCAGTGAAACACAAGTCTGTATTTATCGTTGTGATGTACGAGATGGTGTGGGATGTACCAGGACTCTTTACTACCTTCTGCTTCATCATTGGAAATCACTTTCACAGATCCTGCATCAATTAAGTTGTGGATAAGTCGGTTGTGCACTTCTGCTAAATCAGGCTGATTTCCCAAACGTTTCTCAGTCCTTCTTAGGTTTGGCATCATTGACTCGGCAGTTGCATGGAATTGTGTACCATCTTTCACTCGAAGCAAGGGTGTGGCATACCTCTTTACTCCATTCACACTGATCCTCTCAGTTTCAGTGTCAAGGGTTTGTATTGCCTGTTCATCATGTTTCGATCTGGTGAAGTCCTTAGTACTGTAAGGCAGGACATCCATTTTCCATAGTTTCTCAACATCCTGGTGGAAGTCACTGAAACTGGGTTCTTGTGCAATAAAGAAGCTATGTTGATCCAACTGGCAGGCTGAATGTGCGGGACCTTGGAGAGACCATCCGAGTTTGGTATGAACTGCTACTGGGGTTGATGGTGGTCCAGACATGATTGGCTGATCAGGCACTATCAGCTCAGTACAGTCTGAGCCTATCAAGATCACAGGCTTCACTTTGTCGATAACTGGCAATGGTTGTTCACGAAGATGGGGCCATCTGTTCCGAAGACTCTCAGTAGGGTAGGTATATTCCGAAAGGGCAAGTTTGTCAGAGGCAAAGGCTCCCTTGACAGGGAATCGCAAAAGCTGATTACTCCTTGGGGAGATTTCAAGGTCAACAGATAAACCATTACATGTAAATGGTTCTCGTCTGATAGTGGTCAACAGGATTTTATCCCTTGTTGCATCAAGTCCTAATTGCCTCACAACTGGAGCCATAAGCATAGTCCTTTGAGACCCATCATCCAGAATGGCATGAGCATCCAAACAACTGTCATTTGGTCCATGAAGTGGAACTTCTACAATCTTCAGCATTGTCAAGTATGGCCTTGAGGGTTGATCGATGAAAGCAGGAGGCTGGTCTACCTTTGTACAGAAAACTTTCTGCTCCATTTGACTGTTGGCATCATGAAGAATAGTAAGGTGAAGATCATTACATGTACGACATGGTTTCTTCAAATTACAGTCTTCTATTTTATGTTTGCGGCCACACCTTCTGCATCTCCCATTCAACCATTTCAAGATATCATCAAGATTCATCTTCTTGATCTCAACGCAAGAACTAAGGAAATGATCCGAGGACTCGCACTTCGGACAATAACCCTTCGGACCTGGTTCAGACGTCTCTTTCCTTTGGGGTTTCTTGGGCTCCGAGTGAAGAGATTTAGATTTCCCAAAGAATGCCATGGTAGGGACATGATCTCTCCTCGAAAGATGAGGTTTTGTCTTGTCTTGTTTCTCGTAAGAGCTGACAGCATTACTGGCTATTCGTTTAGCCCGACTCTTTATTTGCAGCCAGTCATTAAAACTCATCAAGTTGTAGGATTCATGAATGCCGAGTTTCAAACAATGTTCAATAAATCCATCCCTCATACTAGGTGCTAGTTTGCTTAGCAGCCTGTCAACATGTGATCCGCAATTCAGTTCTGATCCATACACACTTTCAAGTGATTTTAACATTCCAACAAGCGACTGGACTGCTAATGCTAAGTTATCGAAACCTTCACTGTCACTATGACGAACAGCTGGCAGGGCCAGTATTGAACCAAGTTCACTCTGTATGAGTTGCCGGGGTTGGCCATACTTTTCCTGGAGAGCTTGTAAAGCCACCGTGTAGGGGCTGGTTTCATACATGTAAGATTCAGCTAATTTCTTAGCCTTTCCTCCTAATTGACCCATCAAAACCTGGTATTTGTACCTTTCATCCAAATGCGGGTGGATGTTGACTAGGTGCTGTAACGCCATCTTCAATAGGGCAAAGTCACGCTCACGTCCGTTGATGAAAGTTGGCAACGATGGTCTAGGGACACCATAAGATGAAGAGATTAACAACTCTGTCATATTTGGCACTGGTGGCTGAGCATGTGGCAAAACAGGAGGCACATATTGTGATTGTTCAACATAAGGGGAGGACATAGTATTTGGCATGGTATTTGTATATATTGGCATGGCAGAATAAGGCATGGCAATGTTATTAGGTGTGACAGGGTTACCAACAGAATGACTGACCGGCATGGCATACTGGCAGGGCAAGGTAGGCTGGGAAGGCATGGCAGGTTTACTTGTCATTACTGTTTGTGGCACCTTATTTCCTGTCTGATCAGTTGCATAAACAGTAACAGAGTCATTATCGCAACCTACAGAAGTCTGACAAAGTACCTGGTTTCTAGTTTGGCCACCTGGCAGAGGGGTTGTCCCGTGATCACACTCTTGCACAGACATACTTGTAGATTTGGGCACAGGATTGGTGGATTCCCATGGATTCTCTTGTTTCACGATATTAGAAATGAGTTCTGCCTCGAGAAGTTTTCTCTCAGCCACACGAATATTTCTCTGTCGCTCAATGTCTCTCAACTGCTGCTCACGTCGTTGAGCAACCTCCCTTTCCACCTTCTCTGTCTGTCTTCTTAATATCTCAGACTCCATATCTAATTGCATTCGAGCTGAATATGCCTCATCTTCAAGTTTCTTTATTTCAGCATCGATCAATTTATCTTCTTCTAACTGTCGTCGCATTTCGTCTAACTCGGCCTGGCGTGTCAGTCTGTCAATCTCGGCGAGCTGCCTATCACTCATTCGTGACCGAATGGACGACTGTTGTGACCGCTGAGAGTGTTTAGTTGCATGAGAATGTCTACTGGGTGCATTTGAGGCTTTGCGATCGTGTTATCAATACTGACGATTCCTCTAATTGTGACTCGTTTAAATATCTGTCCAAAACATAGTCAGAAAGATACCTCGGAGGTCGTCTGTCGCGCGACGAAAACCGAGCACCTCTCTCGGCTGGCTGACGAATTTCATCACTGTCGTTCTTACCGGCAATGGCACCGTTCATATTCAATGGCAACGTAAGACTGGGGTTACCATCCGGCTCGCGGGACCATGAAAAATCTATCAGGGCACTTCTCAGTCAAGTGGTTGTCAACTTCAAGGCAAAACAGGACACGTGCTCTCATCTCTCGTGTATTACCCATAATGTACAGTACCAAAAGGAAAAATCCGGAAAAACAACACAGTCCTCAGTTAACCGGACGAGTCGCAGATAAATTGAAATCCGGGCATAGGGATGCTTCTCGACAGAAAATGTTGTAGGGAACACTGTAGGACAATGTGGATTGAACTAAGGAATGAGGGAGACATTAGCATGTCTGATGATGCCACGAGTGAGTTAGCCTTCAGAGCATTGCTGAACAAATGTAGTGTGTGAAAGTGGCTTAAATGCAAGTACCAGGACAGTTTCCATTTGCCAAAGTTTTTTGCATCAAACTATTTCATCGTGTACTTTGGCCTTATTTGTGTGAAAAAGTATTAGAAATGCAAAAGGAAAAACAACAACTAAAAATGGATCACATGCATTACACAAGACATCTGCTTACCATATTGGATTAGCTACCTAACCTTAAATTGAAACCCTAACCCGAAACCTAAACCCCTAAAAATAATCCTAATAAATGAAATACATTGATGAAGCAGCATGAAAAATTTAAAAATGGCTGACAAGTCCAGTGTAATGCATTCTTACCGCTTCAATATGTATGATTTGAATAAATAAACTCCATTCTAAGTAGGGCTGCGCAATATAACCGGTTTACCGGTATTTACTGGTTCAGACATGAAAACGATATGTCTTGCAATATGATGATCGAAAACCGGTATCTTGACATGTATTCGGAAAACTTCGTAACATTCGGAAATCTTCGGATATTTCCGTTTTTCACACCGGAAGTCATGTGTTTGTTGTAAAATGGCGACCCCCCAACATGAACAATTTATTGTGGTGCCAAATACTAGGGCAAAGGCTTCAGTATTGCAGCATTATGGGTTGAAAAAGTTCACGGTAGATGGAACTATTGATAAAGAGTAATGTGGTTTGTAATATATGGAATGGTAAAGTAAATTAAGAGTTTTTATTAAAGCTTAATCAAGCATAGTGATTTTGTTGTTTTGGCTTTATAAATCAAGCATTAACTCGATTATAAGTAGGGTTTTTTTTTGTTAATTTAAAACTTCTTGCCATCTATTGCAAAACATATTGCAATATATGCTTTCGCATCGCAATATGAAAATTCTTTGCAATACCCACCCCTCCTGTGTAATGATGCAGTTACTGAATGAAAACAACATATATCTATATTAGTTCATTATTTATAATTCATTTTGTCCTAAAACTTATGCTGAAAGCGAAATAGAAAATATATTTAGAATAAAAGTGCTTTCATAAACTGACTCCTGCTTTAAGATGTGCCGCTGCCTTCTGTGTTTAGCACTCAAACTACATACAGCACTTGGCTTATTCAATGACAGTGCATATAGAGACGACAAGACACTGAGAGGAGCTTAAACATACTTGATAACCCAGCAACAGTTTGATGTCACAGAGCATTGTTTTTGGTAACAAAGTTTCACAAATTACGTCATAAGGTATTGTGATGTCATTTGTAATGTTTGTGAAGCTGTATTCTAACAGTAGGCCATGACTTGTATTTTACTTATAACAGGAACAACAAAGGTCGCGGGAAAGCATTATTGCTACTCTGTTGCATTGAATGTAATGTTAAGATACCGCCTGTTTATTAAAAACTCACAGTTTTTAAAATAATTACTTGATTTTCGCAGTTTGTAGTCTGAGAGTGCTTAGTTTATTTTCCTAGATTAGTCCCTTTAGTGAGTCAGTAGCAAGTTTGGGCAAGCTCTACGGGTCATTGAAGGTGATCTGGAATAGTATGTTATACAAGGGAAACATACTGTCTAGTCTAGATGCTGTAACTGAGGATGAGGAATGTGTCACAAAGCTAGTGGTTTTACCTGTCCTGCCAATAGTTTCATTGTTGAATAGCATATTAGAAATGAAACTTTAGGCTTGGGAGAGCTAGCATCAGTTTCTAATGTTGTGGAAGTGGTATCTCACACTCACATTGTGTGAGATAATATTGTAATGAGTGATTTATTTCTCAAATTCAAGATTATGATTATGGCCTCAGATCTTGGTATTCTTTGGGGAAATACTCAGGCTTTCAAGGTACATTTGTAGCAAGCATGAAATGATGACTTCATTGTGATGGTGGGGTTAAAATCCTGCTCTGCTTGTTGCCCTACAAATGATATCGTAACCCAGATAGTAAACAGACACTCTGTTGACGATCACTGACTGATGACAAGTTGCCTCAAAGTGTAAACTTGTCTGTTACAGGGATGAGTCCAAAGTGTTGGAGAGCACGGTGTCCTACAAGCTGCAAGATCTATGGGCAGGGTAAGTATTATCACAAAAAAGGTTTTCACTGTTGTCTACAGTTTCATTGTTAAGTCCCAGTAATAAAGTTATGTCTAAAACATTCTTGCAGTGGGATTCAGTTTCAACCGAAATGTTCAGGTACCTGATCTCCTCTAAACCTTGCTAACTGAAGTGACAGTCCATTTAGAAGCAGATTATGACTTGATCTTTGGCAAGGGAGAGCCACCAGGCCCTGTAGCTCATTGGAATTATTTGAAAGTAATGTCTGTCAAAATCCAAACCAAATATGCCCAAACTTGTATGTTTTTCCAGATGGCATATACCTCCTGCACATTTACTTTCACTGTTTGAATGTGGCAAGCATGGTGGCGGTATTATATTGAGATCAGTGTACACTTTGTAGACACTATTTAGCTGGGATCGTTCAGACAAAGTAAAAGTGCTGTAGGACTTGTAGCTTCAGGTGAGATGTGGAAAAAGTATATGTTGGAGAAATGTCTTATAATACACCAGTGGCTGTACCCTCAAAGGGGGTTGAAGTAGCGTAAAATTATTGTCCTCCTGAGAGGGTACGTAAGTCCCAACACATTCACAGTAAATTTAAATTTGCCACTTTTTTAATCCTAGAATATGTGTACTTTTAATTTATGGTTAGATTTGTCTTCAATCACCAATGGCTGGAGGGATGGTGTAAATCCAGCTAGGGTCCATGCAGGTAGCAAAGGTACTGTAAGTCCTCATGGACCCTGGTATGGTGATCTACCTTCAGCTGTTGGTGATCTATAGCAGTGTAGGAAAGATAGCTCGTCCCAACGTCCGAGACAGGTGAATTTTGTGGAGGACGGGTTAAAAAAATATCTAGTCCGTCCTCATGTCGGGTCAATTTTAGCAAACCAATGACATATATATAATGATTATAACCTTTTTGAATATTTACTGCCGAAGGTGTTTTATTTATATTTGGAGGACAGACTAGATTTAGGCAGGACTGGTAAAAAATTTGACCTGCCAGTCCTGTGGACATGCTAGATTTTCTACATCTTTCCTACACTGTCTATAGCCCGTTTTTATTTTGTACTGTCTATAGTGATTTAATTTTACATTAGCGTACTAGTTTTAAATTTATATAGCTGTGATGTTCTAGTATTTTTACTGTCCTTCGATGACAGGTATTTATGTTCCAACCTCATTGATTTTCATATTCATATAAACTAGATTGTTCTCGTCACGATATGGCTGAAATATTGCCGATGTGACGTTAAATAATAACTCACTCACTATAATACACCATGACATAAACTAAATTGACTTTCCATCAAGTGAGCTAAATACATAACAAGACCATCCACTTTTGAGTGTGAGACATTATAACTGTTTTGCCACACAAATACTTTGCCAAGTATGAATATCTGATAGCAGTTGTAACAAGTGTAGTGGCAAAGATAAGTTAGAGCAATGTAAGTCTTGGCAGAGACTGGGTATAAAAGCAGTGTGGAGTGTTTAACTAACCTGAACTTGTGTATGTTCGTAGGGAGACAGAGAGCAGAGCAGATCATGAAGTGTCCCCCAAGCGTATGAAGCATCAGAGGTTGAGTCCAGAGAAGCCTCGAGTTGACCCCTACCCTGTAGACTGTGTCACCTCACTCCAGAAACTTTGCCTCAGCAAGGAAAAATGTACCAAGAAGTTTTGCACTTGTGTGATCAATAAAACCAGTCCATCAACTTCTGGCTCACCAAGACACAAGCAAAATCTGGCCCATGTCGCTGTTCAGCAGAGGAAGCTGATTCGTGAGGCACGTTTTAAGCTGCACAATGCACAGAAAGATAAGCGTCAAGTTATCCGTGCTGCCCGGCTCCAGCTAAGCCAGAAGACTGTTGTCACAGCACCATCACGTGAAAACAGCCCTAAGAAAATTCTTCCCAAATGCATTAGAGTTTCTTGTGCTTCATCAAAGGTGTTCGGATCAAATGCATCTCAATGTCTTGAAAACTTTTCTAGTCTTTCATCTAACCCTGCAAATACACCTGAGGATGCCACCAGTTCCCATTTTGAGTTCAACGGATATCGAGAGCTGCAGATGCCTTCAACATCTGGCCTGGTACTCCCGCCTGCTACCAAGTGTTGTGTAGATTCTGTTGCCAGTGCTGTGTCAGACACCAGGAACTCCCTGCCGGATCCCGAGCGGGACACAGTGACCAGGGACACCATGGGTGAAGTACCCACTGCCAAGAGTTGCTCCCAGGAAGCACGCCTCGATGATTTGAGTGTCAACGAACTTGCCGGATACTTCGAAGATTTTGTACACATCCCAAAGAAAATGTCTACCATGGCTGAAATGATGTACACGTGACTTGTTCACACTCATTGTTAAAATTACTTTATGAAGTCAGTGTGGATTCTACATATTCTCTTTCAATTAACACTAACAAAGGAAGTATTTGAAATCCTATTGTATGGGTAAAGTCATAAAACTCTCTACACTAGCTTAAGAAGAAGTAAATTGCAATAATGACATTAATGTGCTCTTTGAAAGAAGTTAACTTGATGCAGTTCAAAGTCATATGCAACACAATGTGTTTTGGTTGTATGTTTAGAATTATGTAAAATTACTTTTGAAGTTTACAGATGTCATCTCTTTGATTTCATAATAAGTGAATAATGTGAATATATGAAAATCTATTTCAATTTTCCCTCTCAGGAACAATTTGTACTAATTTAGTTTCAATTATGTTAAAAAGTTTAGGTGTCACGATCTTGTTGACAAGTGTGTTGTTGTAGCATAGGACTGTTCCATTATGCACATGTATATTCAAGGGACATTGTTACGCTGTGGTTCTGTTTCAGTTTGCAGTATTTATTAATATTTATCCCCTGTTCCAGCAATCTTGCAACTGTGCATTACTATAGAATGTATTACCAGTAGTGTGCCCTACTGTACATGGAGACTCCTGTGACCAGTTCTCAGGTTCTCCAGCTGCTAGGGAATCATGCTTAAGAGTGAGTGACTCACACCTTCTGTCACACACTGGTGTGGCCACACTGATGTGACCAGACTTCCCTGCTGGGAGTGCTGCCTCACACATCCCACAGGTCATGATATTTTGGGTACAACTCTGCTTTTGAAGCAATAGCTTTGCTAACTGTACATGTTGCTATGTTATGCACCAGTTTTTTCGAATTTGGAATATTTATAAATAGAAAATCGTCATTACATCAGATATTGAAGTGTCTTCACTTACACATGTTGCCCATACAGTGATACATTCAGCAGTTCAACAGGCAGTGGCTCAGTTTGCAAGCTGATCTGTAGAATATCAAGTGTAAGTAAGGTCTCCTACTGATCAGCTGATCTGTTGCATGTTCTTGTCCGCATAGTCATACACTATGTCAGATACTTTCAGCATCAGGTATCATCCTGACGACTCAACCTGCTTCATCCTTCCTCATGGTAATGTTAGTGCTGCAGCCTGTGTGTCAGAGCCAGCTGTATTACTAGCTCAGTGTCCCATCACCCACCTGGGCTCACTTCCAGCACTGGTCGCCCAGCAACACCTGTAACTAAAGTTCTCATAGCTGTAGTTACATTGATAATTAGAATAAAACTTGTTTTATTTCAAATTTGTCTCATTTGGTATGCTGGTTCAGTTAATGTAAATACTTTTCAGTTTTGTAACTTCAATTTAATTATCAATATATTTATAATTGTAAATAGTTAAATATTCTGTTATCATTTGTTTCTTTTTCTGTGAATTAAACGGTTTATATGAATTTTTTTATATTCTGTTGTTTGTATCTGTGGAGTCATTGGATGCCTTTACTCCTGGATTTTGAGTGAGTGAGTATGGTTTTACGCCACTTTTAGCAATATTCCAACAATGTCATGGTGATGGATACCATAAATAGGCCTCACACATTGTACCCATGTTGGGAATGGAACCGGTGTCTTTGGCGTAATGAGTAACACCTGGGCTAGCCCTACCGATTGACATAATCTTGTCACAAGTAACAAGTGGCTTCCCTACATACCTGACACAAGTCATTCTTTGTTTAGTTTTGCTCTCAGCAACATTATGAGGGCAGTGTGTAAATAATCAGATCTATCCCAGACAATACACAACCGATGTCGGGCCACTGGGTCTTGTAAGTTGCCCTTCACAGCATGCACGGGCCCACCCCACCCAACCCCACCCCACCTGATCTTGATGAAATGCGAGTTGACCAAGGCAAAAGTGCCTTATTTATTATATATTTAAAGCTTCCAGAAGTTTCTGTATGGAATATTCTGGATGCTCAAGGCCCAGCTAGGCCAGTCTTGCTCCCAGTCTAAAGCAGCCAAATTACCATGGTTTTTCTCCTCAAAACCCAGCAGAGATTCTAATTCCACGTGCATAAATAAACAGATCCCCAAATTTTACAAAGCTGTTATCAATGAGGAAGTCCAGCATTTCACATATTGTGTTCTAAGTACATTTGTCTCATTTTTGTCCTGAACCCTTAAGATCGATATGTAAGTATATCTTTGCTCACCACGTGCCCCATTGGTCAAAGAATAAAGGTATTCCTTCAGCTTGTCATGTGGGATAGTAGAGTACAAAAACCAAATGTTTCGAAAGAATTTAACTCGGTCCGTTTCTGAGATTGTAAAAATTTATACAAATACAATGGTTATTCTATTTGAGGCCTTGTCACTGAGAGCAACTACAACGTTTTCATGCAGGGCAGCTGGCTGAGACAGAATGGGATTATTCTTACTAGTCCCTATACAGCTTTAACTAGCGTACGTGTAGCTTGTAATAATCCATATACAGCTGTAACTATCGTATGTATAGCTCTTACTAGTGCATATACAGCTGTGAAAACCGTACGTATAGCTTGTAGAATAGTCCATATACAGCTGCAACTATCGTATGCATAGCTCTTAATAGTCCATATACAGCTGTAACTATCGTATGTATAGCTCTTACTATTCCATATACAGCTGTAACTATCGTATGTATAGCTCTTGCTAGTGCATATACAGCTGTAACTATCGTATGCATAGCTCTTAATAGTCCATATACAGGTGTAACTATCGTATGCATAGCTCTTAATAGTCCATATACAGCTGTAACTATCGTATGCATAGCTCTTACTATTCCATATACAGCTGTAACTATCATATGCATAGCTCTTGCTAGTGCATATACAGCTGTAACTATCGTATGCATAGCTCTTAATAGTCCATACACAGCTGTAACTATCGTATTTATAACTCTTGCTAGTGCATATACAGCTGTAACTATCGTATGCATAGCTCTTAATAGTCCATATACAGCTGTAACTATCGTATGTATAGCTCTTGCTAGTGCATATACAGCTGTAACTATCGTATGTATAGCTCTTGCTAGTGCATATACAGCTGTAACTAACGTATGTATAGCTCTTGCTAGTCCATATACAGCTATGAATAGCGACTTGTTTTGGAAAATAACTCCAAAGCACCATATTTGTACGTTTTTGTAGGTGAGTTTGCTTAAACTTCTCAGTGGGGTTTGTCTACAACTTGCGTACACAAAGCTTGAACTAGTTTGTGTTCAGCTTTAACTTGTGTGATTATAGATTTAAATGTATATAATAATGTGTGTACTTATATTGCATACTTGAAGATTCGGGTTAGAATTCAGCCACCCATGTGCTTGTAAGAGGCGACTAACTGGACTCGCTCACTTGGATGACACGACACATGTCATCATATCCTAGTTGCGTAGATCGATACTCATGCTGCTGATCACTGGATGTTTTGGTCCAGACGCGATTATTTACAGACCGCCGCCATACAGCTGGAATATTGCTGAGTGTCGCTCTAAACAGCAAAGAAATAAACAAACCTCGCATTGCGTTAGCTTCCACACACCCACACATTATTTGCAAGATATCATCTGCAACACTCACTCACTCATTATGTCTCCCATGTTGATTATTGTCACTGTTTCTTCATGGAATGCTATGCAATAAATATCTTATCTTTTCGCTTTGGTGAAAGTGCTTCAGAAGTTGTAGAAAGCTGAGAGGAATAAGTTGGTGCAGATGTTGCACGGCACCCGTCCCCCACCCCGTAAGAGGATCTACACAAAGATCGACCCGAGACTCGCGGGACTGGTGGACCAGCTGACAACTGGAATCACCACCACCATGGAGTTCCTCTCAGCTGCTGGACATGTCAGTTACCTTAAATGACTCAAACAGCTCGAATGACTTCAGTTTAGTCAAAATTTGTGTTTCATTGTCAGAAGAAATGTATATTTGTATATTTGTATGTTTGTATATTTGTACATATGTAAATAATTCATGTTGATTAATGATGTAATATATGATTTATAATGCAATGTAATGTCATCTCAATTAATAATTCAATAATATGTAATGTAATGTAATTTTGTGTGACGAAATGAAAATGATGATATGATTAAATCTTATAAAAGGTCATTTAAAAGTCTGTATTTTGTATTCCTTGTAGGCAGTAGTGCACAATGAAGTGATACCTACTAGCTACCACTTTAGTGAAAGGGTAGAGGCAGTACAATTTGTAACCACTGGTGCGTAAAATTGTTTATTTAAGACTGTAGGCGTTATTCCCTGTAGGCATTAGTAGGCTCGACCGCTCACTTATCTTGTCATGCAGAATGTATTGACAATATGGTGTAAATACTTCATATATTCCAAGTTCGGGGACGTACGGTTGGGATAAGGCTTTCCTGGATTTGTTGTCGTGTTTTCATGTAATCCACTTTGTTAAGTTTTCGGGGAACTGGAGTACATCATTTCATTCACCTTTTATATGATTGTGGTGTTGTTTCTGTGTTGTTTACTGATTTAGTTTTCATTTTCTTTCCTTTATTTTCAAAAGACCAATCTCAGTGAATGTGATCTTCCAAAGTTGATGAACAGAGACAATTTGAGAAGATTATGTTATTGCATATAATTTCATAAACAAAACGTTCTGGAGATGCCGAAAACTTTTACGATCAATCCAATAATGATGTTTTTGTACGTTGAAACAGCCCCGCACAGCCATGTTGTTTTTGAGAAAGACGGGCCTTTCCGTCGTTCCGGAAATTAACGTTTGTCGCTGATTGGTCAGGTTATCAGAGCGGGCGTGGCCACACACGGAAGCGACCATGGAGGAACCTGAATGCGGTAAGTTGGGGACATTTGTTCCCGTTTACGCTCATTAAAAAAATAAAAATGGTCGCGAGAATGTGTTACTGTATGCGATTTGGAAATGGGGATTAATATGTTATACAATAATAATATAAGCCAGGTGAAGCGCACCGTGTACAGTTAGGGCTTCCCATGTAAACAGCGGCATCTTCTCACAGTGTAGGCAGTGCCCGTGGCTTCCCTGCTAGCTGATGTACTTTTACTTTCGTTTTGTCATAAATATAAGTAGCTCCTTGTCATATAGTAACAACAAGATGGAAAACGAAGTTCCTATTCAAACATGAAAACTGCAATCCACTTTTTTTCATTCTCTGTAAACAAATGAAACTGAAAATGTACTGTGTGCCTTTGTAAGTACACTCATGTTTACATTATTTGCGTGATAATCTGCAGCATTTGCTGGCATGAAAAGTGAAAATGCCAGAAATTGCCAGAGGCAAGAAATTCTACTCATCCTCTAAATGGATGTAACTAAGGAAATAAAGGTCAATGAATACACAATGGCATGTGGAAAGTGTAACACGTTATATATTGGGATTACACTTTCTTAGTATACCAGTAGTACAGATTCTAGTACTTTTTGGGTTGAGTTCCATCTGTTATTCGAACCCACACCCTCAGAGTCAGGCACCTAACCGCCAGCACACAAAGTCAGCCATCTAGCTAATCCACTCAGTGGAAGCCGTGCATGGTAGCTGACTATTCGTACTCCTAGACCACTGTCACTGACTAAATAACCGCCATAAAAAAAATGACATTTAACAAATGAGACCTATAGGTAGAGAAGTCTTCTTCAAACTGCTCACTAGTAAGAGCTTGAAGAACTGTTGTTTTCTAGACTTCGACGAGACGACCAAGGCAGGATTCGTCCGTGTTCGGATGAGGATCCCAGGCATCAAGCCAGGAAAAGGATCCAAACCAGAGAAGGGGAATGCAGAGTTTGAGGGACCTTTCTATGGCAGTGAGAACCTGTAAGATAAACCCATTCATGTTCATGGATAATTTAGCATTTATATATTAAAATGACATTTTGTGTATTTATCATGTACTGAAGTAGATATATTTTATGAATAAAAGTAGCTGCAGGAGATCACCTGCAGGAAACGTTCATGGTGTGCTTTAAAGGAAGTGTTGAGTTGCCTATGCTTGTACTAGGCCGCTTCATGGATGGAATGCTCAGAATGTGTGACTTGGTTCACTATACACAAAGAACTAAATTAAGCACCCCATGGATTTTTGCAATGAAAGGTTTTCAACATGTACATAAAATGTCTTGTGGTGACTTCGATGGAAAACATGTTTTTTCTGACCCGTATGATCCTTTGACTCATAACAAAATGACAAAATGCAGAGCTCCAGATAAGATATATTTTCCGTTATCCACTGCTTTCAAATATGTGTGTATTTCAGTGATTTTACTCACCTAAGTATATGTGACTGAGTAAGTTTACTAAGCAGGTATGCTCTGACTTATGTCATACCTAATCAAAACCAACTTAAATATAATGGAAATGATTTCATAAAAAATCACTCATCCTATACTGACAGTACAACACTTGTCCTATACTAACAGTACAACTTGATAGCAATCGATGTCTTTTTCATTATGCAAGTGAGTTTTTATAAATATATTCCGTATGCATTGTTTTAAACTTGTTGCGTATCTAACATTTTAAATGCGTAATTGGTACGCAACAATTATTTCTTTCAATGCGTAATTGGAAAATTTCTATGCGTATTTTACCCAGATACGCAGCTTATCTGGGCCTCTGAAAATGATTGCAATCCATGTTGATTTTATGATGATAATTGCGCATTTAAAAAAAAACACACTGATTTTTATACAAAATCATGTCTGTACAAGTATTGCCCCGGATTGTTTAGTGTTGAATATAGTGGGTGATTGTGAACATTCAAAACGTCATTTTGCATGTCTTGCACGATTCAAGGTCAATACCGAGTGTAGCCTCCATGTGACTATGACAGCCAGCACTTTCCTCCTCATACCCCCTGTCAGCCTCCTGATCCTCTTAAGTGGGAGTCTACGTCATTTCTCATCTAAAGCAGCTTCCAGTTGGGCCAGGTTCTGTACAGAAGGATCCCTTTGTTGCACACGACGACCAATCATGTCCCAGATATGCTCCAAAGGGTTAAGATCGGGGCTCATTCAATCGTGAGATATGTCAGGGGGTGCTTAACTAAGTTCTTTGTGTATACTAGTATATGTCAAACGATGATGCTCACTATTTCAATCACTAGTTTGACTAGTTAGAACTTGATTATTTGAAGGCTGTTGCCATTGACCTAGAATATATTTAATGACAAGGTGTGGAACGGTTGCAGCATGATACAAACCTCCATACACAGGTAGCAACCCAGGGGCCCTGGACTGAAGGAATGGACCCGGCTTGTTGTCAGGCTGCTGTCATACAGCTGGAACCTTGCTGCATTAAATAAGAAAGGAACCAGTCACATTGAGGCTTAGTTTCTACCAATAGAACCTGGGGCACATGTAGACTGACAACTGGCAGACCTAAAGTTAGAAACACACATTTTGTATCTTCAACATGTTCATTTCTATGCATGTTGGCTTGTATCAGGGGCCATGTATTAAAACTCACAGTTTCCATGGCATTTCATCCTTCGTGTTCATGGTTTGTATTTTCTCCTACAAGTGAGAACTTAATGTGCTCCATTACCAACCAGATCCATCACCTTGAAGATCCTGGATAAGGGTGGGCTGGATGACCACAACTACCAATATCACGTCAATCATCTCCCAGGTGCCATCAACCCTGAAAAGACCAAATTGAAGGTAAACAATCATCGTCTCTGTAACACTAACAGTGTGAGGAGTCTTGTGCTGTAACACTAACAGTGTGAGGAGTCTTGTGCTGTAACACTAACAGTGTGAGGAGTCTTGTGCTGTAACACTAACAGTGTGAGGCGTCTTGTGCTGTAACACTAACATTGTGAGGCGTCTTGTGCTGTAACACTAACAGTGTGAAGAGTCTTGTGCTGTAACACTAACAGTGTGTGAGTCTTGTGCTTGTGAGGCGTCTTGTAACACTAACAGTGTGAAGAGTCTTGTGCTGTAACACTAACAGTGTGAGGCTTCATGTGCTGTAACACTAACAGTGTGAGGAGTCTTGTGCTGTAACACTAACAGTGTGAGGAGTCTTGTGCTGTAACACTAACAGTGTGAGGAGTCTTGTGCTGTAACACTAACAGTGTGAGGCGTCTTGTGCTGTAACACTAACAGTGTGAAGAGTCTTGTGCTGTAACACTAACAGTGTGAGGAGTCTTGTGCTGTAACACTAACAGTGTGAGGCTTCATGTGCTGTAACACTAACAGTGTGAGGCTTCTTGTGCTGTAACACTAACAGTGTGAGGCGTCTTGTGCTGTAACACTAACAGTGTTAGGAGTCTTGTGCTGTAACACTAACATTGTGAGGCGTCTTGTGCTGTAACGCTAACAGTGTGAGGAGTCTTGTGCTGTAACACTAACAGTGTGAGGAGTCTTGTGCTGTAACACTAATAGTGTGAGGCGTCTTGTGCTGTAACACTAACAGTGTGAAGAGTCTTGTGCTGTAACACTAACAGTGTGAAGAGTCTTGTGCTGTAACACTAACAGTGTGAGGCGTCTTGTGCTGTAACACTAACAGTGTGAGGAGTCTTGTGCTGTTACACTAACAGTGTGAGGAGTCTTGTGCTGTAACACTAACAGTGTGAAGCGTCATGTGCTGTAACACTAACAGTGTGAAGAGTCTTGTGCTGTAACACTAACATTGTGAGGCGTCTTGTGCTGTAACACAAACAGTGTGAAGAGTCTTGTGCTGTAACACTAACAGTGTGAGGAGTCTTGTGCTGTAACACTAACATTGTGATGCGTCTTGTGCTGTAACACTAACAGTGTGAAGAGTCTTGTGCTGTCACACTAACAGTGTGCGGCTTCATGTGCTGTAACACTAACAGTGTGAGGAGTCTTGTGCTGTAACACTAACAGTGAGGAGTCTTGTGCTGTTACGCTAACAGTGTGAAGAGTCTTGTGCTGTAACACTAACAGTGTGAGGAGTCTTGTGCTGTAACACTAACAGTGTGAGGCTTCATGTGCTGTAACACTAACAGTGTGAGGAGTCTTGTGCTGTAACACTAACAGTGTTAGGAGTCTTGTGCTGTAACACTAACAGTGTGAGGAGTCTTGTGCTGTAACACTAACAGTGTGAGGAGTCTTGTGCTGTTACACTAACAGTGTGAGGAGTCTTGTGCTGTAACACTAACATTGTGAGGCGTCTTGTGCTGTAACACTAACAGTGTGAGGAGTCTTGTGCTGTTACACTAACAGTGTGAGGAGTCTTGTGCTGTAACACTAACAGTGTGAAGCGTCATGTGCTGTAACACTAACAGTGTGAAGAGTCTTGTGCTGTAACACTAACATTGTGAGGCGTCTTGTGCTGTTACACTAACAGTGTGAGGAGTCTTGTGCTGTAACACTAACATTGTGAGGCGTCTTGTGCTGTTACACTAACAGTGTGAGGAGTCTTGTGCTGTAACACTAACAGTGTGAGGAGTCTTGTGCTGTAACACTAACAGTGTGAGGAGTCTTGTGCTGTAACACTAACAGTGTGAGGAGTCTTGTGCTGTAACACTAACAGTGTGAGGAGTCTTGTGCTGTTACACTAACAGTGTGAGGAGTCTTGTGCTGTAACACTAACAGTGTGAGGCGTCTTGTGCTGTAACACTAACAGTGTGAAGAGTCTTGTGCTGTAACACTAACAGTGTGAGGCTTCATGTGCTGTAACACTAACAGTGTGAGGAGTCTTGTGCTGTAACACTAACAGTGTGAGGAGTCTTGTGCTGTTACGCTAACAGTGTGAGGAGTCTTGTGCTGTAACACTAATAGTGTGAGGCGTCTTGTGCTGTAACACTAACAGTGTGAAGAGTCTTGTGCTGTAACACTAACAGTGTGAAGAGTCTTGTGCTGTAACACTAACAGTGTGAGGAGTCTTGTGCTGTAACACTAACAGTGTGAGGCTTCATGTGCTGTAACACTAACAGTGTGAGGCTTCATGTGCTGTAACACTAACAGTGTGAGGCTTCATGTGCTGTAACACTAACAGTGTTAGGAGTCTTGTGCTGTAACACTAACAGTGTGAAGAGTCTTGTGCTGTAACAGAGTGGTATTAGGATTGTGTTGTAACAGAGTGGTATGTTGATATTGTCTCACATTGTCTGTTCCAACTGTTACAGGTGGAGAAGGGCTGGGTCATTATGTTTCTGAAGAAGAACAACAAGGACAAGTCCTGGGAGTCAAACTTCAGAAACGGCACCCTGGAGACAGAGTAGCATACAGCGTGGGGGGCACCACTGCTCAGTGAGCACCAGTGGGTATCTAGGTCCTCGCACAAGAACATGTTTCATAACTTGTTAAAGAGTCAAATCTTATTGCTTTGCTGCTGTTTTAACAGTATTAATTCATCATGGTAGATTTGCATTCTGTAGGCTATCTGTGTTCTGGTTTATGCTTCATATTCAAGAATCTCACACACTATGACTTGGAGCCTAAGATGTATTTACTACATTTGATTTTACATTGAGGAAGTAATTATACGCGATCACTCCACATGACATGCTCTGACACAGGAACAGTGACCCATTGTACACAGAGGTGGGTGGGTAGGGTGGGTTGTGTGAAGGACAGCAGAATCTTGAACATGTAATGAAGGTCATCTTCAAGGGCAAGGCTGAAAATGATTTTTTATGGGTGAACAAAAACAAAATTGTTTTTGAGTTCTTACTTTACATGCCCCCAAAGCAACATTTTCCAGTGTTAGCATCGTGGTATGATGCCATGTTTAGTAAGGCTCTGATGCTGTGTCTCCCTGTGAAATACAACATGCAGAGCTTGTACTGGTAATGGTTGAGTTGGAACCATGTTGTGTACAGCTGCTGCTGCTGCTGCTGTGAAAACGCTCCTGGACTGTCAGACTTCAGCTGATGTTGAGGGAGGGTCCACATGGTACATATGCTGATGCCGTGATGTAGATACTACTTTATATCCTGTACCTCATGAGGCTTGAGAGGTCGTCAGTGACCAGGAAGCTTCATTCATGCTGAGCAGAGTAGTGTCCCTTTAGCAGCAAGACTTGTACACGAGACCGGACCTATCCCGCACCTATTCTGATCCATCAGCTCTGTTCCTGTGGTGATCATTGCCAACCGGCATCAGTTTTGTCTTTCTTTCCACAAAGCTGATGTGAGGCTTGGGAATCCTGAAAGAGTTGAAGCTCAGGCTGGTTCAGTTTCAATCAGTAATCCAACTACCAGAAACATTTTGGTCATATTGTCACGTGTGGAATGATGTTCGGTTTTATCTTGCAGTGAATGTTTATTTGGCAGACATTTTATTCTATCTGTTGTATGTTTCTGAACAGTACTAAGCTGTACCATATATCCTGTTACTTTATACAGACTGTTGCCTGATCATGTTAATTACCCTCTCGATCAATTGTAGTTCCATCAGATCATGTGATATGTTTTTACTGTGGTAACCCATGTTGTTTATGTTTTAAATGTAAACACAGCAATATCAGTGTATGGTCTGTGAGTTTAATAGTATTTGATGACTGTTTATGTTGTAATACTTTATGGGAACATGCTAGACAGATCATATTAATTTAATATTTTTTTAAAAACTGTAAAATATGCATTATGATAATATAGAAACTGGACATTCCTCACAGAGAATGTTTTGTTCTGAAGATTTCTTAAGTTATCCTTACAGGAATTTGTAAACAGTCTCCAACAGGTGTTGATCCACTGACCAACTGAACAAAGCTGTATATGTTGTAGGTAAGATCCAAGTGAATGTCCTACTGCAGACATGTGTCCATCGGATACCATGTTCAGTCAACTGTTGACCTGTAGGTTACTCAGATACTAGTACTTATCTTGTCATATTTCTCAATAAACATAATTACTGCTTCTGTTGTGTGTTTTACCAACATGTTTTATGGCTTAGTTTGTTAAATCCTGATCATAACATGCAGCCCATGTATTGAACACCACATGAACATCATGTGTTGAACACCACATGAACATCATGTTATGAACACCACATGAACGTCATGCACTGAACACCACATGAAGGCCATGCATTGAACACCACGTGAACATCATGTATTGAACACCACATGAACATCATGTGTTGAACACCACATGAACGTCATGCATTGAACACCACATGAACGTCATGCATTGAACACCACATGAACATCATGCATTGAACACCACATGAACATCATGCATTGAACACCACATAAACGTCATGCACTGAACACCACATAAAGGCCATGCATTGAACACCACATGAACATCATGCATTGAACACCACATAAACGTCATGCACTGAACACCACATGAAGGCCATGCATTGTACACCACATGAAGGCCATGTATTGAAGGCCATGCATTATTGCATTGAACACCAACATGAACCATTGAACGTGAACGCCATGCATTGAACACCAGGTGAAGGCCATGCATTGAACACCATGTGAAGGCCATGCATTGAACATCACATGAAGGCCATGTTTTGAACACCACGTGAACGTCATGCATTTAACACCAGGTGAAGGCCATGCATTTAACACCATGTGAAGGCCATGCATTGAACACCACATGAAGGTCCTGCATTGAACACCATGTGAAGGCCATGTATTGAACACCACGTGAACGTCATGCATTGAACACCACGTGAAAGCCATGCATTTAACACCATGTGAAGGCCATGCATTGAACATCACATGAAGGCCATGTTTTGAACACCACATGAAGGCCATGCATTGAACTCCACGTGAAGGCCATGCATTGAACACCACGTGAAGGCCATGCATTGAACTCCACGTGAAGGCCATGCTTTGAACACCACGTGAAGGCCATGCATTGAACTCCACGTGAAGGCCCTGCATTGAACACCACGTGAAGGCCATGTTTTGAACACCACTTGAAGGCCATGTTTTCATCTTGAAGAGATGCCCACATACACAGCATAACAGGAAAGCCATGTAGAAGATTGGTACGTCTTGTGAAGGTCAGAATGAGGAGTGTCAACACAAGGCTACACTCCCGTAAGCGATCTTAGTACGTCTGATATCAACACAAGGCCCTGCTCCCGTAAGCAATCTTAGTACATCTGCTGTCAACACAAGGCCCCACTCCCGTAAGCGATCTTAGTACGTCTGCTGTCAACACAAGGCCCCATTCCCGCAGGCGAACTTAGTACATCTGCTGTCAACAAGGCCCCACTCCTGTACGCAATCCCTGTACGTCTGCTGTCAACACAATGCCCCACTCCCGTAAGCGATCTTAGTACGTCTGATGTCAACACAAGGCCCCACTCCCGTAAGCGATCTTAGTATGTCTGCTGTCAACACAAGGCCCCACTCCCGCAGGCGATCTTAGTACATCTGCTGTCAACACAAGGCCCCACACCTGTACGCGATCTCAGTACGTCTGCTGTCAACACAAGGCCCCACTCCCGTAAGCGATCTTAGTACGTTTGCTGTCAACACAAGGCCCCACTCCCGCAGGCGATCTTAGTACATCTGCTGTCAACACAAGGCCCCGCTCCCGTAAGCGACCTTAGTATGTCTGCTGTCAACACAAGGCCCCACTCCTGTACGCGATCTCAGTACGTCTGCTGTCAACACAAGGCCCTGCTCCCGTAAGCGATCTTAGTACGTCTGCTGTCAACACAAGGCCCCATTCCCGTAAGCGATCTAAGTACATATGATGTCAACACAAGGCCCTGCTCCCGTAAGCGATATCAGTACGTCAGGCCCCATTCCCGTAAGCGATCTCAGTACATCTGCTGTCAACACAAGGCCCCGCTCCTGTAAGCGATCTCAGTACGTCAGGCCCCACTCCCGTAAGCGATCTCAGTACATTTGCTTTCAACACAAGGCCCTTCTCCTGTAAGCGATCCCAGTACCTTTCGGTATTTACTTTGCCACTTTAGGAAGATTTTTTGTTTTGATAGGCTGTTTATTTCGTTTTTAGATAATGGTATGCTAAGGTTAACTTCTGGGAGTTTAGGTGCCGCTTTGGCTGCTTGGTCACACACCAACATGGGCAGGGATCGATAGGAACTCCACCTTATTGCCTCAGGCGTGTAGGTCCTGGGTGGTTTTTAGAATCTCGTTTATTAGTTTAGGTTGGTGTTTGATGTTTTTATTGCTTGCAGCCAACTGAGTGAGTCTGTTAGAATTAAGATGTTGTGTTGTTTGACGAGCGGGTCTTGGAGTGCATCTTTGAGTGAGTCTTGTTCATTGAAGAACATGCAGTTTCTAACATCTGTCATTTTCAGATTTCGACGAAGATAGGCCAGGGTCGGTTCGGATTAGGCTTAGAATTGATGGGATAAAGCCCGGCAACAAGGCATCAAGTGTCCCTGCATCTGTGGATGTCATCCGCCCCAGGCTGCACGTGACAACGCCAGGGTCAGCCACCGCTCGGACAGCAGGTGTGGGGCGCTCACCTTCAGTAAACATGTACATAGTCCACTATCAGGATGTAGACAGCCACCGCTCGGACAGCAGGTGTGGGGCGCTCACCTTCAGTAAACATGTACATAGTCCACTATCAGGATGTAGACAGCCACCGCTCGGACAGCAGGTGTGGGGCGCTCACCTTCAGTAAACATATACATAGTCCACTATCAGGAGGTAGACATGCTGCAGCCACCGCTCGGACAGCAGGTGTGGGGCGCTCACCTTCAGTAAACATGTACATAGTCCACTATCAGGATGTAGACAGCCACCGCTCGGAAGGCAGGTGTAGGGCGCTCACCTTCAGTAAACATGTACATAGTCCACTATCAGGATGTAGACAGCCACCGCTCGGACAGCAGGTGTAGGGCGCTCACCTTCAGTAAACATGTACATAGTCCACTATCAGGATGTAGACAGCCACCGCTCGGACAGCAGGTGTAGGGCGCTCACCTTCAGTAAACATGTACATAGTCCACTATCAGGATGTAGACAGCCACCGCTCGGACAGCAGGTGTAGGGCGCTCACCTTCAGTAAACATGTACATAGTCCACTATAAGGATGTAGACAGCCACCGCTCGGAAGGCAGGTGTAGGGCGCTCACCTTCAGTAAACATGTACATAGTCCACTATCAGGATGTAGACAGCCACCGCTCGGACAGCAGGTGTAGGGCGCTCACCTTCAGTAAACATGTACATAGTCCACTATCAGGATGTAGACAGCCACCGCTCGGGCAGCAGGTGTAGGGCGCTCACCTTCAGTAAACATGTACATAGTCTAGTATCAGGATGTAGACAGCCACCGCTCGGACAGCAGGTGTAGGGCGCTCACCTTCAGTAAACATGTACATAGTCCACTATCAGGATGTAGACAGCCACCGCTCGGACAGCAGGTGTAGGGCGCTCACCTTCAGTAAACATGTACATAGTCTAGTATCAGGATGTAGACAGCCAGTTTCTACTAAATGACGTGTACTCACACCTTACGATGTAACTGTAGGTCTCTCACAGTGACGGTAGACAACTCCGGCGGATTGGACGGGAACTACAGATACGATGTCCGGGAACTCCCTCACGCCAATGTCCACGGACAAACCAGATTTGACGTAGGTTAGATTAACACTGAAGTGGAAGAAATAATTTCACATAATTAAGTCAGATAAATCCATGCAGAGTATCGTCTCTTTTAGCTTCAAAATTAACTGATCTGTTATCTTAATGATTTCTATTTATCTGTCATCTGCAATAGAATAAGTAAGTTTTATTTATTTCTGTGCTGGTACATTATATCCACTATGACAATAATAATCCTGGGGGTAGATGGAATGCTTGAACCATATACTGGCGTTGCCACTTACCGCACACGTCCGTGTGGAACCACGGGTTTAGAAGGGATGAAGCACATGAAGAAGACGGACCCAGGCATTTCGTTGGAGAGGGACTTCCGAGAGGTCAACTCAACCCTCTATCCATATTAGTGATGAACTGTAGTGGCTCTTAATCTGTACATCGTATCTAACCAAATCAGTAGATTTGCTCTTATCGCCTCAAACATTTCTAACACTGGAGGGACCATGAGGTTGCAAATTCAACCTTCAGTTGCCTTCTTTAGGAACCAACGTAGCAGCTAAGTGTTCAAGCCAGTTTCCGGAATGTGTGATGCTTAACAGATATTATCAACGACTACTACTACTACTACTACTACTACTACTACTACTACTACTACTACTACTACTACTAAACAGATGTCCAGTGCATATGACGTTCGGTATGATGTAACCAGACAGAATGGTTGTCTCTGGTGTATTGAACAGGTGTACAGTGTATATGACGTTCTGTACGATAAAACCAGACAGAATGATTGTCTCTGGTGTATTGAACAGGTGTACAGTGTATATGACGTTCGGTTTGATGTAACCAGACAGTATGATTGTCTCTGGTGTATTGAACAGATGTACAGGGTATATGACGTTCGGTACGATATAACCAGACAGTATGGTTGTCTCTAGTGTATTGAACAGGTGTACAGGGTATATGACGTTCTGTACGATAAAACCAGACAGAATGATTGTCTCTGGTGTATTGAACAGGTGTACAGGGTATATGACGTTCTGTACGATAAAACCAGACAGAATGATTGTCTCTGGTGCATTGAACAGGTGTACAGGGTATATGACGTTCTGTACGATAAAACCAGACAGAATGATTGTCTCTGGTGTATTGAACAGGTGTACAGTGTATATGACGTTCGGTACGATATAACCAGACAGTATGGTTGTCTCTGGTGTATTGAACAGGTGTACAGGGTATATGACGTTCGGTACGATATAACCAGACAGTATGGTTGTCTCTGGTGTATTGAACAGATGTACAATGTATATGACGTTCGGTACGATATAACCAGACAGTATGGTTGTCTCTGGTGTATTGAACAGATGTACAGGGTGTATGACGTTCGGTATGATGTAACCAGACAGAATGGTTGTCTCTGGTGGATTGAACAGGTATACAGAGTGTATGACGTTCGGTACGGTATGCAAACTTTCAAGGGTGATGATATAGGACAAGTGAATGTGGAAGTAAGAGTATAGATAATTTATTCACTTTCTCTATTAGCAGATTATAACACTTGAGTAGAAAAAATGTCTTTGGCAAAAAATAACAACAATTACTATTGACTGAACAGCAGTGTGGAGTCTGTGGTTGTAGTGGTTGAGTTCGGTTTAATGTCTCCTTGATATTATTTCACCAATATCACGACTCTTATTGATTTGTAAAAAAGCAAGATGACATATTGACCAACAAAAGTAACAGAAAGTTATTCCAAACTGACAACCAGAGAATGAACACAAAGGTATTTGCTCATATCACAGATAACGTTCGTGAAAGCTTTCGTCAGTGTCCTCCCGAACCGAAAACAGATTTGTTTACTTTTGAGACTAACCCTAATCAGCTTAGAAATCAGAGTTACCTCCCGTTGCAAACCTTATATTCATTTACGGCGCTTCTATAGATTTTTACATAGAGCATTTTTATATTGGTCACAAAATATCCTATATAATCATAAATATCGGGTCATAATTCGTAGATCGTGCGAAACTGTATCATGAGCTGAAAGTCAGCAATCATTAAACTATACCGCTACATCCTGAACATGGCGGGTGATATTCTATCAGCGTTGACTACAGGCACGCGTGAGTCGATAACGTGCATTGCTACAGTAGCCCGCGTCACAGCTCCGTCAGGAACTGATGTTACATTATTGGTGACAAAAGCTAAAAACATCCGTGGTGTTGGTAATGATGGTGGCAACAGTCAGCTACAATATACAAGATTATCCTGGGATACATTCCATGTGTACAACCCCGACACTGTTCACTCAACTGCAGTTCCAAGTACACTGGCGCCTACAGGAAGATTTCCTTCACACAGTACATGATTCTATCATCACAAGACCCATGATGGCGCCCATATACAGATACACGTATATAATAACATACTAACTTAAGCGAATTATGTACATGGATGTCTGCTGCACTGACCACTACGGCGGAATGTCGGCTTGAATCACAGTCCTGCTTCTCATAGCAGATACAGGGGATGCCATGACACCCATTGTATAAACACAGCACTTGGTGGTCAGGTTGATTCACTTCAAGAGGGGGAGTTCTGTCTGCTCCATATTCTGCTCAATCCCGAAGCGACATTTACAGTTTCCCTCTGTGGTGAAAGTCGCGGCATTCTTGGGTTTATCAACTTTAAAATATTTGTTCTTAGCGAAGATGGTGGCAACTTTGATGGAGGCTGAACTGACGTGCTTGTCTCTGTTCTTGGTCCAAGCCGTGATGACCACGTTTCCCTCTATCTTGGTGTCCATGGTGAAGCGTCCATCATACTCCTCCTCCTTTATGACCAGGTCCACCCGTGTCCGGGACTTCTTGGGTATCTTTATCTGACTGTTCACTGACCACGTCAACTCCTTTTCCACGGTGTCATTCAACCCTTTCATCTTGGACATCTCGGCTTTAAAGCCGGCGTTAGCTTCAACAATAGGGTTAGGAGGCGTTATTCGAATGTTCACAGATGCTCCCATTGTGTAAGCTTTAGACAACGACACCGTACACGTCGACTTTGTCCGACGTTCTGTCGTCAAGGTATGAACTTGTTCAGCCTCAGTATTATTCGCAAAGAACGCAGTAAATATCACATGAGCATTGGGAGTCCCTCCCTTCTCAGTCTTCACCTCGGGGTCGGGTTCCTCCCCGGCCTCCTCCACCACCTCATCCTTGACGTACACGGCCGGGGAGTGGGTGAACCGAACACGGTCCCACTTGATTTCAACGCTCTCGCGGTCAGCTTCCTTCATCTTCTTGGCTTCCATCCACTCTTCAAAGAAGAAGGAGGTAACTATCTCCTCTAGGTCAACTACGTCGATAGACATCTTGTTGCTGTCGACGATGACGACACAGTTCACGAAAATGTAGTTGCTGAAGCTGGAAATAATAGCAGTTTTTGAAAGCGAGGAAAGAAGAAAATGTTAACGTCACATAGTAAATATCATTCGCCTATACATCTGAGCCCGTCTTCGTGTCGTTTAAAGTCAGTTATTTTGCAAAACCTCGAATTAGATAAAATCCATGTCTACTCCATTTAAATGCTAATTAGCTCTTTTCTGTCAAAACGGCTGTGAATGGGGCTGTTCAAAATAAGGGCTATAAATCTATAGAATAGTGTGTTATATATAACTAGAGATTTAAAGCCCTTATTTGCCACAGTCCCGTTCACAATCGTTTTGACAGAGAAGAGCTAATTAGCATTTACAGTAGACATGGATTGTATCTAATTCGAAGTTTTGCAAAATAACAGATTATCCCCGTATGTAGGAGCTGTGACCGGAACTGGAGGTAGAGTACTACAGGTATATGTCTGCACCTATCGGAACTGGAGGTAGAGTACTACAGGTATATGGCTGCACCTAACGGAACTGGAGGTAGAGTACTACAGGTATATGGCTGCACCTATCGGAACTGGAGGTAGAGTACTACAGGTATATGGCTGCACCTATCGGAACCTGAGGTAGAGTACTACAGGTATATGGCTGCACCTATCGGAACTGGAGGTAGAGTACTACAGGTATATGGCTGCACCTATCGGAACTGGAGGTAGAGTACTACAGGTATATGGCTGCACCTATCGGAACTGGAGGTAGAGTACTACAGGTATATGGCTGCACCTATCGGAACTGGAGGTAGAGTACTACAGGTATATGGCTGCACCTATCGGAACTGGAGGTAGAGTACTACAGGTATATGGCTGCACCTATCGGAACCTGAGATAGAGTTCTACAGGTATATGGCTGCACCTAACGGACTGAGGATGGTTCTTAAAGACCTCTAAATGGATTTCCTACCACAAACAGTAAATACGAGGTATCCAGGTCGGTCGTGCTAACGCACAATGATTTCAAATCACCAGTTCGTAACTTCTCCATTTGATGAGGCATGGAGATGTGGCAGGGTTGTGCTGAGTCGGCCAACAGGCAGCGTGTTTGGTAGTTTTCATTGTTTTATTCCTTGTTCGTTGATTAACGCCGCACTCGGCAATATTCCAGCTACATGGCGACGGTCTGTAAAGAATTGAATCTGAACCAGACAATCCAGTGACCACTGCTGTAGGCGGGTACAGACTTACAGTTATATACTATAGAGCAGGCTTAGGGTTTATCCTCGGTGTTACCACAGGTGTGTGTGTATCTGCTGTATGTGGTAACAAGAAGTGTCGGTAGGACGGTTAGATGCATGGCAGGGTTATCCATGTGCTGGGTTAACGCTTCGCACAATGCAGTCGCAAGCTGGCCAGAGTTACTTCCCCTGACAGTCTAACCATGTCTTAGCGGTTCCCGGCAGATGTGAGAGTGAGTGAGTGAGTTTAGTTTTACGCCGCTTTTAGCAATATTGCAGCAATATCACGGCGGGGGACACCAGAAATGGGCTTAACACATTGTACCCACGTGGGGAATCGAACCCGGGTCTTCAGCATGACGAGCGAACGCTTTAACCACTAGGCTACCCCACCGCCCCCGATGTGAGACTGACTGTTGGGGACTGGATAGTAACTATTGCATCCTACATAAACATGAATTAGGTTAATAGTATAACAGTTGGTATCATTACTGGTCATAATAAATTCATAAATATTTAAAAAATGGTTTGTTCTTACCAACTAATTCGTTTAACTGCAGCAACAGAACTTATACACAAATACATTGTAACTTCGTCCAAACATTACTTGACTGAGAACCATCTCGGACACAGCTTATATATATGGCCAAAACACTACTATGATACCCATATAAAATATGTCAACATTGAAAAACTATTCTAATCCAAAAACGTGTATCCCCTATTTTCTCATCACCCTTAAGGAAGCCATTCAAATTGCCATTTGGGTTCGGTTCTGTGTAGCAACCACCAAGAAACACGAGAGTATCCTTTGTTTGGGTCGTCAGTTTATTGTTGATATTATATCAAATATCCGGAAACTGTAGTCTAACCAACTAACTCTGAAAGTAGGTGACAGCTCCGGACATAGAACGCTGCTACAGATGTGAAGCAGTTTCGCCGGAAGGAGATGTGGAAGGAAGCTGTGCCAGGATGAGAAAGAGCGTGGGTAGATAGCCTTGATGATCCTAGGATGTATATTGTTATGATGACCCCACGATAGACGTGGTAATCCCTCGAGGCGGGGTACAATTGTTGATATATACAATGTATCTACATTGTGATACATTCCTGTCTCTACCCTGGTTCATCGCCGTACGTGCTACCAAATAGGTTCTCAACACAATAAACGTCGTTCTAATAGAGAATAATCACAGGTAGGTCCGTCGTTTTGTGAGTGTGTGTGTGTAGGGGTAATAGTCTAATAGATAGCTAGGTGTAACGGAAAAGTGTAAGGCATAACGGTACATCTTCTACACAGACATAGGGTCTTATCACACACGCACAAGATGATTGAAGGAAATAGGAAACCAAATTAATTCATGGGAACAGCATAATACACAAACGATTTTCTAGATGAGGGATATGTGTACATACAAGCTGTTGGTATGGTATATATACATATATACATCAATATCCAACATCAATGAGCGTGACACGTCGGCAACAATAACTGTGGGATATAGTAGATCATAGCTATGGACCAACTCCACAACACTTTGGTGGTGGGAGGGGATGGGTGGGGGGTGTAAATCGGAAAATGGAAGGGGAGGGAGAGCATTTAAACAAATTACACGTTTAACTCGGACATTATTTCTGTTTGACAATCACGACTATTTGCCCTGAAAACATTGAGACCTGGACACTGTTAATTAGAGTGCAACTGTTCCGTTTCCTCTGCTGATACAAAACCCCGAACTGATACAAGCAGTTTAACGCTGAGTGGGAGTGTTGTCACTGGTGGTATGAAAAACCGATTCACCTTCGGGACGAAACCGATGGCCATACAACATTCTGTTAAAATTACTCGACATTTAAATGTTTTTAAACTTACCGCGTTGTTGCACTTCAAAGCGCGCGTTTTCAACCTAAAAATCATTCAGCCTGAAAATTCACCAAGAGCTACCTTTTCTACACTTGCACACACTTAAATGACCTATTTAGAACTTGGGGGATTCTCAAACTGAGACAAGTCGTCACTTGTTGGTCCAGGGACGCGTCCACGTCACACCTCATCAATGTTTTAGGCCGGAAAAAAATACAGAATACATGTTCATCGTGTTTTTTGTCACTTGTATGTGCGGAGGACAGGTTTGATCAGTCGACTGACGCCACTTGTGTGGTACATACTGTGTTTTATACAAGTCAGCAGATGCTGATGTCACAAATAACAATGAAATATGATGATATGTTAGCATTGATCACACACGATAAAATCCTTAAACATTTGATATCGTGTGTCACAAATTTCATGTCAAAAATACTTCTGATATGTCACATTGTATCCTTGTCCCATATTTTCTCAAAATATGCCGATTTTTGCCTTTGGATTAAACATGGCCGTCAGATGCACGCTAAGTAAACGGAAGGGAATACTAAGCAGATGACAACTCGCCACTTCCAACCCGACTTTCTGATCTCCACAGTTGATATTTTATATACATATACAACATCTGTCCCATAGTTTGGTCCTGTAATTGTCTGGAAGATCTGCTGGGATCAAGTAACAGTAACTCTATGGTAGCCCCTCCCAGCATGGGAAACAAAGAAGCCAGTTTGACAGCCGACTAAATATTTCCTGGATAACATGAAAAGAGTGCTGTTCCAGAGATATGGAAATATGATATGGGATGAACTCCTTGCAAACTGTACAATAATTTAGAAAATATGTCACACAAATTAAGTTTGGATGTATAAAATGTAAGTTACATACCTCGGTGCTGTGTCAGTGTGAAATACACCCTGTCCCTTGTAAGCTCCTGTCTCCCGATTGGTCAATGAACAGCCAACGTCAGACACGATTCATATTCATTCACGTCTGGGCAAGGCAGGAAGGCTGCAGGTGTAGGCTGCACCATACCTAGACTGCCTTTATACCAGCTTCGACAAAGACTAATTCAGTACCATGTATTGGTCAGTGTTTTCCCAGCCACATATGACGAGGCTTTCACGTCACACTCATCGTGACAATAAAGGTAATTACTCCCAGTCATTAGAGGAACATAATTGTTACAACAATTTATCTGTATAAATGGCCGTGTTTAAGTGCAGCGATTAATTCTACATGCTGGCGCTCTGTGTTCTTTGTGATTAGGAACAACAGTTATTCACATTTGTCTTTTGTTTAATTATGACAGGATTGTTTCTGTCGGAGAATGACATTGTGTGACGTGAAGGATTACAGATTACAACTAGGGGCCTGTGACAAGTGCATTAATAAGAAGACAATGCAGTTTCATTATAGCGCGGTTAATTGGGAACGTAATCAAACTGTGCAAATAAAACTTGACCATTTCACCCTTTAACTAACGATCACAGAAGGGGGTTCCCAGAAGGGGGTTGTGTTGAACCCACGCAGGTTGAATATTGATTACTTTAAGCGAGACCGAATTTATATATTGTACCGTTAAAGGTGGTACGAAGATGAACGTCAATAAATGGAACGATACACGTCGAAGATAGACTTCCTACCCTTGTGCACGAAGACGTAGCCACAGATGTATACACACACACGTACGTCACAACACAGTGGATTGCACGGCCACCACACGGTGTTTAACAGTGTTACTCCACGGGTTTTGACAATCGCTGCAACATTGTAGCCGACAGAAACAGTGACAATGTGAATCAAGAATCGACACAGGCGGCCTGAGGGTGTGACTGTCACATGGTGACACTCATTAATCATCCAATGATTACTCCTCTGACGCAGCTAAATGCTATTAAATGACAGGTGCTTCTTTATCCATAAATGACGTGTATATTGTAGTTGCGTCACGTGAACAAGTAGGTTCAACAATGATCGTCAGTTAAATACATATTGTCGATTACATGTTTTATAAGTTATGTTATAATGTTGGTGTATGATTATTCTTCCTCTAATTCTAACATTGGAATTAACTTTGTACAGCAAGGGTAGCGACGATATCGCCGCGGAAGCAAATAGAGTTACCTCCCTTGGATTTCGCGGCTCTGGGATGAAGCAACGTTTCAACATTCGACAGCGGTGTATGTACACACAACCCTACGGGGGCGCCTGGAGTGGTTGTAGACTCGTAAACACCAGTTAGTGGATTTGTGTATTTCCGTGAGAGTTAGCACGGACGACGGTAATACAGAAACACTGGCACATACGTTTTGGAGAGAAAACCACATTCAGTATATGTTATTAATAAAATACGTCAGAGATACTTTTGTAAAAGCAGTCAAGGACTTGGAACATCTGACAGTTGGAGAGCGCTAGGTAATTAAAAGATGATGATTAATTATGCATATTTCCACAGTCCATGTCACGCGGTCATGCTACAACTCTACAATGTTCAAGCCAGACGTGTATTAAACACATGGCGCCATTAATGAATAACGACACCGTTTCCGTCCGATATGAAACTCAATAAGTCGTTGCCTGTAAATTTACATCAACATATTGACAGAGCAAAATAGGACTGGAATGAAGTGATCCACATCCCTTGGAGCAGAATTACACAGCTATCAATGGAATCAGTTGTTTGTTGGGCTTTATAACATCAACATACACCAACTGTAAATATGTACATTGTCGTGTTGGGTGGTTTGCCTCCGCTCCACTGTACAGGGTATGTCCTGATGTGCTCTAGTTGGTTCATCTGTTCCTTATGTTCATAAGTTTGTCCCACTGTCCTTCCTAATGGAGGTACACTGTGTCATCGCATGGATGGGATTTAAGTACCATTTATAGAACTAATTAATCTACAGGGTGGGGCAGGGTGTTGATGAGTGTGATTGTATTCTGTACGTGTGTTAATGGCCATATCTCGGGCCAGGGCGTATAACAGAAGCCCCGTCTATGCAGTAACCCACATATACCCTGACACTGTCCACCTGTAGCCTGGGCTATGCATACAGCACACGGACATGATATAACTAAGGGTCTATAAAGAAACACTGGCACATAAAGAAACCCTCAAGTCTTATAGCTTCAGGGTACGAGTATAGGCAGCTTGATATGAGAACAGGATGAACAAAGGCTTCTAAAGCTGATGTGGGGTGCTGTTTAATACTCAGAGGCCTTGACGAGTATTAATACAGGTGTACTGCTGGTGATATTCCTGTTCTCTGTACATTGCTAGTGTTTGTATATTTCACAAACCCTACTTATAATCTGTTACTTGTCCACTTATAAAACCCACACCGGGGTGTTTAATTTATTTACTCAGCGTCCCCACCACAATCCTAATCCCCTTCTATCTCGTCACGCTAGATTGAAGTGAAACCCGTAACATACACAATAAATCTGTTTGTGGAATCAACAAATCAACTTAATGAGCCAGTGAGAGAAATAACATTACACCACAACAACCAAATCCTACGCCGGAGGCAATGCAGCAACCGGTGGCGTCACACTCCGTTGTTCCACTGGAACGTTCCGTCAGTTACACCCGTTTCATCTGGCAGCAAATCGCACGTGCCAGCGGGGCGTCGCTCAATACATGCAACATATTCCTTTGAAGGATTCGATCTCATAAAATCAGATTCTATCCAGGCGATCATGTGTTATCTATAGTGAGAAAACCCACCCCAGGTAATGATATTAAGCCACTTTGTTACCCTGCCCACCATGGTGGGTGCAGTAGATGAAGGACAATGAGCACAGCGCACCAACCTGTTGATCGGCGGAGTCTACAACACTGAGTACTAGGTAACAGGGCCTAGATTTTCGAAGCTCTATTAGCCCTAAGATAGTCGTAAGTTCCATATCTTAACATTAACTTACGACTATCTTAGCGCTAAGAGAGCTTCGAAAATCTAGGCCCAGGGCTTTCTAATGTCGGGATCCGCCCAGTTACACACGAAGTTAGGTTTTACATAAACAAACGTTCAATGACAATTATTCAAAGCATTCCTATATCCCAATACTTTACTACCATACGGGCATTGTTTTCTTCGACGGAGCCGAAAGTGTGTTTGTAGCAAAATAAAATGAGTTCTTCTGGACACGATTCCTTCAAGTCAACCAACAATAGACGCATCATACCAAGCGGGGTATTGCGTTGTTGCAGTGTATTGGGTGGCACGTGGTGTATCCAGCCTTCCTGAAGCTGATGGACATATCTACCTTACTGGAGTTTGTCAGTATCTACCTTACTGGAGTTCGTCAGTATCTACCTTACTGGAGTTTGTCTATCTACCTTACTGGAGTTCGTCAGTATCTACCTTACTGGAGTTCGTCAGTATCTACCTTACTGGAGTTTGTCTATCTACCTTACTGGAGTTCGTCAGTATCTACCTTACTGGAGTTCGTCAGTATCTACCTTACTGGAGTTTGTCAGTATCTACCTTACTGGAGTTTGTCTATCTACCTTACTGGAGTTCGTCAGTATCTGGCTAACTGCCTTTCTGGAGTTTGTCTATCTACCTTACTGGAGTTCGTCACTAACTATCTGGAGGCTAACTGCTAACTTACTGGAGTTCGTCAGTATCTGGCTGACTGCATTACTGGAGTTTGTCAGTATCTGGCTAACTGCCTTACTGGAGTTCGTCAGTATCTACCTTACTGGAGTTTGTCTATCTACCTTACTGGAGTTCGTCAGTATCTGGCTAACTGCCTTACTGGAGTTCGTCAGTATCTGGCCAACTGCCTTACTGGAATTTGTCTATCTACCTTACTGGAGTTCGTCAGTATCTGGTTAACTGCCTTACTGGAGTTCGTCAGTATCTGGCTAACTGCCTTACTGGAGTTTGTCTATCTACCTTACTGGAGTTCGTCAGTATCTACCTTACTGGAGTTTGTCTATCTACCTTACTGTAGTTCGTCAGTATCTGGCTAACTGCCTTCCTGGAGTTCGTCAGTATCTGGCTGACTGCCTTACTGGAGTTTGTCAGTATCTGGCTAACTGCCTTACTGGAGTTCGTCAGTATCTACCTTACTGGAGTTTGTCAGTATCTGGCTAACTGCCTTACTGGAGTTCGTCAGTATCTACCTTACTGGAGTTCGTCAGTATCTGGCTAACTGCCTTCCTGGAGTTCGTCAGTATCTGGCTGACTGCCTTACTGGAGTTTGTCAGTATCTGGCTAACTGCCTTACTGGAGTTCGTCAGTATCTACCTTACTGGAGTTCGTCAGTATCTGGCTAACTGCCTTACTGGAGTTCGTCAGTATCTGGCTAACTGCCTTACTGGAATTTGTCTATCTACCTTACTGGAGTTCGTCAGTATCTGGCTAACTGCCTTACTGGAGTTCGTCAGTATCTGGCTAACTGCCTTACTGGAGTTTGTCTATCTACCTTACTGGAGTTCGTCACTATCTGGCTAACTGCCTTACTGGAGTTCGTCAGTATCTGGCTAACTGCCTTACTGGAGTTCGTCAGTATCTGGCTAACTGCCTTACTGGAGTTCGTCAGTATCTGGCTAACTGCCTTACTGGAGTTTGTCAGTATCTGGCTAACTGCCTTACTGGAGTTCGTCAGTATCTACCTTACTGGAGTTTGTCTATCTACCTTACTGGAGTTCGTCAGTATCTACCTTACTGGAGTTTGTCTATCTACCTTACTGGAGTTCGTCAGTATCTACCTTACTGGAGTTTGTCTATCTACCTTACTGGAGTTCGTCAGTATCTACCTTACTGGAGTTCGTCAGTATCTACCTTACTGGAGTTCGTCAGTATCTACCTTACTGGAGTTTGTCTATCTACCTTACTGGTGTTCGTCAGTATCTGCCTTACTGCAGTTTGTCAGTATCTGGCTAACTGTCTTACTGGAGTTCGTCAGTATTTACCTTATTGAAGTTTTGTCAGTATGTACCTTACTGGAGTTTGTCAGTATCTGGCTACCTGCCTTACTGGAGTTTGTCAGTATCTACCTTACTAAATGTATGCAATATCAACCCAACTGACATTCACCAAAAGTTCGTCAAAATCTGGCTGACTGCCACTGGAGTTTGTCAGTATCTGGCTAACTGCCATACTTGACTGGTCAGTATCTGCCTTACTGGAGTTTGTCAGTATCTGGCTAACTGCCTTACTGGAGTTCGTCAGTATTGGCTAACTGCCTTACTGGAGTTTTGTCAGTATGTACCTTACTGGAGTTCGTCAGTATCTGGCTAACTGCCTTACTGGAGTTCGTCAGTATCTGGCTAACTGCCTTACTGGAGTTTGTCTATCTACCTTACTGGAGTTCGTCAGTATCTGGCTAACTGCCTTACTGGAGTTCGTCAGTATCTGGCTAACTGCCTTACTGGAGTTCGTCAGTATCTGGCTAACTGCCTTACTGGAGTTCGTCAGTATCTGGCTAACTGCCTTACTGGAGTTTGCCAGTATCTGGCTAACTGCCTTACTAGAGCTCGTCAGTATCTGGCTAACTGCCTTACTGGAGTTCGTCAGTATCTACCTTACTGGAGTTTGTCTATCTACCTTACTGGAGTTTGTCTATCTACCTTACTGGAGTTCGTCAGTATCTACCTTACTGGAGTTCGTCAGTATCTACCTTACTGGAGTTTGTCAGTATCTACCTTACTGATTTCAGTATCTACCAGTTTGTCAAACAAACTGATCCAGGACCACCATCTTGACTGGTCAGTATCTGCCTTACTGCAGTTTGTCAGTATCTGGCTAACTGTCTTACTGGAGTTCGTCAGTATTTACCTTATTGAAGTTTTGTCAGTATGTACCTTACTGGAGTTTGTCAGTATCTGGCTACCTGCCTTACTGGAGTTTGTCAGTATCTACCTTTCTAAATGTATGCAATATCAACCCAACTGACATTCGTCAAAATCTACCCTGATTTCACCCACAAACAAACTGATCCAGGACCACCATCTTGACTGGTCACCACTCCAGGGAAGGTCCTACAATGCTTGTAAAACACAAGAGAAACATTGGCACAAATTCATACTTTTATTTCTTCGTCAAGTCAGGCAAAACAGAGGGTGGGAAAGCTACTAGACATGCAAGTCTGTTGGCTGATGCTGTTTTCCCCACAACTAGCTACTGACAGCAAGGATTGACATCTCCCATCCCTAGTTGGAAACATTCACACACTTAGTCAATACCTTTGTACACAAACAAAAGACTTCTGCCTCTCGCACAGAGCTAGTGTTGAGGATAATACTATCCAAACCCTGAATATATAGAAACATATGTTATGAATTTTTTAGTATGTTTTCAATTACATTGAAGGAATTGAAAATTGTGATATATTGCATGCACTATACATTAAGTGAATATGGGGATTAATGATTTGAGTCTGTGACACAATACCATGAGGTCAAAAGTTTCCTGTGATTCAATGTATACTTGTCTATGACTGAGAGTGACACTGGTTTCATGCCATGGTGCCCCTCAGTGATTACTGATACTATGAACCTGTATATAGTATGAAATACTTCTGGCTCCCTGTCACAAGTATAGAAGTAGTCAGATATACACTCATAATCAACAACATTATATGTACAAGTCTCATCAATTATATGCAATGTCATCTTCATACAACCCTGTTCAAAATATATCTGAAAGTCACGGAGAGTACACGCAGAAAGAGAGTATACACAGATGATTGTACTGGCTCTCGTTCAGTGTCCATCACCAAATGCCTGTTCCCAAGTGTGATGCCAGCACTGCTGGAAGCACTCCTACAATCTCCAACATGTTCGCACACATCTTCCAATCCTCCAAGGCTAAACGTGTAGTTTCTGGGAACCTGGACAACTGACATATAGTGGATATATAAGTGATGAACTATTAACAGTTTCCTCAATTCTCAAAGGACTCCAAAGAAATAGTTAACAATGCTGAAATATGACAATGTACATGCTAAAGTTGAAACACTAACAACAAGTCAGCCAACAAAGACTAGCTACATATTAAATCCCCTTATAGACAACACAGCTTATAGCCCGAACCCAAGCTAGTTCATTCAAAATGCAGGTTTGCAGGCTGTGAGACAATAGCCGCTAGCAGCTTATAGCACTTCTCCAGATGCATAGAGACATAGGTGTGTGACACAACAAATCAACAAAAATACATATATAGATACTGAGATTTTACAAATATTTCACTTTGCATCAAATGTTAGTCTAATAAAACTAGAGCCGACTGATGCTGCGCTCTACAGATGCTGACTATGGAGTTGAATCAAGAAAAAAAGGACATGCAAACTCACTCACTCACACAAACTCACTGCTTATTTCCATTTACAATATCTAACTTGTAACATAAATTTCCAAAAATCAATGTTTCTACCTGTCACCAAAGGTACATTGCATTTAACCAGTGTTTAGGGGAACATTTTGTCAATAACAATCTTAACACTCTGACTATTGGGAACACAAACCATTAAGGTGACTTCCCACAATTGTTGGTACAGGTGATTCTAAGCCAGGCATTCACTGGCCAATCCGGACATGAATGTAAAATGAGTAAACTGACACAACTACAGGTCATCAAAATCATAGAGAAACTATTTCTCAACCACAACATGGTTAGGTGAGGGAAACCACTAAGACTATTGATTCCAGAATTAGGATCAACTAATCAATACTAGGTCTTGTACCTAAACTATGGGTAAAGTGGGTGGGCCTTTTACCTAAACTATGGGTAAAGTGGGTGGGTCTTCCATCTAAACTATTGGTAAATTGGGTGGGTCTTGTGCCTAAACTATGGGTAAAGCGGGTGGGTCTTGCATCTAAACTATGGGTAAAGTGGGTGGGTCTTGCATCTAAACTATGTGTAAAGTGAGCGGGCCTTGCACCCAACTACGGGTAAAGTGGGTGGTCCTTGCACCCAACTATGAGTGAAGTGGGTGGGCCATGCAACTAACTAAAGTTTAAGTGGGTGGGCCTTGCACCCAACTATGGTTAAAGTGGGTGGGCCTTGCACCCAACTATGGTTAAAGTGGGTGGGCCTTGCACCCAACTATGGTTAAAGTGGGTGGGCCTTGTACCCAACTATGGTTAAAGTGGGTGGGCCTTGCACCTATTTATGGTTAAACTGGATGGGCCTTGCACCTATTAATGGTTAAAGTGGATGGGCCTTGCACCTAACTATGGGTAAAGTGGGTGGGCCTTGTACCCAACTATGGGAAAAGTCGGTGGGCCTTGTTCCTAAACTATGGGTAAAATGGGTTGGCCTTGTACCTAAATACCTAAACTATGGTTAAAGAGGGTGGGCCTTGTACCTAAACTATGGTTAAAGTGGGTGGGCCAGGCAGGGCCTTGTACCTAAACTACAAGTAATATGGATGTGAGCTACAGTATGTCAGCTACTGTACGACATGGGCACTGTCAATGTAACAAACAGGTCCCCAGGCAGGTGCATGGAAACAATCCTGTTACTGCATTGGTAGATACGGTCTTTATAACATGTTAGTTGTGAAAATCTGGTACATATCAAATATATTACAGGAGACTGACATTTCCGGAACTCGCATTACAAGGACATTAGAGAGAACTCCTATAATTCTAATTACCCCGTTGGAATCAATCACGCCAGTACACGCGTGGCTGTGGTTGTGACATAGCTTCACAGTAATGAAACAATTGCACATACATCTGACTGTCAGGAAGATAAACAGGACCGGCGGCGACAACATGGACTGACCAAGTGGTACAGTACCTCTCTATCTGCACGTCAACCAACAAAGACTGGGACTACCTGTAACAAGTGACGACTAATCTGAGGAACTCCCCAGTTCTATGACGATGAATAGAAAGATAGCAAATAGACTATTCATTGCACAGTTTCAGACATACACAAAGCGGGTCCACGCTGGGTCCAAATGGCAGCGACTTCAAGACCATGACACATGTACATATATAGCTGTCTGTTTCCTAGTCTTTCATTCACCTGACGTAGGAGTAAGAATATATTCCGAAAGGCCGTGTCCATCAAAATAAAGAAGTTGACGTCCATAAATTCTTACCTACATGACACTACCACACATCTTTATGTAATACATTTTCAAGCATTTCAAAAACATTTAATAGCTACCTTGGTGAAAAAATAGCTCTGATAATGCCAAATACTGTGACATGGAGGGCCCCCAATTCCCCTGCCAAGTGAGGATGGTTCACGGACACTACAACATTTCTGTGTGTATTGTACAGATATTCTGTACAAGTATTGTATTTGACAGGCATCCTGACATATAGTCACAGAGAAGTGTTGTCTGTGGAATCTGCACACAGAAGCTAAACATGTCCACAAGACACCATCACATCATCCACTGTGACATCATCACATCATGTACTGTGACATCACAAGACACCATCACATCATCCAATGTGAAATCATCACATCATGTACTGTGACATCACAAGACACCACATCATCCACTGTGACATCATCACATCATCTACTGTGACATCATCACATCATCTACTGAGACATCACAAAATACCCCATCAACAATAGTGTCTTCATTGCCCAAATATTTTAATACATTTTTCCAAGGAAGTCATGAAACATAATAGTTAACAACTTCTTTGAGAACTACCCAAGTGGCTTATCGAACCCAAGTCTTCCATAATCACTAGGCTACCCCACTGCCAAACATATTTAAGGGATGAGAAGCAGCCCTTCAAATCATAATAAAATAGCAAGTAGCCCTGAAACGTTACAAACAATAAAGAAGTTGCTACCCACAAATTTCATGTCTTCACATTCTTCTAACTTCTAAATGCCCATCAAAAACTATACTTCGAAAAGACTTCCATAAAACTGCTTATGTGAATGCACTTAACTGCAAAATGCCTGTGTCTGGAGGACGGGTGAAGTAGAGCATCTTGGGCGTGGTAGGGTGGGTGAAGTAAAGCATCTTGGGGGTTAGGATGGGAGAAGTAGAGCATCTTGGGTGTGGTAGGATGGGAGAAGTTGAGCATCTTGGGTGTGGTAGGATGGGTGAAGTAGAGCATCTTGGGTGTAGTAGGATGGGAGAAGTAGAGCATCTTGGGTGTGGTAGGATGGGAGAAGCAGAGCATCTTGGGTGTGGTAGGATGGGAGAAGACCTGAGCTGTTTTATAATCTTTCATACTACGTAGCAGTTCTCAGTCATTTTGGTTGTTAGGGACACTGCTTAAGTCCGAAAGCTCACTGATTAGCTGACAGGGCCTGTGTGCTACGCATGTATACTGTACATAATGTTTATATAATTTATTTTCAATATACACTGAAGCTGACAAGCTGGTAATGGTCAACACATGACCAACGCTTCATCTACTCTGTCACTGCTTAATACATAGGTTCATGATCAACACTGATATTTACAGGTTATGTACAGAGAAAATACAACGTAACCATGGTAACAAGTTTGAGATGTTTACATATATTTACGACATGCTAACAATAAGACAAGGCTGGGAATGAAACATTGAGGTTTGTTGTCCGTTGATGACAGCACAATCACACCCAGGTGACAGAAGGTCTATATCTTTCAGCAATAACACCCTGTCGGAGAGAGAACAACATCGACTATTAACCACTAGGCACCTATTTGATTCGACACATTTTGAAGGTGAATTCATTACTTTGACTAGGTCAAGGAATCCATACATTCAACAAGTGACGTAGATACATTGACAAACCCAACCCTCTGTTTTTTCCTTCTCAAATACATCAACAAGAGTTTAAAACTTCACCGTAAGTTTGTAAGAGGTACAGCTGAACAAATTCAGTGACAAAGTGATTACGGTAGTGATGTCATTTTATTGTGACATCATGGTAACCAATGACATCACAATGGTCTCCAAAGCAACTGTGTTGCAATTCATTGCTTCATGTCACCCAAGCAATATCTCCAGTGGACGATAAAACACTTCACATTGACACTTCCTCTCTGACTGTTGTGACCTCCACATATACAGCTCAACGTGTCCACACCAGTGAATGAGTGAGTGAGTGAGGTAACATACTGTAACAATACAGATGGGCACTAGACCTCCAGCCAACCTTAAAAACAACAACCCAACAAACGTATTCCCAGTTTGCTGTGAAAATTTGAAAGTCATAAAAATACCTGGGAACTGTGTCATAGGAAGGATTTTCCTGTGTCAACAGATAAGTGGATAAAGGTGTATGTTCGTGTGTCAACAGATAAGTGGTCAAAGGTGTATGTTCGTGTGTGTCAACAGATAAGTGGTTAAAGGTGTATGTTCTTGTGTCAACAGATAAGTGGTTAAAGGAATATGTTCGTGTGTGTCAACAGATAAGTGGTTAAAGGTGTATGTTCTTGTGTCAACAGATAAGTGGTTAAAGGTGTATGTTCGTGTGTGTCAACAGATGAGTGGTTAAAGGTGTATGTTCTTGTGTCAACAGATAAGTGGTTAAAGGTGTATGTTCTTGTGTCAACGGATAAGTGGTTAAAGGTGTATGTTCTTGTGTCAACAGATAAGTGGTTAAAGGTGTATGTTCTTGTGTCAACAGATAAAGTGGTTAAAGGTGTATGTTCTTGTGTCAACAGATAAGTGGTTAAAGGTGTATGTTCTTGTGTCAACAGATAAGTGGTTAAAGGTGTATGTTCTTGTGTCAACAGATAAGTGGTTAAAGGTGTATGTTCTTGTGTCAACAGATAAGTGGTTAAAGGTGTATGTTCGTGTGTGTCAACAGATAAGTGGTTAAAGGTGTATGTTCTTGTGTCAACAGATAAGTGGTTAAAGGTGTATATGGTGTGTATGGTTAAAGGTGTATGTTCTTGTGTCAACAGATAAGTGGTTAAAGGTGTATGTTCGTGTGTCAACAGATAAGTGGTTAAAGGTGTATGTTCGTGTGTGTCAACAGATAAGTGGTTAAAGGTGTATGTTCGTGTGTGTCAACAGATAAGTGGTTAAAGGTGTATGTTCTTGTGTCAACAGATAAGTGGTTAAAGGTGTATGTTCGTGTGTGTCAACAGATAAGTGGTTAAAGGTGTATGTTCTTGTGTGTCAACAGATAAGTGGTTAGGTATGTTCTTGTGTCAACAGTATGTAAAGGTGTATGTTGTGTGTCAACAGATAAGTGGTTAAAGGTGTATGTTCTTGTGTCAACAGATAAGTGGTTAAAGGTGTTCAGATAAGTGGTTAAAGGTGTATGTTCGTGTGTCAACAGATAAGTGGTTAAAGGTGTATGTTCTTGTGTCAACAGATAAGTGGTTAAAGGTGTATGTTCGTGTGTGTCAACAGATAAGTGGTTAAAGGTGTATGTTCTTGTGTCAACAGATAAGTGGTTAAAGGTGTATGTTGTGTCAACAGATAAGTGGTTAAAGGTGTATGTTCTTGTGTCAACAGATAAGTGGTTAAAGGTGTATGTTCGTGTGTGTCAACAGATAAGTGGTTAAAGGTGTATGTTCTTGTGTCAACAGATGAGTGGTTAAAGGTGTATGTTCGTGTGTGTCAACAGATAAGTGGTTAAAGGTGTATGTTCTTGTGTCAACGGATAAGTGGTTAAAGGAATATGTTCGTGTGTGTCAACAGATAAGTGGTTAAAGGAATATGTTCGTGTGTGTCAACAGATAAGTGGTTAAAGGAGTATGTTCGTGTGTGTCAACAGATAAGTGGTTAAAGGAATATGTTCGTGTGTGTCAACAGATAAGTGGTTAAAGGAATATGTTCGTGTTTGTCAACAGATAAGTGGTTTAAGGAGTATGTTCGTGTGTGAGTGAGTGAGTGAGTATGGTTTTACGCTGCTTCTAGCAATATTCCAACAATATCAGTAATGGGCTTCACACATTGTACCCATGTGGGGAATCAAACCCGGGCCTTCGGCATGATGAGCGAACGCTTTAACCACTAGGCTACCCCACCGCCCCATGTTCGTGTGTGTCAAAAGATCAGTGGTTAAAGGAGCATGTTCGTGTGTGTCAACAGATAAGTGGTTTACGGAGTATGTTCGTGTGTGTCAACAGATAAGTGGTTAACGGAGTATGTTCGTGTGTGTCAACAGAAAAGTGGTTCAAAGAGTATGTTCCTGTGTGTCAACAGATGTGGTTAACTCAGCTTTGTCTAAAGCAGCCAATTGCTGCAGTTCTTTGGTACGATACAGACTGAGGCAGACTCTCGGCTTAACAAGGAACACTGGTCCATGGCCACACAGATGCTTCTATATATACACATAACATCATAATGAAAATAGTGATATCTAAACAAAATGTGATGAAAAAGATAAATAAATTCTGTGTGAAATGGGAAAGAAGTCTCCCAAGACGAGATGGAAACACTGACAGAGAGTTAACATGGCCAAAACAAAGTGGTTCCTGTTTGTCACCAGAAAACAGAATCAGAAACAGAAACTGACAGTTAACGGGAACAACATCTGAAAGATGAAACTTTGTGGATGTCAACTTCCTTATCACCTGATACACAATGGTCTGGGTGGAGTATATTCTTACGTATTCATCAGGCGAGAAGAGTTCATCTGTCTTATGAAGGAGTAAGACTATACTCTGCCATGGTGTATTCCATTTAATAAAGATGTTGACATCATTACACTTTCCCATTTAGTTGTATCACATCTTAATGCCATTCAAAGACCTAAAGTATAAAGTGCAACTAACCATGTTTAACTGTCTGTGGGGACACCTGTACAGGTGAGTCAGCCGGCTTGGACAACTCCTGTCAGGTGCACATATCACACGTCTTGGCAGGGGAAACTGCTCTATGAATATTTGTCTGTATAACATACCTATGCACAAAACACTTATACAAGATAACAAAACCAGAAGCCTTTGGTTTATATTTGAAGTTACTTTGGCGTGGGGTGTGTAAAGAAGCTGGGTACATGATATTCTTCGGGAATGTTGCTAAATCTGGAATTAGGTTAACATTGTTTAAAGCATCAGCAGTCGAACTGGCCAAAATATCACACATCTGTTTGACATCTGTCAGCTTTATTTCAGTCATCAACTTAATTAAAGCTGAATGGAACTGTAGAGAAGCTGTTTTAGGAAGGTAACCTACTCAGGACACAAACTGTGTTGCAACTCAACAAACATCAAACATGGAAAACAGAAGGGATGTTGTGGAGTCTGGCGGCACTCTCATATATTGTTCATTACTGTGTCTTATACCGATTCAAGTTTACTTCATTTACATTATTACAAAACAAACATTGTAATCTTTTCAATCTAAGTAAACATAGGTTCTATATTATTCGTTACACTGCTATATTGAGTCTAACAAACCCTAGTAGAAGGGCACGTCAGCTAACATTTGAGCAACCTATGGCTATCCAATCTAACGCGAGACGGCCACATGGATTTAACCAATCAGACAACGGCTACTATTTAGGGTTTGGCGGGAGTTACAAAATGGCAAACCCACATAAAACACTTAGGGGTTGCTGATGTCATGGTTACGATTAGCTCATATTTCCGCAAGATGACATCCTGGAATATTGAAAAAAAAACCCTGCTATTTTCAGTGACTATTTACTCCTTGTTGAGAATAATGGCATCCTCCATGTGTATCACTCAGAAGCGATTGTGAGGAAAATAGCATTTGGAATCGTTCGAGTTCATATTTTTTCGAGGTAAAAGTTCAAACGGTATGTGTGAATGTTAAATTTCGCGATTTGGTAAGCTGTGTTCTGATTGGTCAATTCAAAAGGTTAGCTGAACACCTTCTACCAGGGTTTGTTAGACTCAGTAAAGCAGTGTAACGAATAATACAGAGCTTATGTTTACTTAGACTGGTAAATTCTTATACTTTTAAGTGTTAGTTCACTTACAACATTTGATACAAACCGTAATCCAATCTCCCAACCTTACCTCTGGCTGGACAGACCTTCCTACTGACTCCATAACTATTACACAAATAAAGTAACTAATCTAAACAGCTTCTCTTAGCCGTATAACCAACTGCTGAAATGTTTTATACAACAAACCATTTCTCTCACGGTTACTGATTTTCTTTCATTCACAGTACAACACAGGAGAATCAGTGCTCCCTTCAGTAGCTCACCCAGATCTCGGCAACAGGCAACAGTTTGTAGACAACGGTCACTGAAGCTGTCATCGGGACTGATATCGAAATATGTCCTACATGAATGCAAGAGACTAAACAAAAACCTGATGGTCTGAACAACACAAGAACTCCTGTGAGGAAACACACACCAAAGTTCCACCTTCTCCGTGTGTCAGACCAGACATACTAGTATACACAAGAATATATGCATGTTAGGAGAATTAGAGCATGGTCTAAACTAGAACAAAAACATAAACAATGCAATGAACAGAATTTACTGAGGTGTGTTGAATCAAACAACTAACAAAACACCAAATTTCAGAACAATTTATTAAAAAAACTGACTTAGAAATCATCATAAATATCTTTTCAAAAATGGCAAATGCCCCCAAAGTTTTTTTCAGTATGAATTAGAACTGGTTGATTAACTGGGTGTCATCACTAGTGGAACAAGTATGTGAACGTTCAGCTTCAACTGTGCACTGGTTGATTGGTTTATCATATCATATTGCAAAAATAAAACACTGGGCACAAGTTAACATACTTAATAAAGACCTTTCCCTGTCGTTACATTCGTATTGTTGCAGTTTAAATAAACAGAATGTAAGAAACAGGAAAAACACACTGAGTCGGTTAATCCGTAAAACAAGGGAGAAATGTTTGGCTGTGCAGTAAACTTCCTAACCAGGGCCAGTGTCATTAAGTACAGGTAGTTGCAGCTATCACAGCTGGGGTCACAAGTAAGTAGAAACAGACACTCGTCTAGACGCTGGGGTCACATGTAAGAAGAAACAGACACTCGTCTAGACACTGGGGTCAGATGTAAGTAGAAACAGACACTTTCTAGATACTGGGGTCAGATGCTTAGAAACAGACACTTTCGCCTAGACGCTGGGGTCACATGTAAGGAGAAACAGACACTCGTCTAGACACTGGGGTCACATGTAGAGAGAAACAGACACTCGTCTAGACACTGGGGTCAGATGTAAGTAGAAACAGACACTCGTCTAGATACTGGGATCACATGTAGGTAGAAACAGACACTCGTCTAGACACTGGGGTCACATGTAAGTAGAAACAGACACTCGTCTAGATACAGACTTCATAATGACAACACTGTAACTAGTCTCTGTTTCTGTAAAGAACTGGTAAACTCAACCCTCGTACACGTCTCTCATCAGGTTTAGCCTCCACAGACTTCATCTGTCATGGAGTACAGAATCTAATAATTCAAAACTTGAGAAGTCTGTTTTGGAGTACAGAGACAATCATGTCATTTATATACAATCCAATACACAGAATAATGTTGACACATCCTATGTACATTTTATTAAATAATCATTCCATCAAATTCATACATTTCCATTGGTTAATAAATAACTCTCCAACCTGAATACAGTGTAAAACATAAACATGGACACAATAAACACAAGCTGAAAACAACAGAATTATTCCGACCTCCATCATGGCACCGTCCCCTGTCCAGCAATACATGGAAAGTGATACTATTATCTACTCAGGCTAATGTAACTTACCACAATCCACCCCTATATCACCGCCTCTATCCCACCCCTATATCACCGCCTCAATCCCACCTCTACATCCCCGCCTCAATCTCACCCCTACATCACCACCTCAATCCCACCCCTACATCACCACCTCAATCCCACCCCTACATCACCGCCTCAATCTCACCCCTACATCAATCATCCCTACATCATCCCACCCCTACATCACCACCTCAATCCCACCCCCTACATCTCAATCCCACCCCTATCATCATCAATCCCACCCTACATCAATCTCACCCCTACATCACCAATCTCACCCCTACTCAATCCCACCCCTACCAATCCACCCTACATCATCACATCCCACCCCTACATCACTGCCTCTCCATCCCACCGAGCCAACCCTTTGACTTGTTGTCGTGGCAACCAGTCAGGAGTTGTCTACTAGGATTCTGATTACCTATGATGTAATGTTCCTATTCTTGAGTGAATATGATACTAATTTGTCATATTAAACTACAGGAAATATAATAAAAAATACACTCCCTTTGATGTGGATGTTGAACAGACACCCAACACACAGACGGACATCCATGGACAATACGTCCAACACCAATACCTCTTTCTGCATTGAATCATGCATTGTTGTTTGATTGAACATGAAGAATATCTTCCTACATTGTTTGATTCAGGTGAGATTACAAACTCGGTCTAAAAAGATAATACTCCCATGAAAGATTATCAAATATGATCACTTACAATTGTATTTTCTGTTAAAATAAGCCTTGCTGTAAACTAGTGATCAGTATTTTTGGGTGCAATTTTCTTTGTTGACTTGTGATGCTTCAGTTTGAAACACGGAATACAATAACTTGATTGCAGTGATAGAAAGAAACTGGTATGCTTCCAGGTAATACATACTGAGATATCTTGTTATTGTCCTTGCTGCTTCTATAATACGTTTCTGAAATAACAGTGAACTAGACCTTTGCTATATGACTGAACCCAGAGCTGGAGAGTTGAACATGGGATGCCAAGGTCATGTGAGGTACCAAGGTCAAGGCAGCTATCTGATGACGTAATACCACCAGAGAGTCATGTATGTGGAACTACAGTGCTACCTTCAGCCAGACAGTGGTTATGTAGAGAGTACATATGTAACAGGGTGATGGAACGTCCAGCATTTCATTGAAACAAACATCTTGACAAAAACTTTACAAGCTGTAATGAACTTTCTTATTGTAGATCAATAGATCTCAGAACAAATATGGCTGCCTTCATCTAAATGATCTTAAGAGATAAAATGAACACAACCTGCAGAATGAATACTGTCAAGTCTTGAGCCACCACAGAGACCTGATCCTGCTCTGAGAATGAGTGAGGTGTTTCTCTTACACTTTCAGCAATGTTCCAGTCTTTGGGAACGCCAGGAATAATATTCGAAGGTTTTTCTCATCTCCAGCAAGCACTCACAGGTTTCCTGGTGTTTCTGGACCTTTGATATCCATGGAGTAAAGCATGCGTATAGAATGTCTATAAAATGTCATCAGTATCACAAAATTCTAATATAACAGAGTCAAATATTCAGTAAAAATAAATGTAAATATATAAGTACAGAACAAATCTCTCAACTTGTTGGGATTGTCATCTGTAGATGCCATCTTGTTATAAACTGCCATCACTTTATGTCTTTACAGCCTCACAGATTTGATGTCTTTACGGGGCACCAGCCTCGTATTAATTAACTAGCCATTTCTGACTCTCCTTCAGAGCCACTTATTTGAAGTATTTGAGACCTGCAACAGTCAAGAACTTCTCAATGAAGAGCTCGGAGTCCAAGACAGCAATGTGGGCAGCACGTCCAATGATGGTGTTGGCGGTACTGGACAGTGCATGGAACACATCGTAGCGGATCAGCTTACATCCTGGGTTGTCCACCACTGGCTTGAGGGTGTTCTCCACCATCTCCTTGTACACCGACCCTGAACAAAGAAAAACACAGGGTGAGTATGAGGTGCAGTGCAGTGCTATGCAGGCGGGGTCTGGGTGGTGAAATGAGAGTTTGGGATAAATTCCTCCTTGAACAGTTAGACTATGGTGTCTGAGCTTACTTAGTCATGCCCTACACTCTCAGCCATGCCCCTGCACACCAATCACCCCCAGTCACGCCCCCTTGACACTACTCACCCATAGCCACACCCACTGCACACCATCATCCCTAGCCACGCCCCCTGCACACCATCATCCCTAGCCATGTCAACTGCACACCACTCACCCCTAGTCTCACCCACTGCACACCACTCACCCCTAGCCATGTCCCCTCCACACCACTCACCCCTAGCCATGTCAACTGCACACCACTCACCTCTAGTCTCACCCACTGCACACCACTCACCCCTAGCCATGTCCCCTCCACACCACTCACCCCTAGCCATGTCAACTGCACACCACTCACCCCTAGTCTCACCCACTGCACACCACTCACCTCTAGTCTCACCCACTGCACACCACTCACCCCTAGCCATGTCCCCTCCACACCACTCACCCCTAGCCATGTCAACTGCACACCACTCACCCCTAGTCTCACCCACTGCACACCACTCACCCCTAGTCTCACCCACTGCACACCATCATCCCTGGTCTCACCCACTGCACACCACTCACCCCTAGTCTCACCCACTGCACACCACTCACCCCTAGCCACACCCACTGCACACCATCATCCCTAGTCTCACCCACTGCACACCATTATCCCTAGTCTCACCCACTGCACACCACTCACCCCTAGTCTCACCCACTGCACACCATCATCCCTAGCCATGCCCCCTGCACACCACTCACCCCTAGTCTCACCCACTGCACACCACTTCACCCCTAGCTACCCACCTGCACACCATCATCCCTTGTCTCACCCCACTGCACACCACTCACCCCTAGTCTCACCCACTGCACACCTCATCATCTCCTAGCTACTTCCTGCACACCACTCACACCACCCTAGTCTCACCCACTGCACACCATCACCCCAGCTACACCCACTGCACACCATCATCCCTAGTCTCTCACCCACTGCACCACACCACCCCTAGTCTCACCCCACTGCACACCATCATCCCTAGCTATGCCCACTGCACACCACTCACCCCTAGTCTCACCCACTGCACACCACTTCACCCCTAGCACCACTTCATCCCTCACCCACTGCACACCATCATCCCTAGTCTCACCCACTGCACACCACTCACCCCTAGTCTCACCCACTGCACACCATCATCCAGCCACTTCCCCTGCACACCATCAATATCCCTTAGTCTCACCCACTGCACACCACTCACCCTAGTCTCACCCACTGCACACCACTCTCACCCTAGTCTCACCCACTGCACACCACTCACCCCTAGTCTCACCCACTGCACACCACTCAGTCTCCCTAGTCTCACCCCACTGCACACCACTCACCCCTAGTCTCACCCACTGCACACCACTCACACCCTAGTCACACCCCCTGCACACCACTCACCCCTAGTCTCACCCACTGCACACCACTCACCCCTAGTCTCACCCACTGCACACTCACCCTAGTCTCACCCCCTGCACACCACTTCCCCTGCACAGCACTCACACCCCTAGTCATACCCTGCACAGCACAGCACTCACCCCTAGCCACCCCCTCACCCCATGCTTCTACTGCACACCACTTCACCCCTAGTCACGCCCCTGCACTCCCACCACTCACCCCTTTAGTCACGCCCTTTAAGGTCCACTGCATCTTCCTCTCACTCCCTAGACACCTCCCACTGCACACCACCTCATCCCTAGTCTCACCCACTGCACACCACTTCACCCCTAGTCACACCCACTGCACACCACTCCACCCTTGTCTCACACTCCACTGCACACCACTCACCCCTAGTCTCACCTCCACTGCACACCACTCACCCCTAGACACCCACTCACTCACCCATCATCCCTAGTCACACCCACTGCACACCACACTCACCCCTAGTCTCACCCACTGCACACCACTCACCCCTAGTCTCACCCACTGCACACCACTCACCCCTAGTCTCACCCACTGCACACCACTCACCCCTAGTCTCACCCACTGCACACCACTCACCCCTAGTCTCACCCACTGCACACCACTCACCCCAGTCTCACCCCTAGTCTCACTCCACTGCACACTGCACACCACTCACCCCCTAGTCTCTCACCCACTGCACACCACTCACCCCTAGTCTCACACCCACTGCACACCACTCACCCTAGTCTCACCCCACTGCACACCACTCACCCCCTAGTCTCACCCACTGCACACCACTCTCACCCCTAGTCTCACCCACTGCACACCACTCACCCTCTAGTCTCACCCACTGCACACCACTCACCCCTAGCCTCTCACCCACTGCACACCCACACTCACCCACTCCAGCCCTAGCCCCCACCCACTGCACACCACTCACCCCTAGTCCATGTCACCCACTGCACACCACTCACCCCTAGCCTCACCTACTGCACACCACTCACCCCTAGCCATCACCCACTGCACACCACTCACCCCTAGTCTTCACCCAACTGCACACCACTTCACCCTAGTCTCACCCACTGCACACCACTGCACCCTAGTCCACCAACTGCACACCACTCACCCCTAGTCTCACCCACTGCACACCACTCACCCCTAGCCACACCCACTGCACACCACTCACCCCTAGTCTCACCCACTGCACACCACTTCACCCCTAGTCTCACCCACTGCACACCACTCACACCCCTAGTCTCACCCACTGCACACCACTCACCCCCTAGCCATGTCCCTCCACACCACCAGTCACCCCTAGTCTCACCCACTGCACACCACTCACCCCCTAGTCTCACCCACTGCACACCACTCTCACCCCTAGTCTCACCCACTGCACACCACTCACCCCTAGCCATGTCAACTGCACACCACTCACCCCTAGTCTCACCCACTGCACACCACTCACCCCTAGCCATGTCCCTCCACACCACTCACCCCTAGTCTCTCACCCACTGCACACCACTCACCCCTAGCCACGCCTCTTCACACCACTCACACCACCCCTAGCCATGTCCCCTCCACACCACTCTCACCCCTAGTCTCACCCACTGCACACCACTCACCCCTAGTCTCACCCACTGCACACCACTCACCCCTAGCCACGCCCCCTTCACACCACTCACCCCTAGCCATGTCCCCTCCACACCACTCACCCCTAGTCTCACCCACTGCACACCACTCACCCCTAGTCTCACCCACTGCACACCACTCACCCCTAGTCTCACCCACTGCACACCACTCACCCCTAGTCTCACCCACTGCACACCACTCACCCCTAGCCATGTCAACTGCACACCACTCACCCCTAGTCTCACCCACTGCACACCACTCACCCCTAGCCATGTCAACTGCACACCACTCACCCCTAGTCTCACCCACTGCACACCACTCACCCCTAGTCTCACCCACTGCACACCACTCACCCCTAGCCATGTCAACTGCACACCACTCACCCCTAGTCTCACCCACTGCACACCACTCACCCCTAGTCTCACCCACTGCACACCACTCACCCCTAGCCATGTCCCCTCCACACCACTCACCCCTAGTCTCAACCACTGCACACCACTCACCCCTAGTCTCACCCACTGCACACCACTCAAAGACTAGTGAGTGTGAGTAAGTTGTGTTTTACACCGCTTTTAGCAATATTCCAGCAATATCACGGCGGGGGACACCAGAAATGGGCTTAACACATTGTACCCATGTGGGGAATCGAACCCGGGCCTTCGGAGTGACGAGCGAACGCTTTAACCACTGGGCTACCTCACCGCCCCCTCAAGACTAGTCACACACCCCATTATACACCACTCACCCCTAGCCACACACACTGCACGCCACTCAAGACTAGCCATGTCCCCTGCACACCACTCCTCCCTGGCCAAGCCCTCGGCCCACCACTTACCCATGAGTCCGCCATCCCGCTGAGCAGCTTTGCAATATTCAATGCGTGATGAATGATAGGGCACGTAACGGTCTTGATTGGAACCAACTAGCAGCACATGCTTGAAATGTTGGAGGACTGGAACATGAGGAACAATAATATATTATTTCATGTCAATGAAGTTTGACCTGGGATTTGTATCTGAACCTAGGGGTCTAAATTTAATTTATGATTTCCATACTTTCAAAAGTATTTTTGCATTGCATGTAATTTACAGTTATGAATTTTAACTATTCTTTTGTTCATATCTAAATTGTTTTAGAATTACAATAACTCTATGCCTTTTGGATTATGGGTTGAACTTTAAGTTATGCTAGCTGATATACCATAGCGATTAGCCACTGTTTGTCCCAGCTAACATCCCAAACTAAGACGGTAGCTAGTGGGTGAGGTTTATCAGCCGTGACTGGATTGGCCATTGAGAACACCCAGCTTATTTTAAGTCTTTCACAAGCTCTGTCCCTCTGGCTCAAGATTTGTGAAAAAGTTAGAAATCATTGTGGTAAGTTAAGCTGTGGACCTCTACAGATCAATCCTGCAACAGTGAAACATTATCAACAACAACAATAAACCTTCTAGTCCATGGTTTAGTGTTGTCCTTCTCTTCACTGATCATTTGTTATGATCTTCCATTCTTCTGATGCAGGGCCACACACTGGACCAGATAGCCCAGAGGACCTTCCTTACCCCAGGACAAATTATGAGGTTTAGAGTGCTTCCTGATAAGGGAGATAACTCTTGTGGATAACTCCACTTGGAGGACCACTAGGAAAAATTATGAGATTTCTGTTAGGAGAGAAAACTCCTGGGGGATTGTGCTTGGAGGACCACTAGGAAGAACGACAACACAAAACTACTTATAGTTTAAAGTTTATAAATCAAACTAAACCTGTGGATTCAGAAACAAGTTTCAGTAAAAAGGCAATCAAGTGTTAGAAGATCGTATTGTAAGAATATTTGGAGATTCCTATAAACACTTTGAAACTGGCACTGAATTAAGTGTTGCGTACCTGGCTTGCAGCTGAGCTTGTAGAGGAAGGACTGGCGCGGGTCAGGCTGGTCCTTCATACTCAGCTGAAGCAGGGACCCAGACTTTTTCCATTTCTGCATGAACCACATTCCTGTAGACACAAATACATGCAAACACCAGATGAACAGACCAGCAATATCCCATCTGTATGATGTAAGGAATGTAAGTGATTGAGTGATTGAGACAGCGCAGTTATGAAAATTGCGAGGCAAGATGCAAGCCGTCCGACCATCAGTCCATTTGGTCACTGACTGGCTTGCTGGGCCCAGTACAACTGTACACTACATGGAAACCATGGCAACCATCACAGTCAGTCCAACACATATCACAGCATGTTTCACAACATTGACAAAACTCATTCAGTCACCCATTCATTGAGTGAGTAGTTCAACACTACTTGAAAAGTACTTCACAGGACAGCAGTAAGTGGTTGTCAACACTGAAGGTCCCTGTAGTTCACACCTTGGTGCAGCCAGCGGACAGGGATGCTGCAGACACAGACGTAACCAGGGAGACCTGGGTATCGAAACCCAAAGAATAACATTGAGCAACATACACTGTACAGCAACATACGCTCTGTACAGTAACATACGCTCTGTACAGCAACATACACTGTACAGCAACATACACTCTGTACAGCAACATACACTCTCTACAGCAACATACACTCCCTACAGCAACATACACTCTGTATGTGAACATACACTCTGTACAGCAACATACACTGTACAGCAACATACACTGTACTGCAACATACACTCTCTACAACAACGTTACACTGTACAGCAACGTACACTCTGTACAGCAACATACACTCTGTACAGCAACATATACTCTGTACAGCAACATACGCTCTGTACAGCAACATACACTGTACAACAACATACACTCTCTACAACGTACACTCTGTACAGCAACATACACTCTGTACAGCAACATACACTCTGTATGGGAACATACACTCTGTACAGCAACATACACTGTACAGCAACATACGCTCTGTACAGCAACATACACTCTCTACAACAACGTACACTGTACAGCAACATACACTCTGTACAGCAACATACACTCTGTACAGCAACATACACTCTCTACAATGTACACTCTGTACAGCAACATACACTCTGTACAACAACGTAACCTCTGTACAGCAACATACACTGTACAGCAACATACACTCTCTACAACATACACTCTCTACAGCAACATACACTCTGTACAACAACATACACTCTGTACAGCAACATACACTCTGTACAGCAACATACACTCTCTACAACAACATACACTCTGTACAGCAACATACACTCTGTACAGCAACATACACTCTGTACAGCAACATACACTGTACAGCAACATACGCTCTGTACAGCAACATACCCTCTGTACAGCAACATACAGTGCCATACACAACGAGACATGCTTGTCCTCCATGTACCCGTGAAGGTCCGGGTTAGAATATTGATGTCCAGCTACCCATGCTTGTGGTAAGAGGCGACTAACGGGATCGGGTGGTCAGGCTTGCTGACTTGGTTGACACATGTCATCAGTTCCAAATTGTGCAGATCGATGCTCATGCTGTTGATTACTGGATTGTCTGGTCCAGACTCGATTATTTACAGACCGCCGCCATATATCTGGAAAATTGCTGAATGCGGCATAAAACTCAACTCACTCACTCACTCACTCACTTGTCCTCCATGTACGTTAATTATACAAATAGCCAAGAAAGGTTAATGGTCCAACAGACACCCACCCATATTGACGAGACCGCTCGTATTGTATATAGATCCAAGATGAGGGCCGGACAGAGACAGAAAGGTGTACAGTTTTGGCAACAGGTGGGCGAGTTGTGGCTGTGACAGCGCCGAGCGGATGATGATGTTTCCAAGAGAGTGACCAATGAAACTGCAGTATGAAAAGACATCACTTTACAATTAGGTTCATAGCCCCAAGCATGTAATTTTTTGAGTAAAATTGATATTTTATACTTATCCTGACTCATGCTCTTTTGCTTGTCCCCTTCCTCTTGCGAACATAGTGGAACACTTGTATCTCCTTAATTGAAGCTCCCTTCAATGTAAAATCACTAATTGGTACTCACCCAAGAGTTGCCTCCCCTGCCGTAAGGGCGGGAACAGGTGTCGCCACCCTCTGGCCTCATGCTTCACTCTCTCCTGATTTAGCGAGCCCAACACTTGAATTTACAGGGAAATCCAAAGTGTTATGTGGGGAGGATGGGAGGGCTAACCTCATGAGTCAGGATAAGTATAAAATATCAATTTTACTCAAAAAATTACATATTTTTCCTTATCCTGACTCATGCTCTTTTGCTTGTAGAATCCTCCGGAGTGGAGGTGGGCATAAACAGAATACTTTGGATTTATAATTAGTGATTTAAATAATTTATATTGTAATAACCCCTGCGGGAACTTCATAAAGGCATTGACTTAGGATATTTCCTCTATAATAAGCCATAGGTTATATATTACCATAACTGGGGTATTACATTACTCATATACTGATATACCAAATTATATAAATAGATATAAAAGCGACTCTGATAGAGAAGCTGTACAACTGAACATAAAACTCAGTATGAGCTTAAGGTTGAATAACCTAAGCTAAATATATACATAGCCCTAGAACTCCGTGGAGTTATAAGCTAAATAATGTATGTATAATATACATAATAATCTCGTGGGGGTGAATATTAACGCCTACGAGGGACTGTCAGTTGCTGAGCGAGGACCAAAGGACTGAAATGGTGAATGCCAGAGACGTCCTCGGTGGTGATATCTCTCAGATAGTGATTAGCAAACACCATGTTAGATTTCCAGAAGCATCCTTCCATAATTGTATTCAATGAACAGTTACCGTGAAGGGCGAGGGTGGAAGCCAAAGCCCTGATTTCATGGGGATTTGATGCTGTTGGAGGGTCCAGTCCTGCTGCCTTGTAGGCGCGTAGAATGACAGTCCTTATCCATATAGATATGGTGGTACGAGAGACTTCTGTCTGATTAGTGGCGATAACGGGATGAACAATCTTCTGAAGCGATCTTAAGCCTTGTTTTGGAGCAGCGTAAATAGATTTTGAGAGCTCATTACTGGGCATAGCGATAAGTCCAATGTATCTTGAGATCGAGAATCGAGGATAGTGCAGGGGCGATGAAATAACCTGTCTGGTTGGCCTGGTAGTTGATTTTTGGCGATGAAATCCCATCTTAATCCCAGGTGCTGTGTTTTGATTGTCATCAAACTGTATCCTCTCATAATCTAGAGCGTGAATTTCAGATATTCTGGCTGCGTGGCTAGCGATAACAGGAAAATTGTTTTCTGTGAGAGAAATTCAAAGGTTGTCGATTCCAATGGTTCATAATCCTCACTTGTGAGGTGTTGTAGCACTACATTCAGATCCCAAGCTGGAAGTGGAACTTCCGCTTTGGTCCTCAATCCGGGAAAGCACGTAGTAAGGCCAGTAACTCTGGTGTTTTTGTCAATTTAACACCCGTTCTCATAGAAATCACAGAACTAAAGCGGCAAGATATGTGGACAATGTCGAGCCTTTTAAATGTTTGTTTTGCCGTAAAGTAACACAAATAGTCTGCCACTTGAGGATCGTGTAGCATCTCTGGCTGTAAAACCCTTGTTTGCTGCGTAATTTTTTGAAACTGTGCCACTTGTAAAATGCATTACAAGATTCACGAGTTGAGTATCGTAAAGGCAAAGCGTGACCGCTTTTGCGCCCTGGTAGAATATCCTCTCTTGTTTAAACACATTTTAATACAGTCCATACGTGAAGTTTGAATACTTCTGGGTTTCTGTGCACCTGTTTGGTGTGTGGATGTATTAACAGCTTGAGCTTAGGTAGCTCTAGTGCGGTTGACCGATTTCTTGTATTAGAATGGGAAACCACGTTCTGGCCGACCAGTAGGTAGCGACCAAAATGAGTTGTAGGCTCTGTGTTTGACTGATTTTCTGTAATACTTGAGGTATTATTGCTGGGGGAAGGAAAGCGCATACGCATTGAGGCCTTCCCATGATATGCTTAAGCGTCCGTTGCCCATGCTTGTGGGTCTGGAACTGGTGACACGAATGTCGGTAGTTGATTGTTGAATCTTGTGGCGAATAGATCTACTAGTGGCTCCTATTTGCTTGATTATCTGTGCAAATATCTCTGTATTGAGCATCCATTCTGTCGTGACGGTAGATGTGGCGAGAGAGTCGTCTGCTAGTATATTCCTGGCTCGGGAATGTGGCATGCTTTGACATGTAGATTTAGATCTTGGATTAATTCGAACAGTTGAAAGGTTAAAGTCAAAAGGTTCGGCGATCTCGTTGAGCCTTGCCTGTTCACATAGAAGCGCCACTGTCGAGTTGTCGGTATGTATCATTAGGTCGCATTCTGTAGAATGTTGCTCCAATGTCTTATGGCGTTGATTACAGCTTTCATCTCTAATGAGTTTATGTGGAGCTTGCTTTCTAGCTGATTCCATAACCCTGATGCCGTCCGGTTGGTGAGATGAGCTCCCCAACCTTGGGTGGCGTCTACATATAGATGGGTTTTGAATTCCTGCTCTGCTAAACAAATCCCTTCGCAGACATTCGATTTCTTGGTCCACCATAGTAGATGAGGTCTGAGATGTTTCGGTAGACTGAATGGTTGTAGGTCGTCGAGATGTGTGTTGATGAAGACCTGTAAGGGACATAACTGTAATCTGCCTCTGACTGTCAAGTCTTGGGCTGATGTTAGAAGACCTAGTAAGCTCTGCCATTGTCGAAGTGGTAGCGGAGAGAGTAGGGCTGGTGGAATGATCTGTTGGATCTTGAGCCAACGGTCTTCTGGTACGACTATACGGTTGAGATTGGTGATAAATCGAATGCCTAGGAATTGCAGATCTTGCGATGGTACTAGGTCCGACTTGAGTAAGTTTACTAACCATCCCAGCTGTGTTAGTAGCTTTATGATGTAGTTTAACTGTAGTTTGAGATGCTGTGGATCTTGATCTACTTGTATCCCGTCGTCGAGGAAGAACACACTCGCGTAGCCCTTAGCGATGTAGATGGGTGACAATCGGTTTCGTTATCCTCGTGAATAACCATGGGGCTGATGATATTCGAATGGGAGTACTTTCCACTGGTAATGTAACCCGTCTAGTGTAAACCGTAGGTATTTCCTGGATTCGGGATGTATAGGGATGTGCAGATAAGCATCTTGTAGATCTATACTGCCCATGTAGTCCATGGGGCGAATCATGTGCCGTAACTGCGGTAGATGTATCATGCGGAACCTCGGTGGTCTGCGTAGATAAGTCTTGTTGAAGAAGCTCATGTTGTAAATGAGTCTGTATTTCTCCTTGGAGTTTTTCTTGGGTACTAGGAAAACTGGGGAGTAGAAAACTGGTTCGATGTTTCCTTGATCTATTACTTCTATGGCCTGCTTGGTTAGGAGTAATGTAACAGCCTCTCTTAACTTTGGTAGTTGCTGTGCCTGTACGTCGAACTTGTCTGTAGTGGGATACGAAATCCGTGTTGAAGAATGTTGGAGACATAGGTGTCTTGAAGCATTCCCCAGTTTTCCCAGTGCAGTTGGAGACGTCCACCCACTTGTGACGGTTGTACTGGAACGGCTGGGGGTGGAAGACTCCAGTCGTTCCGAACCTGTCTTTCAGCGTTTATAGTTGCGGGAACCTCTGGGTGTCCTGCCTCTTCCTGACCCTCCTCTATAGTTGCCATATGGGCGACGAAAAGAATCTCTTCCCCTGGAACTGGCTATCTTCCTGTCTCTTGCTCTTTGTAGGCCCGTGAATTTAGATCTCCTGAGTATCTTTGTGAAGTCTGTCGAATGACACTGGCTAAGCGTGTCCATCGATTTAATCATCAGGACTTCTCTGGAATCCTTGGTGACTTCCTTGGAGACTTTGTCTATTCCTCCGTCAAAGATGGATGGGGAAGACCACGGGCTGTATATAGTGGAGCTGTAAAGTTCTCACCCCAGTTGCAGGAGCGAGGAGGCCTTGACTGACGAGCTAAGGTCAATGCTGCTGAGACAGGCGTGAGATGATCTGTTAAGAACTGCTGGTCCTTCTTTTGCATCAGTAGGGCCGAGTAAATTATTCTATTATCTTCAGAGGTCGTGTTATACGAGAAATCTGGTGATAAGTGTCTCATTTATTGTTCTAGATCTATTTAGACCAAAGAACATACGTCTCGTCATGGTTTCTATCTGAACCAATTTCGATCATCAATCTTGTAGTACTTGTTCTTGGCATCGGAGATCAGCTTGTAGTTCTCATCGATGTCTTGCGCCTTGAAGAAGGGGTCCATATTATGCGTGGAGAACTTCTTGGCGTGAAAGTTTGGCAGATGTGGTGTCTGAACCTTCGTGGCTTTGTGGAATGCTGTATCTAGGTTCTGTGGTACCGCATACTTGTCGGGTCGATTGGGGGGTAGTGTGATAGCATCTGCATCGTCTTCTTTCATCAGGTATGTCTGCGCCGAGTTGCCACTCTTGGAAGGTGATGAGAGATCTAGATTATTGACCATCCAATATCTTATCTCTGCATCTGAGAAAATAATTCCTCCATCATCTTCCATTCCATCATCATTAATGAGAGGTTGTTGCTCTTCTGATGTAGGACTGTGTGGCTCTATCTCTATATCGTTTGGACGCTTGTGGAGATCTAGTTGTAGGCTGTGTGCAGACCTGTGAGGTGATCGGCGTGGTGATGTACGTGGAGATCGGGCGTGGTGATCGGGCGAGGCGATCGTCTTGGTGATCTACATCGATAGGTTGATCTTCTTGGAGACCTGTGAGGGGACCGTTGGTAGCCAGCGAAGCTCTTGTGTAGTCCCTCGATGTCCTTTTAGATGATGACGATCTGGGTTCAGGTGTCCTTCAGCTAACGCCATCGCGAAGCTTCCTCTGCGTCCGGTCCTGGGGAGCGGTGATATGACCTTCGCCAGCGAAGGCTTCCGTGAGGTCTGATGATCAGATTCCGTATCTGAGTATGGCCCGAAGAAGGTGATGATCTTTCCGCCGAAGCGAAGGCTGTACATCTGGGTCCTTCGTCGAGGTGGTCTGTGACTTCCCTCGCCGGCGAAGGCATCGTCGCGTGGCTGCTACGTTGGACGGGGGTGCCTCTGGGTGTGCTCTCACGTTGGAGCCTTCGCCAAGGCTCGGACCCTGGGATGGCTGCTTCTCCAGTCTGTAGTGGCTTTCCATCATGATCATGATCTGCTTCATTAGATCGTCTGGGATGATCTGCGGCGAAGTAGATGGTGCCCTCTCTGCGCTGATAGCGGTGGGGCCCTCAGCGATCTCGTCTGACATCAGTGTAGAGGCATCAGGCTGCATGGTGATCTCTGCTGAAGTCACTGTCGCTGTCACTGGTAAGCTTCTTGTGGCGTATGTGAGGGTATGATGATTGGCTGGTCATCGTAGAGGCCCAATTTCTGCTGCTGGAGCGATCTCGGCTGAGAAAGTTCTCGGCGACTTCCGTAGATTTCCCTTTGGAGGATGGCGCTGCCTTGGGAAGTCACGAAGTCTCGCGTTGAGAAGATGTTGAGGCCCTCTTGGACTTTATCTGCGATGACGGGATGTCTGGGGAGGCCGGTCGCTTCTTAGAGGTGACGGACTGCATCCCACGTCCCTCTTCCGATGGGGTCTCAAGCAGAACACCAGACGGGAGGGGGTCGCTCGACAGCAGCTGACTGGATGGGAAATCCGATGTATCGGCCATGTCTACACCTAGTTTGCGTGACCTATCTGCAACACGTCTCAAGGCGCAAAGATGGTATTTATTAAAGGCAGAATTGGTTAAATTAATGCAGTAACTGCAACGTGAATCAGCGCACAAGGCGTAGTACAACTAGGGCATACTACATGCGGATCAGCAGCGGAAAAACGTAATCTACAAATAGTACAGTTTTTCATCAGCGTAATACTAGCTGAACAATCCGCGAACTCCGTGAATAAACAGTAGAAATACGATTAATTATCAATGCAAATTAATGAAGGATACTAGCTATACCTTTATAGTAAACTATAAGAGGTAACTAACTAAGAAAACCAAAGGATATAGTGTGTAAGGAGACACAGGCGCTCTCGCATCCTGCTCACTGGGCGAAGAAGGAGAGAGTGAAGCATGAGGCCAGAGGGTGGCGACACCTGTTCCCGCGCTTACGGCAGGGGAGGCAACTCTTGGGTGAGTACCAATTAGTGATTTTACATTGAAGGGAGCTTCAATTAAGGAGATACAAGTATTCCACTATGTTCGCAAGAGGAAGGGGACAAGCAAAAGAGCATGAGTCAGGATAAGGAAAAATAATAAGTCATGATGTGAACAGTTCCACATTTCTTTGCAACAAGCTTCAGACTTGCCTGATCTTAGCAATATGCAGTCCATAGATGTCGATGTAGGACAGGATCTCGTCCACCAGACGCACTGTCATTACCTCAAACTCAGCGAAAGTGTCCAGCTGAAATAATTGTGGGGGTGTTTTACATCATAACATGGTAAATATGAAAACAGTTATATAATTAGTTGTTTAGAAAAACCTTGTTGTAAGGTAACTATGATATAGCTTGCTAAATATCTACACCATAAATTGTAGTTAGGTGAGAATGATAAAACCAGTTAGGTAACTAAAACAGACTTTATAGTCAGGTAATTATTCTGTAACTGTCCTATAAGTATCAGAAAACCATGGCATGACTAATTGACATGAAACTATCCTATACTTTGATGTGAGATAAGTCTGATGTCAGTGCTGGCCTCTGTACCTGGTTCCTCTCGGACATGAGGAACTCCAGCTTGTAACCTGGCAACGCCATCTCGATGTACGTCCGTACCAGTCGCAGGTCAGCACTGTTACCTGTAACAAGCAGAAACCATACATAGTAAATCTTTACCTCAGCTAATTTTGAATGAACCTACAGCTGAATACATAATGACTGGTTAAATACTATAAATTTAGGATTATACTTTCGCAGTAAAGTACACATTCTAGTATGTGTTTGGGGGTTGAGGCACCTTCTTGCCAGCACACAAAGTCAGACTGAAGTTGTACACAATATATAAATCTACTGACCATCCAGGCCGTGGACACACACAATGAGGTGGATGCCATCCTGGCCGCCGTCATCCAGGACGTCTGGGACCTGAAAGTATGGCATGCTGGAAGCCAGCTGGGAGGCCTCGCTGGAACAGAGCAGGAGGACATAACAGTCCTGGGTACTTTACATGGAAAGTGAAAAAACAGTTACAATTCCTTATTTTAGGCCAAAATATATCATTTCACTTGTGTTTCAGGTTACTTTCAGAGATCTATGGAAAGAGAACAACAAAATTGAACAGAAGTTGTAGTCCGTCCTATTATCTTCATAACTCAGCACTAGAGCTACCTGTACTCAACTCACCTGTACAGGTGCCCTTGGTATAACTCAGCACTAGAGTTACCTGTAATCAACTCACCTGTACAGGTGCCCGTGGTATAACTCAGCACTAGAGCTACCTGTACTCAACTCACCTGTACAGGTGCCCTTGGTATAACTCAGCACTAGAGCTACCTGTACTCAACTCACCTGTACAGGTGCCCGTGGTATAACTCAGCACTAGAGCTACCTGTACTCAACTCACCTGTACATGTGCCCTTGGTATAACTCAGCACTAGAGCTACCTGTACTCAACTCACCTGTACAGGTGACCGTGGTATAACTCAGCACTAGAGCTACCTGTACTCAACTCACCTGTACAGGTGCCCTTGGTATAACTCAGCACTAGAGCTACCTGTACTCAACTCACCTGTACAGGTGACCGTGGTATAACTCAGCACTAGAGTTACCTGTACTCAACTCACGTGTACAGGTGCCCGTGGTATAACTCAGCACTAGAGCTACCTATACTCAACTCACCTGTACAGGTGCCCTTGGTATAACTCAGCACTAGAGCTACCTGTACTCAACTCACCTGTACAGGTGCCCTTGGTATAACTCAGCACTAGAGCTACCTGTACTCAACTCACCTGTACAGGTGACCGTGGTATAACTCAGCACTAGAGCTACCTGTACTCAACTCACCTGTACAGGTGCCCGTGGTATAACTCAGCACTAGAGCTACCTGTACTCAACTCACCTGTACAGGTGACCCTGGTATTTCATCTCCAATTTCATCCGCTCCCTCAACGTGACAAAACTGAAAACAGAAAGTTAAACTCAGTATGTGCATGAAGCCATCTTAGCAAAGTGAGTGAGTGTGACTGTCTGAGGACTAAGATATAGCAATACAAACAGGCCTTAGTAAAGCATGCCAGTGTTGACTGTCTTAGGACTAAGATATAGCAATACAAACAGGCCTTAGTAAAGCATGCCAGTGTTGACTGCTTTGCCTTAGCTCTAAGATATATCTGGATTGAACATGGCCCTAGAATCCCCTCATTCATGTTGCTACACTGACAGGTGTGTCATGGTGGAGGCAGCTGGATTGGAGTGAGTGAGTGAGTTGAGTTAACTCTGGATCTGTCAATTTCATAGCACCTTAAAGTTGGTCTCATCTATAAAATTATAAATATTTTATTTACAACATACGGACACATATACCATGAAAATAATGAATGTAGATATAAAGATACAAATACACACATCCATACAGCAAAAATATTCACAGGAAGTGCATGACAGGCTGATATCACCACTGTAGAGGTACACGTGACAGAAGTACACACTGTACACAAGGGAGACAACCCTGGCCTACTGTCAAATACATAAACGTGAGACAGGAAACAAGCTCATGTGGCAGCCAATGGAAGCACAACACTGACAACAGCAAGCGGATGATGAGCAGGTCTGTGTGTACATGTTCAAAGGTGAGACAGGAAACAGGCGGTAGTAGTGTTTAGTGCAGGTATATGACGAGTACTGGACAGTGATAAACCAGTCGCATGTTAGCGACTGAGATAGCTGTTCATATTACATGACAGTAAATAATTAGGGTTAGTTGTATGACACATGTATGATATAATATTAAAATCACCGGGATATTAGTAACATAAGTGGCTAGTTCAGTTGAGGTTAGATAACGAGCCACATGCATGCTGGCCAATCAATCTTTCTTTTTGGTTTTACCCAAACATGGCTTAACAGGAAATTAACAGAGCAATATATGACTTGTTCACAAGGTTGAAGAGTTGTCTCTTCAGAGAAGCAATTATTTTTAGTGTCCAATATCAGTTTGCTGAACCTTTTTGCAGTTGTGTGAGCTGTATGTTACATAGTGACAATTAAACAGAAAATATAATAAAAGAAGATTCTGAGACAGAAAATAGTTACTTCCCTTCCCCTGTTAACAAAGAGATTTTTCATGACTGTTACAAGAAAGAAACACTGCACATCAATTCATGTATTCTTAAAACACTTATATATATCCTTCTACATTTGGGAAATTTTGCTGTGTCCTTAAACCAAGTTCTGTTGCACTGTTTTGAACTGTTTCTTACAAACAGCATCTTTGCTGACCACAAAATTTTTCTTTGTTTAAAGACATAAATGAAATCTTTTGATATGTTTTAGTGAAATATGAATAAAGTCATATAGTCATAGAGATTAAGTAGAGTGGCCTCCCTTGTCCCCAACATGCCATCATCTGCATCACAGAAGCGTTAAGGTTGTGTACATCCTCTCAGTCAATACAATCTGTATAGTGAATAACACTGATGTAATACTGGGATGGTAAAACCCTGTAGAAATACTGGGATGGTATAACACTGTAGTAATACTGGGATGGTATAACACTGTAGTAATACTGGGATGGTATAACACTGTAGTAATACTGGGATGTATAACACTGTAGTAATACTGGGATGGTATAACACTGTAGTAATACTGGGATGGCATAACACTGATGTAATACTGGGATGGTATAACATTGCAGTAATACTGGGATGGTATAACACTGTAGTAATACTGGGATGGTATAACACTGATATAATACTGGGATGGCATAACACTAGTAATACTGGGATGGCATAACACTGTAGTAATACTGGGATGGCATAACACTGTAGTAATACTGGGATGGTATAACACTGATGCAATACTGGGATGGTATAACACTGTAGTAATACTGGGGAGGTATAACACTGTAATAATACTGGGGTGGTATAACACTGTAGAAATACTGGGATGATATAACACAGATGTAATACTGGGATGGTATAACATTGCAGTAATACTGGAATGGTATAACACTGTAGTAATACTGGGATGGTATAACACTGATATAATACTGGGATGGTATAACACTAGTAATACTGGGATGGCATAACACTGTAGTAATACTGGGATGGTATAACACTGTAGTAATACTGGGATGGCATAACACTGATGTAATACTGGGATGGTACAACCCTGTAGAAATACTGGGATGGCATAACACTGATGTAATACTGGGGTGGTATAACACTGTAGTAATACTGGGATGGCATAACACTGTAGTAATACTGGGATGGCATAACACTGTAGTAATACTGGGATGGCATAACACTGTAGTAATACTGGGATGGTTTAACACTGTAGTAATACTAGGATGGTATAACACTGTAGTAATACTGGGATGGTATAACACTAGTAATATTGGGATGGCATAACACTGTAGTAATACGGGGATGGTATAACACTGCAGTAATACTGGGATGGTATAACACTGATGTAATACTGGGATGGCATAACACTGATGTAATACTGGGATGGTATAACACTGCAGTAATACTGGGATGGTATAACACTAGTAATATTGGGATGGCATAACACTGTAGTAATACTGGGATGGTATAACACTGATGTAATACTGGGATGGCATAACACTGATGTAATACTGGGATGGATGTAATATTGGGATGGTATAACACTGTAGTAATACTGGGATGGCATAACACTGTAGTAATACTGGAATGGTATAACACTGTAGTAATACTGGGATGGTATAACACTGATATAATACTGGGATGGCATAACACTGTGGTAATATTGGGATGGTATAACACTGTAGTAATACTGGGGTGGTATAACACTGATGTAATACTGGGATGGTATAACACTGTAGTAATACTGGGGAGGTATAACACTGTAATAATACTGGGATGGTATAACACTGTAGAAATACTGGGATGATATAACACTGTAGTAATACTTGGGTGGTATAACACTGCAGTAATATTGGGATGGCATAACACTGTAGTAATACTGGGGTGGTATAACACTGATGTAATACTGGGATGGTATAACACTGCAGTAATACTGGGGTGGTATAACACTGTAGTAATACTGGTGAGGTATAACACTGTAATAATACTGGGATGGTATAACACTGTAGAAATACTGGGATGATATAACACTGATGTAATACTGGGATGGCATAACACTGATGTAATACTTGGATGGCATAACACTGTAGTAATACTGGAATGGTATAACACTGTAGTAATACTGGGATGGTACAACACTGATATAATACTGGGATGGCATAACACTGTGGTAATATTGGGATGGCATAACACTGCAGTAATACTGGGGTGGTATAACACTGATGTAATACTGGGGTGGTATAACACTGATGTAATACTGGGGAGGTATAACACTGTAATAATACTGGGATGGTATAACACTGTAGAAATACTGGGATGATATAACACTGTAGTAATACTTGGGTGGTATAACACTGTAGTAATACTGGGATGGAATAACACTAGTAATACTGGGATGGTATAACACTGATGTAATACTTGGATGGTATAACACTGTAGTAATACTTGGATGGTATAACAGTGTAGAAATACTGGGATGATATAACACTGTAGTTATACTGGGGTGGTATAACACAGTAGTAATACTGGGATGGTATAACACTGATGGAATACTGGCATGGTATAACACTGACACAGCACCAGGATGGTATATGACTGAGATAACAGATGGTATATAGGTTGATACACTGAGAGAAGTACAGCACACACTGACAACATCAAACACAGTCTGAGAAGTCAATCCTTCAAGACCTGAGAAACTGAACATACTAAAGTCATCGTACGGAGGGGGTCTGTACAATAAGAGTTCAGTGTTTATACTGAAACGTTTGTCAACAGATGCTCCATACATATACACTGCATAGCTAGCAATAGTGAAGTGGATCATACAAATGAGTGGTGATATGATGGGCTGGCGTGATGCATGATAAACAAATGGGGTGGTGTTTTGGATAATTCACAGATGGGGTCGTGTAATGAGTACTTAATGGACTGAGCAGTGTGATGTGATGGATCATAAACATGGTGTGTTGGATAATTAACATTTGGGGTGGAGTGTTGGATAATTAACAGATGTGGTGGTGTGTTGGATAATTAACAGATGTGGTGGTGTGTTGGATAATTAACAGATGGGGTGGTGTGTTGGATAATTAACAGATGGGGTGGTGTGTTGGATAATTAACAGATGGGGTGGTGTGTTGGATAATTAACATATGGGGTGGTGTGGTAGATAATTAACAGATGTTGGTAATAGTGGTGTGTTGGATAATTAACAGATGGGGTGGTGTGTTGGATAATTAACAGATGGGGTGGTGTGTTGGATAATTAACAGATGGGGTGGTGTGTTGGATAATTAACAGATGGGGTGGAGTGTTGGATAATTAACAGATGTGGTGGTGTGTTGGATAATTAACAGATGTGGTGGTGCGTTGGATAATTAACAGATGGGGTGGTGTGTTGGATAATTAACAGATGGGGTGGTGTGTTGGATAATTAACAGATGGGGTGGTGTGTTGGATAATTAACAGATGGGGTGGTGTGTTGGATAATTAACAGATGGGGTGGTGTGTTGGATAATTAACAGATGGGGTGGTGTGTTGGATAATTAACAGATGGGGTGGTGTGTTGGATAATTAACAGATGGGGTGGTGTGTTGGATAATTAACAGATGGGGGGTGGTGTGTTGGATAATTAACAGATGGGGTGGTGTGTTGGATAATTAACAGATGTGGTGGTGTGTTGGATAATTAACAGATGTGGTGTGTGTTGGATGGATAAATAACAGATGGGGTGGTGTGTTGGATAATTAACAGATGGGGTGGTGTGTTGGATAATTAACATTTGGGGTGGAGTGTTGGATAATTAACAGATGGGGTGGAGTGTTGGATAATTAACAGATGGGGTGGTGTGGTAGATAATTAACAGATGTGGTGGTGTGTTGGATAATTAACAGATGGGGTGGTGTGTTGGATAATTAACAGATGGGGTGGTGTGTTGGATAATTAACAGATGGGGTGGTGTGTTGGATAATTAACAGATGGGGTGGTGTGTTGGATAATTAACAGATGGGGTGGTGTGTTGGATAATTAACAGATGGGGTGGAGTGTTGGATAATTAACAGATGTGGTGGTGTGTTGGATAATTAACAGATGTGGTGGTGCGTTGGATAATTAACAGATGGGGTGGTGTGTTGGATAATTAACAGATGGGGTGGTGTGTTGGATAATTAACAGATGGGGTGGAGTGTTGGATAATTAACATATGGGGTGGTGTGTTGGATAATTAACATTTGGGGTGGTGTGTTGGATAATTAACATATGGGGTGGTGTGTTGGATAATTAACAAATAAGGCAATAATCATTGAATTACAGGGTGGTGACAGGGTGGTGGGCAGGTACATGAACATGACTTGCCTGAACTGACAATTCAGCACTGACATGTTGTAACTTGTTAACTCAATACTGAAGCCATCCAGGGAGAAGTTGGTGACTTATACTGAATGGGGTTGTATCAGAGAAACATTCTCAGGTCTTGATGGCATAAGTGTTCAAAGATTAGTCAGGCAATAATTATTGAGTCAGTAGTATCAGCAAAGATGCACCAGCTGATTACCTGTCATTGGTATCTACGTCGCTGAAATAAACATGACATATATCTGAGCTACAGTATACAAACAGGTCCAGCACAGCCACCTCCCAGACCTGCTGCCCTGTCAACCCTCAACACTTCACTACAACACTGGGAATGATAAATATTCTTTGGTCATCATCACCAGCAAATCATTTCTCAGTTTGGTAATTTCTGTAACCATAACGATGAGTTTAAAAATATATTCTCACTCAGGATACCTCAAAATGATTAGTCATGCATCTGCTGCTATGAAGCATCTTTCAGTTGTATTGCCGAGTGACTTGTATTGTTTACAAACCCTATATGAAAACATAATGCATATGTTATACAGAACTCAACAGATCCTCTGTTTTAATGGATGTTAAAGAACCTATGTATTTTACCCTGTTTCTCGTAAAACATCAGAGCAAGATTCTGTGAGGCAGCTGTCCTGGGAATACGGTCTATATCAACACGGGTGTTGTATATATGTCAACAATGTTCTACAGTAAAACATGTACTATGTACAATCAAGCAAATAACATCAGCAGAAAACATCAAGTCTTGTGACATATAAGATACAGCTTAAATTTGGGATTACACTGCTGGGTGTCCCATCTGGGACTCGAACCCTCTAACCCACACTATGCCACAATTGTTTAAATCCAATAGCTATACGTTTGGAGCAATGAGCCTCATCCTTCCAACACTTGGTGTTTTCCTTGTAAACATGGTAACCCAGGAGACAACAATGTGATAAGAAAGGAACCGTTGAAATGAAAACAAAGTGATGTATAAGACGACACAATATCAACCGGTGTCAGAGAGGAGCAAATAAAAGAAATTCATCAAACAAAGTTGGCATCACATTTCTTATATGTAAATATTCAAGCTTATATAATCTATAAATGACTTGATAATATCATTCTGAAGATAAACAAATATTTTTATGTAAATTACATACATAGCTATATGTAGAGGTATTGTTTCTGGGAGACATTTTCCGGTGTTACTGTTTTACTGATCCCTTGGTGGGCATCCTGGCATGCCAACCCTGCTTGATACAAACCAAACAACGTTGACGACCGACGAGACACCGTCACCACAGGCTGCTTTAACTATGTCACTTACTTTACGGTGTTGTGGCCAATCGCGGACACCAGTTTGGGTTTCTCTGGTTCGCCATACCTGCTCAACTCGGGATATGATGATGATGATGAGAGTACTCGTCCACGAGGCTGTGGCATGCCGTCACTGCGCCTCATCACAACACCTCCAATGTCCTCCTTCCACTTCTCCTCTTCAATGTTCCGGATAATGTCCGTGTCGCTCGATGCCCGATGACAGCCAAGATTAGACTTAATAGAGGTACTTATATCTAAATGCTCGTCTGATAAATGTATTTTCTCACCAGGATTGGATTTTGCATACTCTTCTTTAAGAAGTTCAAGAATTGATATTTTACTACTACTGCAGTTTTCAGATACAACTGAAGCAGTATCCGTGTTGTCTACAACGATGACGGATGTGACGTCACTTTTCATGTTTAAACCACTGTCTTTTGACACAGTTGACACAGTCTCGGCCACAGTGGCTCCATCTTGTAGTGAGATTTCACTTCCTAAGGCACTATCCACCCCACTGGTGCCAAGAGCAGACTCTTGTACACTCGAGGCTACAGAGACTGGTTTTGTCTTTGACACTTCACCCTCTCGTGTGGCACCAGAATGTGATTCCATGAATTCATCGTACCCATTAGCAACATGAGCATCACTGTCTGGTTTGTCCTCACTATCAGAATCTACTGGAACTTTGTCTTCACTCTCTCCTAAAGCCTGACTTATTCCTTTCGCTAAACTGTCATAACATGTTTTATCAAAATCTAAAGTTTGTCGAACTGACTTCGTTGAGGTACCTGTAGAATTACACGAGTGATCTTTTGACCCCTGTGTCTCAGCTGACTTCGAACAATTAGCACTATCACTAGCAGAGGTGAAATCATCCTGTTTAGGTAAGTTCTGGCCGGATTGATGTGGAATGGGAGCAGTGTGAGACCTGTGTGCCGAGCGAGCACGGCTTGAAGCAGGTGCATTTCCGTTCTTCAGTGATAAATTGTGTTGAAGTGTTTCAAGAGTGTCGCCCCTATGTTTTGATAAATCAGTCAAGTCAGGTAGCGAGTTAACACTGGTCCTGCTCCAACAGGATCTCACAAACAAAGAAGGCATGGACACAGAATTGAAGGAGTAGGTTGAAGGACTTGCTAGATTCGGCTGGGACAACCCAGTTGCTGGACTGAGTGTACCCAGTTGAACGCCAACCGAGTCCAACTCAAATGGTTCTTTCTTCCGATACCCAACCAGTGTTACACCTTGAGCGTCTTTATTTGGAGTTGCCACAGCGCCCTTGGCATCACTGTGTACACTCAGCTCTGCATCGCTGCACGAGTACGATGAAGGTCGTCGAAAAGCTTCAGGTTTGATGTTTTTGATGAACTTTTTGCGTGACTTTACCCACGCTTTATTGGGGGAGGTGCCTTGATCACTGGTCTGCGAGTTGACGGTGGAACTTGAATCAGACTTGGTGACTTTTTCTTTCTCCTTCTCCTCCTCAGTTTTCTGACGGATAATGGTACTCTTCCTCTTAGCCAGTTCTGTGAGAAAACAGCATGTTAGGAGAAACAACATTTGCTATGAGAACAGATGCTATGATTATATACAAGCTGGTTTAGCAGTGAGTGAATGAATCCTGTTAGTCACCAACATGCTAGGCTGTAGTCTGAGGCAACTTCATCTGTCATCAGACAACCAAGAAGCTGTCAGTTTTCATATCAGACAAGCAGCTGTCCAAGATATTTGTACTACCTATTTCTTTAAAAAAATATGTCTTACTTGGGAATCATGTCAGCTACACTGTGCCACAAAATCCAAGCCCTTGGTTAACTAACCTCTGTTTTGAACAGTATTTTGTATTCTTATTGACTTAATGTGAGAAAAGACTAAGCAAGAGTTATTATCAGACACAATTCTGGCAAACACATTACACCACTGGGAGGACTGACTGACTGAGTTTGGTTTTACGCCGCTTTTAGCAATATTCCAGCAACATCACGGCTGGGGACACCAGAAATGGGCTTCACACATTGTACCCATGTGGGGATTCGAACCCGGGTCTTCGGCCCATTGGGAGGAAGTCATTGAGGTCAATGAAAGAACATCCCTGTGAACTATATCATGCAATATTTAATATTGCTGTTTTCATGGTTCAGTCTTTTGGTTAATGCTAGAGATCTACAGAGCTGATCAGTGTTGCTATGGTTACCATATGAGTTCTGCCACTGGTCGTGGTAGATGTCCTCGAAGATGATGGGCAGGGAGGTGAAGTCTCCGTCCAGGTCTGCACACTCCACAGGCAGGGATGGAATGCTTTGGAAATACACTGAGTTCTTCACTAGGCTGGCCAGGTCAGCGTGGCCGTGGATGCTGCAGCAATAGGAGGGAACATACAGACCATAACCCACCTCCCGTTGTTGCTGGGAGTCATGACACACAGACAAGTCCACACCACCCCAACCCACCTCTCATTGTTGCTGGGAGTCATGACACACAGACAAGTCCACACCACTAACCCAACCCACCTCTCATTGTTGCTGGGAGTCATGACACACAGACAAGTCCACACCACTAACCCACCTCCCATTGTTGCTGGGAGTCATGACACACAGACAAGTCCACACCACTAACCCACCTCCCATTGTTGCTGGGAGTCATGACACACAGACAAGTCCACACCTAACTAACCCACCTCCCATTGTTGCTGGGAGTCATGTCACACAGACAAGTCCACACCACTAACCCAACCCACCTCTCCCATTGTTGCTGGGAGTCATGACACACAGACAAGTCCACACCACTAACCCACCTCCGTTGTTGCTGGGAGTCATGACACACAGACAAGTCCACACCACTAACCCAACCTCCCATTGTTGCTGGGAGTCATGACACACAGACAAGTCCACACCACTAACCCCACCTCCCGTTGTTGCTGGGAGTCATGTCACACAGACAAGTCCACACCACTAACCCAACCCACCTCCCGTTGATTGCTGGGAGTGATGTCACACAGACAAGTCCACACCACTAACCCACCTCCCGTTGTTGCTGGGAGTCATGTCACACAGACAAGTCCACACCACTAACCCAACCCACCTCCCGTTGATTGCTGGGAGTGATGTCACACAGACAAGTCCACACCTCTAACCCACCTCCCGTTGTTGCTGGGAGTCATGACACACAGACAAGTCCACACCACTACAACCCACCTACCGTTGTTGCTGGGAGTCATGTCACACAGACAAGTCCACACCACTAACCCACCCACCGTTGTTGCTGGGAGTGACAAGTCACACAGACAAGTCCACACACACAGACTAACCCACCTCCCATTGTTGCTGGGAGTCATGACACACAGACAAGTCCACACCACTAACCCACCTCCCGTTGTTGCTGGGAGTCATGACACACAGACAAGTCCACACCACTAACCCACCTCCCGTTGTTGCTGGGAGTCATGACACACAGACAAGTCCACACCACTAACCCACCTCCCATTGTTGCTGGGAGTCATGACACACAGACAAGTCCACACCACTAAACCCACCTCCCGTTTGTTGCTGGGAGTGATGACACACAGACAAGTCCACACCACTAACCCACCTCCATTGTTGCCGTTGTTGCTGGGAGTCATGACACACAGACAAGTCCACACCACTAACCCACCTCCCGTTGTTGCTGGGAGTCATGACACACAGACAAGTCCACACCACTAACCCACCTCCCGTTGTTGCTGGGAGTCATGACACACAGACAAGTCCACACCACTAACCCACCTCCCATTGTTGCTGGGAGTCATGACACACAGACAAGTCCACACCACTAACCCAACCTCCCGTTGTTGCTGGGAGTCATGACACACAGACAAGTCCACACCACTAACCCACCTCCCGTTGTTGCTGGGAGTCATGACACACAGACAAGTCCACACCACTAACCCACCTCCCTTTGTTGCTGGGAGTCATGACACACAGACAAGTCACACCACTAACCCACCTCCCGTTGTTGCTGGGAGTCATGACACACAGACAAGTCCACACCACTAACCCACCTCCCGTTGTTGTTGCTGGGAGTCATGACACACAGACAAGTCCACACCACTAACCCACCTCCGTTGTTGCTGGGAGTCATGACACACAGAGTCACACCACACACAGACAAGTCCACACCACTAACCCACCTCCCCGTTGTTGCTGGGGTCATGTCATGACACAGACAAGTCCACCACTAACCCTAACCACCTCCGTTGTTGCTGGGAGTCATGACACACAGACAAGTCCACACCACTAACCCACCTAACCCACCTCCCGTTGTTGCTGGGAGTCATGACACACAGACAAGTCCACACCACTAACCCACCTCCGTTGTTGTTGGGAGTCATGACACACAGACAAGTCCACACCACTAACCCACCTCCCACCTTGTTGCTGGGAGTCATGACACACAGACAAGTCCACACCACTAACCCACCTCCCATTGTTGCTGGGGTGGGAGTCATGACACACAGACAAGTCCACACCTCACACCACTAACCCACCTCCCGTTGTTGCTGGGAGTCATGACACACAGACAAGTCCACACCACTAACCCACCTCCCGTTGTTGCTGGGAGTCATGACACACAGACAAGTCCACACCACCTAACCCACCTCCGTTGTTGCTGGGAGTCATGACACACAGACAAGTCCACACCACTAACTAACCCACCTCCCGTTGTTGCTGGGAGTCATGACACACAGACAAGTCCACACCACTAACACCCACCTCCCATTGTTGCTGGGACAAGTCCACATGTCACACCCACCAGACAAGTCATGACACACACCTCTAACCCACTAACCCACCTCCGTTGTTGCTGGGAGTCATGACACACAGACAAGTCCACAGCACTAACCCACCTCCGTTGTTGCTGGGAGTCATGACACACAGACAAGTCCACACCTCTAACCCACCTCCGTTGTTGCTGGGAGTCATGACACACAGACAAGTCCACACCTCTAACCCACCTCCCATTGTTGCTGGGAGTCATGACACACAACCCACAAGTCCACACCACAGACACCCACCTCTAACCGTTGTTGCTGGGAGTCATGTCACACAGACAAGTTCCACACCACTAACCCACCTCCCATTGTTGCTGGGAGTCATGTCACCACAGACAAGTCCACACCACTAACCCACCTCCCGTTGTTGCTGGGAGTCATGACACAGACAAGTTCACACCTCTAACCCAACCCACCTTTTTCCTCCACGTTATTGTCAAAGTTGATGGCTCCTCCCTTTCTCATCCTCACGTTGTTGCTGGGGTCCTGTGTGGTCTTCCACACTGTGTGATGTTCCTCCCTACTTGTCCTGGGGTCATGTCCTGTGCAGTGCTCCTCCTCCACGTTGTCCTGACTTGTGTTTCCTCCCCCTGTTCATGTGGTCCTGGGCTGTGTGACCTTTCCTCTCACGTTCCTTTCTGTCTGTGTGCCACGTTTCCACCTCCTCAGTCCCTGTCTGTGTTGTGTCCTTCTGTGTCATGTTCTGTGGGGTCATGTTCCTCCCCCACTCATCCTGGACTGTGTGTGTTCCTCCAGTCCGCTCATCCTGACTGTGTGATGTTCCTCCCCTTGGACTCATCCTGACTGTGTGATCCTCCTGTGGTCCTCCTGTATCTCTCCTGTGATCCATGTGTCCCATGTGTCCTCCCCCTAGCCTCATCTGACTGTGGGTGCCTCCTCCACTGGTCCTGACTGTGTGTGATCCTCCTCCCTACTCATCCTGACTGTGTGTGATCTCCTCCCCCACTCATCCTGTGTGGTGTTCCTCCTACTCATCCTGACTGTGTGGTCTCCCTCCCTACTGTGTCCTCTCCTCCATGACTGTGTGGTGATTCCTCCCTACTCATCCTGACTGTGTGTTGTTCCTCTTTCCTGACTGTGTGATGTCTCCTCCTACTCATCCTGACTGTGTGTGTCCTCCTCCCATCATCCTGGACTGTGTGATTCCTCCCTCATCCACTGTGTGTGGTCCTATGTGTGTGGTCCTCCCACTACCATTCCTGACTGTGTGGTGTTCCTCCCCCTACTCATCCTGACTGTGTGTCCTCCTCCTACTGGTCTGACTGTGTGGTGTTCCTCCACGTTTCCTGTGTGGTCAGATTCCTCCACTGTGTGACTGTGTGTCCTCCTCCCTACTCATCCTGACTGTGTGTGTTCCTCCCCATCCTGGGACTGTGTGATGTGTCCTCCTCCTACTCATCCTGACTGTGTGTGTGTTCCTCCCCTCCTGGTGTGTGTGATTCTCCCCTACTCCTGTGACTGTGTGATGTTCCTCCCCACTCATCCTGACTGTGTGTGGTCCTCCCCTCCCTGATCCTGACTGTGTGTGGATGCCCCATCCTGTGTGATGGTCCTCCACTCCTGTGTGTGTCCTCCTCCCTGACTGTGTGTTCCTGTGTGTGGTCTCCTCCTGGTCCTGTGTGTGTCCCTACTGATCCTGTCTGTGTGTGTGCTCCTCCCCTACTGGTCCTGACTGTGTGATCCTCCTCCTCCTACTCATCCTGACTGTGTCATTGCTCCTCCCCTACTCATCCTGACTGTGTTCCTCCCCTCTGACTGTGTGCTCCTCCCCCTACTCATCCTGACTGTGTGTGATGTTCCTCCCCCTACTCATCCTGACTATGTGTGGTCCTCCCCCTACTCATCCTGACTGTGTGTGATGTTCCTCATCCTCCACTGTGATGCTCCTCCTCTACTGATCCTGACTATGTGATGCTCCTCCCCCTACTGATCCTGACTGTGTGATGTTCCTCCCCTACTCATCCTGACTGTGTGATGTTCCTCCCCTACTCATCCTGTCTGTGTGATGCTCCTCCCCCACTCATCCTGTCTGTGTGATGCTCCTCCCTACTCATCCTGACTGTGATGCTCCTCCCCCTACTCATCCTGTCTGTGTGATGCTCCTCCCCTATGTATCGCCTCTGTGTGATGTTCCTCCCCCTATTTATCCCTCTGTGTAATGCTCTTCCCTATTTATCCTGTGTGATGCTCCTCCCTATTTATCCCTCTCTGTGTGATGCTCCTCCCCATTTATCCCTCTGTGTGATGCTCCTCCCCTATTTATCCTGCCTGTGTGATGCTCCTCCCCTATGTATCGCCTCTGTGTGATGCTCCTCCCCCATTTATCCCTCTGTGTGATGCTCCTCCCCTATTTATCCTGTGTGATGCTCCTCCCCTATTTATCCCCTCTGTGTAATGCTCCTCCCCTATTTATCCTGTGTGATGCTCCTCCCCTATGTATCGTCTCTGTGTGATGCTCCTCCCCTATTTATCCCCTCTGTGTAATGCTCCTCCCCTATTTATCCTGTGTGATGCTCCTCCCCTATTTATCCTCTCTGTGTGATGCTCCTCCCCTATGTATCGTCTCTGTGTGATGCTCCTCCCCTATTTATCCCCTCTGTGTAATGCTCCTCCCCTATTTATCCTGTGTGATGCTCCTCCCCTATTTATCCCCTCTGTGTAATGCTCCTCCCCTATTTATCCTCTCTGTGTGATGCTCCTCCCCTATTTATCCCTCTGTGTGATGCTCCTCCCTATTTATCCCTCTGTGTAATGCTCCTCCCCTATTTATCCCCTCTGTGTAATGCTCCTCCCCTATTTATCCTCTCTCTGTGATGCTCCTCCCCTATTTATCCTCTCTGTGTGATGCTCCTCCCCTATTTACCCCTCTGTGTGATGCTCCTCCCCTTCTGGTCCTGTCTGATGTGATGCCCTTCCCCCTACTAACCCGTGCTGTATGATGCTCCTGGGCGAGGTATTCCTGGATCTTGGGCCTGAGGGTGACCACCTCAAGGAATTGGTTCCACAGGATAACGTTCTCGGCACACAGCTGGGTGATGTCAGTGATCACTGTCTGTAGCATGTCATCCTCATCGTCCAGATGCTGACAACATACAGAGTGGCATACAAGGTGGCATACAGGTCACATACAAATGTGGCATACAGTCACATACAAGGTGGCATACAGGTCACATACAGGGTGGCATACAGGTCACATTCAAGGGTGGCATACAGGTCACATACAGGGTGGCATACAGATCACATACAGGGTGGCATACAGGTCACATACAAGGGTGGCATACAGGTCACATACAGGGAACATACTGGCATACAAGGGTGGCATACAGGTCACATACAAATGTGGCATACAGGTCACATACAAGTTGGAATACAGTCACATACAAATGTGGCATACAGGTCACATACAAGGTGGCATACAGTCACATACAAATGTGGCATACGGGGCGACATACAGGTCACATAAAAATGTGGCATACAGGTCACATACAAGGGTGGCATACAATCACATACAAATGTGGCATACGGGTCACATACAGGGTGGCATACAGGTCACATACAAGGGTGGTATACAGGTCACATACAGGGTGGTATACAGGTCACATACAAATGTGGCATATAGGTCACATACAAGGTGGCATACAGTCACATACAAATGTGGCATACGGGGTGGCATACAGGTCACATAAAGAGTGGCATACAGGTCACATACAGGGTGGCATACAGGTCACATATGGGGCGGCATACAGGTCACATACAAGGGTGGCATACAGGTCACATTCAAGGGTGGCATACAGGTAACATACAAATGTGGCATACAGGTCACATACAAATGTGGCATAAAGGGTGGCATACAGGTCACAAACAAGGTGGCATACAGTCACATAGAAATGTAGCATAAGGGGCAGCATACAGGTCACATACGGGGCGGCATACAGGTCACATACAAGGGTGGCATACAGGTCACATACAGGGGTGGCATACAGGTCACATACAAGGGTGGCATACAGGTCACATACAAGGGTGGCATACAGGTCACATACAAGGGTGGCATACAGGTCACATACAGGTCACATACAGGGTGGCATAAAGGTCACATACTAGGGTGGCATACAGGTCACATTCAAGGGTGGTATACAAGGGTGGCATACAGGTCACATACAAGGGTGGCATACAAGGGTGGCATACAGGTCAGATACAAGGGTGGTATACAGGTCACATACAAGGGTGGCATACAGGTCACATACAAGGGTGGCATACAGGTCACATCACACAAGGGTGGCATACAGGTCATATGATGAGGACACATGTTACATACAAATACATGTCACATAGAAACAATGTCATACAGGTTGCATACACAAATAGACAGGTCTCCTACATGTGACATACCAACATATGTCTTCTACATGTGACATACCAACATACGTCTCCTACATGTGACACACCAACATACGTCTCCTACATGTGACATACCAACATACGTCTCCTACATGTGACATACACAAACACGGGTCACAGACACACTTCATGTAAAGTTCATGTCATGTACGGGTCATATGAGCAGGTTCCATACACACATATTGGTTACATAAGTAAGACATAAATCAATGCAAGTACATTCACACCTGTGTTTCACACTCACTCACTCTGCCAACTATGAACCAGGGTTGAGGAGTACTTGTGGTTCACTTTGAGAGAACTGACATGGATGGTACACAATAGCTTGCCAGGTGCACCATGCAATACCATCCATGGCTATAGCCAGCATCTCTCAAACCTTCTACTCACCAATATATTGATGAGGACTTTTTCTAATCTCGCATGACAGTCTTTTGGTTCTGAAAGAAGAGACATATTTCTTAGTTGTTATAGCTAGAATACATACATGGCACTGGCAACAGATGATGAACTCACATACATGAGACATGGTTTCCAGGAAACAGGACTTCTATAAGTTGACGTAGCAAATAAATGACAATAAAAGTTTATTTAACCTTTTGTTGTGTTTGCACAGTGTATGAAATAAGGCCTGTCCAACTGCCTGAGACGGGCTAGATTTCTGATGGACTAAATTTACAGCTAGTCAGCCCGATGGTCTGGTAAAAACTTTAGATGTTCCATACATCTGAGTAAATTCACCATATCTTGGTGTCTGGTCTGGTTAAATCCGTTTTGTCTGGCTGTGTTTTTGGCTTATTTCATACACTGCTTACAGTGTTTTTACAGTCATCTCTGTGTCAAGTACATCATCTGGAACAAGTGATGACAAGTAGCAGCATGAGACTTGAGACTGTCTTACCAAGTTTGAAGTTGGTTGAAGCTGGCATTTTGTTGAGGTACATCATGAGGTGAGACTGCAGACTCTCATACGAGGATAGGAGGATGTTGCAGATGAGTTTATGGGTGAGATGGGCCTGTTGCTTCCTTGTAACGTTCGGGGACGGCGCCTAGAAGGATTCAACTCGTTATTGAAAGGAACCATAACTGCCTGGTGGCATCTTCATCATACTGAGAGGTTTTGTTATTCTAATTATGACTTCTCGGGCCATCTTCCTGGAGTGGGCTGTTACTTTAGCAGAAGTATAATAATAGTTTTAATCTTATTAAAAATTTCGTTGTCCTGGAAATTGATTCTTGGTATGAAATCCCATCTTTATAACAGATAGACTGAAACATGTTTGCAAGTATCTCATTTTTTTTGTTCTACTGAAGGTGAATTTCTGACACTCACTCACTCTGACATCCTTACTGCTGTAACTAATGCCAGATAAATAAGGTCAATAAATCAAACTCTGCTTGATGTATAGGTTCACAAACATAACTGGTCAGATGTTGAAGGACTACACTTAAACATGGGCTAGGTGACAGGTTTTCATAAACACAATCTGATCAAATACGAGAATTCAAGGGTATTCCCTGGTTTTCAACGAGGCACTCCCTTGCTAGTCTGAAACCCATTTGGTTGGGTGGATGACACCAATGGGCATCCGGTGATAATGCAGGCTAATTAAAATGGTGCCGCCTGGATGACTTAAGATTGGAGTTTATTTCCCTTTAAACTGCCAATACTGTACAGAGTGTTTAGAAAAAGCTGGTATTGACCTACCCCTGTGGGAGGTCGCTGACCGAAGTACACTGCCTCCAGGGTAGACTGGTCAGCACACTTGTTGGCCCAGGCTGTCTTCGGGGGGCGAGGCATGCTGGGAAACAACATACAGGTACATTTAGTGGCTGAGGCATAGGTATACACAGCTGCTTGAGAGATGGCAGGTGTATAGTGATATAGTCAGATCTGCACCTGTTTGAGAGATGGCAGGTGTACAGTGATATAGTCAGATCTACACCTGCTTGAGAGATGGCAGGTGTATAGTGATATAGTCAGATCTACACCTGCTTGAGAGATGGCAGGTGTATAGTGATATAGTCAGATCTACACCTGCTTGAGAGATGGCAGGTGTATAGTGATATAGTCAGATCTACATCCATGCCCCCCTTGTGAGCAGTGAACAACTTATATTATACACCTACTTGAGATATGGCTATATAACTTGTTACACGCCTGCTTGGGATATGGCTATATAACCTGCTATATACCTACTTGAGATATGGCTATATAACCTGTCATACACATACTTGAGATATGGCTATATAACCTGTCATACACCTACTTAAGATATGGTTATATAACCTGTCATACACATACTTGAGATATGGCTATATAACCTGTCATACACCTACTTAAGATGTGGCTATATAACCTGCTATATACCTACTTGAGATATGGCTTTATAACATGTCATACACATACTTGAGATATGGTTATATAACCTGTCATACACCTACTTAAGATATGGCTTTATAACCTGCTATATACCTACTTGAGATATGGCTATATAACCTGTCATACACATACTTGAGATATGGCTATATAACCTGTCATACACCTACTTAAGATATGGTTATATAACCTGTCATACACATACTTGAGATATGGCTATATAACCTGTCATACACCTACTTGAGATATGGCTGTATAACCTGTCATACACCTACTTGAGATATGGCTATATAACCTGTCATACACCTACTTGAGATATGGCTATATAACATGTCACACACCTACTTGAGATATGGCTATATAACCTGTCATACACCTACTTGAGATATGGCTATATAACATGTCACACACCTACTTGAGATATGGCTATATAACCTGTCATACATATACTTGAGATATGGCTATATAACCTGCCATACACCTACTTGAGATATGGCTATATAACATGTCACACACCTACTTGAGATATGGCTATATAACCTGTCACACACCTACTTGAGATATGGCTATATAACCTGTCATACACATACTTGAGATATGGCTATATAACCTGTCATACACATACTTGAGATATGGCTATATAACCTGTCATACACCTACTTGAGATATGGCTATATAACCTGTCATACACCTACTTGAGATATGGTTATATAACCTGTCATACACCTACTTGAGATATGGTTATATAACCTGTCATACACCTACCTGAGATATGGCTATATAACATGTCATACACCTACTTGAGATATGGCTATATAACCTGTCATACACCTACTTAAGATATGGCTATATAACCTGTCATACACCTACTTAAGATATGGTTATATAACCTGTCATACACATACTTGAGATATGGCTATATAACCTGTCATACACCTACTTAAGATATGGCTATATAACCTGTCATACACATACTTGAGATATGGCTATATAACCTGTCATACACCTACTTGAGATATGGCTGATGAATGGCGATGAGGGTTCCATGTATGCTGACCTCGATGGTGGAGAGATGGAAGTAGTCAAACAAGATGGGGACATGGTGGTGCACCCCCTTGGTGGGCTGGAAGTGCAGCTGCAGGGTGCGGACACTCACACACTCCATCTTGTCCTGTAGCACTGACCTGAAACACACACCACGACAAAACTGAGACTTTTGTGGAACTGGTGTACAAATAGGTTTGGGCATAAAATAGTCACCAGGCTCTGTAGCTCACCTGAACAGCGGAGATAGTTTTATTCCACTAAATTGAAAATTTTAATATAAATTGTATATTTATATACTTATCCTATCTCACGGTATGCACTTCTCTCTCTTGATTCGACACTGAGTGGAACGATGTAAACTTTTTCCCTAGGCCTCTCTTGTCCATCCGCCCAAGCACTCCATGCTACCCTCACTATAAGACAGCTTCCTAGCTCTCATGCAAAGCATGCGGCATGCACCACTAGCTGCCCATGTGACTATCTCCGAATTATCATTCTCATTCTTGGAGCCACTGGATAATATCCATCTTGAAGAATCTGCATAGCGGGGAGGATGGGCGGGAACCCGTCGTGTGAGACAGGATAATATAGAACAAACTTTATGGACAACAACTTCTTTTATTCATAAGTGCGATGTTTCGATACAGATTCTTGTACCGTAATGGAACATGAAGAAGGGGGACGTATATATATACTGGATGTAACAATGCAACAAAGAAAACAACATAATTAACATAATTGGCTAAGCAGAAAGCTGATGAAGCCAGAGAGTAGACAAAGGACAGGCGTGGAAGCCAATGATGTACAAATAATAATGAGATGTTTATACAGCAGAGTTTATACAGTAGATTGGGCTTGGTGGATGAGTGCATCATAAGCGGATGGAATGAAGTATCCTTGGTCTCTGGCTTCATCAGCTTTCTGCCTAGCCAATTATGTTAATTATGTTGTTTTCTTTGTTACATCCAGTATATATATACTTCCCCCTTTTTCATGTTCCATTATGCTAGACAACGGTACAAGAATCTGTATCGAAACATCGCACTCACAAATAAAAGAAGTTGTTGTCCATAAAGTTTGTTCTATATTGTACTTCCCAACTTCTAAAATGCCACTCAAAGAAGAGATAGGATAAGTATATAAATATACAATTTATATTAAAATTTTAAAACTTATCCTCTCTCACTGTATGCACTTATCCCACGATCGGACGGGGGGACGCAGATACCCTGTGTCTTGACAGTGCAAACAGCAGGAACTGTGTAGACTGGAAACGACCGTAGATAGCGATGCACAAGGGAGGCCTGTTACGATGCACGCAACTCCTATGCTTGTGCTGAGTTCTCTTGAACTCCTTGGCTTACTAAGCACAACGTCTCCCAGGGAGATGGGTGCTACCGAGCGATGTGGTGTTCGACAGCAAACTCCGAAGAAGGACGCAGCTCAGCGAGAAAGGATGTCACTTCGCCATGATGTTTAAGCCCCCCCCCCCCCCAAATTAAAGTCGGTTGACAATAATCGGACCAGCCCCTGCTTCGAGAAGACCCCCGACCAGGGACGGGTGAAAGCTGAATGTAGTAAGTAGAGCATCTGGTATCTTGCTCAAGATAGCTGTATATGAGAGTGAGTGAGTGAGTATGATCTTACGCCGGATAGCTGTAGCTGTAACCAAGTGACCATGTGTGTCGACTGAACCAACATTATACATTATTTCTGTACCTTAAAGGCGGCATGGTTCGGCAATGCTGGCTGTTCGGTGAATACTGATGGTTCGGCTAACGCTGTTGGATCTGCGATCTGGCAAGGTTCGATGACCAGGATCGGTTAAGTGATCTGGCTCGGCGAGGTAAGATCTGAAACGGTACTATGATCCGGTTCTGGTGCGGCGACTCAGTTTGGCCCGACGAACTAGTTCGGTGATGAGCAGATCGATCTAGTTAACTAGTACGGGGATGTTGTAGTGAATCAGTTTGGCGATGTGGTTCGGTGGAGATGAGCCATTCTGTGCAGAAGAATTAGTTCGACGATATCGCTGCGAACCAGCCTGCCGAATCGGTTCAACGATGATACTTTGATGAGTTCAGTGAACCATGGGACGGCTAGTTAAGTTGAAAAACGTCGATTCAGCCCGAGTGTAGTCACCAAGTAAGAACCTTGCATTTATTGCAACGAGAGTCCCATTTACACTGTCCCATACAGTCAATACAATATCCATGTGGATCACTCACGGAGAACACTTTATTACACCGGGAGCATTTTCTTCTTTGGCTGGTTAACTTTCCCCATGTTGTAGACTAAGTTGAAAACGTTGAGCAAAGTACAATACGTCCACACTCGTGTGCGACAAGAAAGAGAATGATGATTCGGAGATAGTCACGTGGGCAGCTAGTGGTGCATTTTGCATGAGAGCTAGGAAGCTGTCTTATAGTGAGGGAAGCATGGAGTGCTTGGGCGGATGGCCTAGGGAAAAAGTTTACATCGTACCACTCAGTGTCGAATCAAGAGAGAGGAGTGCATACCGTGAGATAGGATAAGTTTAAAAATACCATATTTTGGTATGAACACCAAATGGGTTCCAGAAATTGTTGTGTAAAAGTTTTCGGAAAAATTATAGAAAAATATGTGACAGAATTCTTGCAACATTATTTACAAGATGTTCAGTTCTTACAGATTCTTGAGATTCCTTAACAAACTTGGGTCAAGAGCTCCTGAGAGTTTTGCAGGCCTTGGTCCTACTTTACCTAGACTAGGGAAAACTGACAAACTAGTGACAACTGCCCAAACATTGTCCCACTGTGGACTGTCAGGGCTTGCGTGAACTAGTTTCACTAATTCACCTGATGAAGGAGTAAGAACATACTTCTAAACGTCGTGACCCTTCACAATAAACAAGTTGTCATCCATAAACAACTCTTGTCTTCACTAATTTCTATGTTCAGTATTATGATTTACAATTTTCATATCGATAAGAACCAAATCATTTTTTTTTTTAGGCCTAATCATTAATACTTTTTCCAATCAACGATATTTCTGATTATCAATCTTTTCTCCAGCCCTAGATTGAACCACTTGTCAACGTCAAGTTTCCACTTGTTTCAACCGACAATGTAGCAAGCCAGTGGCAGTGAGCTGACATGTTTTACACCTACATTGATTTATTGCCATGACGGCAGTTTCAATTTGGTGACACCAACTAAAAATAGAACATAAATGTCAGGCCCTCCTACCTTTGTCAAATATATTCTGAAAAAAGCATGGATAATGGTGACATTGTAGGATTTTAGATGAGGAATCTGGTACCTTCTGGGATACCATAGTTGAAACTTTCATGGCATGCTTCAGATTTAGCCTTGTACTTTCAGAAGGGACGTGGAAAAAGTACTGGTTGTAACATTAGTGACCAAAAACCCTATCATATGTTATTTAGAAATCCACATGCATCCAGCAGATAAAGATACTACCCAGTATGGTGGCACTATGTTTAAGTGGTCTCAAACTGAAAACACCACTAATAAATATGATGAAAGCCACTCGGGGGAGTACATCAATCATCAACCTCCCAGTCAGTTGTTCATGTCAGTCTTATTAATACTTGGGGACAAAGAAAGCAGTGATTGATAGGTAATAACCCACACAATCAGGGAAGCATTATTGGGACTGGGAGTAGGTACCGTGTTGTGTTGTGTCAGAAAACATCCCTACATCCTAACTATCATCCACTCACCCATTCTCCTCGTCTCCGAACCATAGCTCCACAGCCAACTGCAGGTCTAACCTCTCCAAACTGTCCAGCAGCTGCAACATGAGTGAGTGAGGGAGTCATACAACACAGCCAGCAATTCTCTAGTAATAGACCAGGCCTTATTGATTTGTTATACATAGGAACCCTTCCACCCCTGGACCAGCCCTTACTACTTCTGTATCTTGTATACCAGTAGTCTAGAGGAAACATGGTATATACCAGTAGTCTAGAGGAAACATGGTATATACCAGTAGTCTAGAGGAAACATGGTACATACCAGTAGTCTAGAGGAAACATGGTATATACCAGTAGTCTAGAGGAAACATGGTATATACCAGTAGTCTAGAGGAAACATGGTATATATCTAGAGGAAACATGGTATATACCAGTAGTCTAGAGGAAACATGGTATATACCAGTAGTCTAGAAGAAACATGGTATATACCAGTAGTCTAGAGGAAACATGGTACATACCAGTAGTCTAGAGGAAACATGGTATATACCAGTAGTCTAGAGGAAACATGGTACATACCAGTAGTCTAGAGGAAACATGGTATATACCAGTAGTCTAGAGGAAACATGGTATATACCAGTAGTCTAGAAGAAACATGGTATATACCAGTAATCTTCTTACCTTGGTACTGTCAACTGGGGTGTGTATCGTTACCTTGGTACCCATGAAAATCTGGGTTAGAATGAACCTTCAGTAACCCATGCTTGTCGTAAGAGGCGACTAACGGGATCAGGTGGTCAGGCTCGCTGACTTGGTTGACACATGTCATCTCATCCCAATTATGTAGGTGCTGTTGATCACTGTATTGTCTGGTCCATACTCGATTATTTACAGATCACCGCCATATAGCTGGAATATTGCTGAGTGTGGCATTAACCAACCAACCAACCAACCAACCAACCAACCAGCCAACCAACCAACCAGCCAACCTTACCTTGGTACTGTCAACTAAAGTGTGTATCCGGTACAAGAACACATCATTGACAGGCAGGTCCTCGTTGCGGTACAATATCTGGAACGTTTTGCTGACCGCAACATCATTGATAATGGTAGCTGATAGGCTCTGGTTACCTCCTGCAGGGAAAGGTTTTACTGACTCAACACATTTTACTTTCACTTGTCTCAACGCATTTTATTTTCACTGTCTTAACACGCGTTTAGGAAGAACCCGATACCACAGGCTATCATCAACAATGGGGGCAGAAGTCTGAGGGAGAGGCAGCAACAGGTCCCATGTAGATCTGTATTTATGGCACAGTGTGCTACAGTCAACATCACTATAGTCTGTCTGCAGTGAAAACGTACAGATGAATTTCACTTTAAACACAAAAGTAAATCAAATCCTATTTTACCTTGCCAATTGAACATAAAAATCTCAGAATTTTATTCAACTTAGGAAGAAAAGTTGTTTAACAAATGATCATAGTTTCAAATCGCTATTATTGGTTTGTACTATAAGGGGTATGCACATTAAATGAAACGCCGAGAACAAGAAGGTTTGGTTTCTACGGTAGTCTAAGTTAACGCTCATCACGCACCGCACATGCATTTGTTTCACTGTTCCAACTATTGCGAGTACCCCCTTGTAATACAAACCAATAATAGCGATTTGAAACTATGATCGTTTGTAAAACAACTTTTATCCTAAGTTGAAAAAAATTCCGATATTTAAATGTTCAATTGGCAAGGTAAAATTATGAGGATTCGCAATGTTAATTTCACTTTATTTGATTTACTTTTATGCTTAAAGTGTAATTCATCGGTACGTTTTCACTGCAGACAGACGATACCAGGAATTATGATCACAGAATTACTGAAGCAGGATGGGAGCAAAATGCTCATCTCACACCTGAAATATTCTGGGAGACAGGTGTTATTCCATGTAGCCAACAGTTGTGTGAGAATTTCAAGTCCATTCTGGTGGAAAGGACCATATGCTGTGTGGAACCCATAATGGGGACAAATATCTGTTACTCCAGTCCAGGGCTTAGATTTTCAAAGCTCTCTTAGCGCTAAGATAGTCAGAAGTGCCATACATTAACATTAACTTACTACTATCTTAGCGCTAAAAGAGCTTCAAAATCTAGGCCCTGAGACTTTGTTCTATAATGTACCATCTTCCCAACCCAACAAGATTCCCACTGACCCTGTCCTATATCACCTTCACCGTATTCCATAGGATCCATCTCACACAGTGTTACAACTTACCCTGACTGGCAGGGGACTTGGCGATGCTCACTTCTGTCTTGGCAGGGGCTTTGGGTGGAGTCTTCAGTGCACATCGTACTTGATAATAGCTGAAATAGTCCCATGTATAATGAATATATAATTTTCAAGTAAAATTGATATTTTTATACTTATCCTGACTCATGATCTTTTGCTTATCTCCCTTTTCCTTGCGAATGGTAGTGGAACACTTGAATCCCTTGAAGTTCCCGAAGTGGACGTAAAAATACACTCACCCACGAGTTACCTCCCTTTTCCTGCGTAAACAGTCATGTGACCAGCCTTACTTGTCACTCTCTCCTGATTTTTCTGCCCAAGCACTAGGATCTGCTGTGCAATCCGAAGTGTTTCCAGCGGGGAGGTTGGGAGGGCTTCTCGTCATGAGTCAGGATAAGTATAAAAATATCAATTTTACTTGAAAAATTACATGTTTTTTCTTAACCTGACTCATGATCTTTTGCTTATAGAATCAGAAGGATTGGTGGTGGGTCAAGCCACTTTGTGGATTCATCCGCTGTCCTTAGATACGTCCTGTATCCCCCCCATGGGAACTCTGAAACGGCATTTCCGTGATCCTATTCTTCCAACTTCCGTTATAACTCGGGGGGACCACTTTCTTGTCTTACTTCCATCTCAGACAAGTTGAATCATCTTGATTCATGTGGCTTAAGATATACTAGTATCTTCTTATTACCAGATATCTTATAACAACCCATAGATTATGATAACATCTTTATCATAAATGAGTTGCGACCCCTTCACGTACAGGTAAGATCTTTACCCATACAGGATCTTTAAACACTCATGCTAGTCTGTCCTAGACTGTGCGCATAGACTTTCAAACTAATACTTTTCCTTAGTAAAAGTTATCAACAAGTCAACGTGATAAAGGTTGAGATTTTCCAACTCAGCGCCTTTGAGGAACCGTTAGTTGCTGTGCTACAACGAGAGGCCCAAATCGGTGAATGCCTGAGACGTCTTCAGTGGCTATGTCTCGGAGGTAGTGGTTGGCAAACACCGTATTCAACTTCCAAAAGCAGCCCTCCATAATTGTTGGTATAGATCAATTTCGGTGCAGAGCCAATGTTAACGCCAGTGCTCTGAATTCGTGTGGGTTGGAAGCTCTAGGAGGTTCTAGTCCTGCTGCTTTATAGGCTCTCAATATGACGGCTCTCATCCTGAACGATATCGTCGTTCTTGAGACTTCTGCTGATGTCTCTGTGGATAATGGGATGAACAGGCGCTTGAATTTTCGTCTTTTGAAGATATATCTTCAGGGCTCTGACCGGACACAAGGATAGGTCCTTTATATCCTCTGGTCCGAGGATTGTAGATAGCGCTGGTACGTGGAACTGTCTATCTGGCTGACCAGGTAGTTGGTTCTTGGCAATGAAGTCCCATCTAAGTCCTAGATGAACTGCAGCATGTTGCCCCATGTCGAATCTGGTTCGACCAAAGTCCAGCGCATGTATCTCTGATATCTGAGCTGCCATGGCTAGAGCATATAAACCTCTTGAATAAGGGTTGCTCCAAATGTAAAATCTTGTTCAGTGATATAAATTACGTATTTCCATTGTGGATAATATAAGCCAGCATGACGAAGGAGGCTGTCGAGACGTATGTCTGTATGGATCTTGAAGAAATACCGATGTTGAATCTTGTTGATATGATATAAAATCCTAATCCCCACGCTGAGTGACGAGTGTTAATAATATCATATGTACGTTCGTTCAAGGATACTTGAAGGCGTTGTTAACCTTAAGCCCTTTACAAAGGTCGCCTTGAGGTTATCCAGTACTTGAGATATCGGCTTCATAGGTGATATCATATTGGAGTCGAAGTCATCAGCGTATATGCAGTACGTCTCTGTTGGGTTGGAGTGAGTGAGTGAACTACAATATCCACAGGCCATCTGATACCCGGTATAAGACCTCAGCATCCGTACAGATGAAGTGATTCCTTTCATCAAGTAGGTTGTCGTCCGAAACTGAACCTATACAGGTATAAGGTTTGTGCAGGTTGTAGAGTTGTGCAGGCTATAAACAGTAGAGATCGAACATGTTGCAGATCTTTTTGTTGAGTTTTAAACTCTGACAAAACCATCCGTTTTCATCATTGCTTCGTTTTATTCAGCCGTATGGTAATAGAGTCGACGTCAACATCCTGCCTGTTGATGTAAGGGTTTGTTTACCCTAGGGTTCGCGAACCCTGTAGATGTCTGCGTTGCTGTTATCTGCCTGTAGATCTGAGAGTTCTCGAACCTTGTAGATGTCTGCAGCTTTCTCAAAGCTGTGCGTAGGTCAGAAGGTACCTTGGATATAGGTTCAATCGGAGGAATAGTCACCGAGTCAAAGTCGTCATTACACATGTTATAAGTGTAGACTTCATCTATATCCTTAGAAGGAGACTCCAAGTTCAAACAATTGGCTATCCAAGCTGTAACCTCTGAGTCCGGGAAAACAAAGTCTGGTTATACATCAGTTATCTCCTGATCAGTAGAGCCATGCCTCCGCGAATCATCCTTCTGTGAACCTCTATCCCTTCTCGAACCTCCATCATCCTTTCGTGAACTGAAGATTCCTCCCTTCGCGAACGTCTATCTTGAGGGTCCTCTCTTCGCGAACCTCTATCTGTGGATTCATCTCTTCGCGAACCTCTGTGACGTGAGCCTACTCTTTGCGAACCTCTGTCGCTAGATGTATCCCTTCGCGAACCTCTGTGATGTGAGCCTTCTCTTCTCGAACCTCTGTCTTGTGATGAGTGACTTCGCGAACGTCTGTGAGAGATATGAGATCTCAATCTTGAACGGCTATGTGTAGGAGATGAATCCTTCGATGTTCTCGAACGATGAGGGTTCGCAGATGTAGAACGGTGAGTAGGCATCTCATATCTTCTATCCTCCTCCAAGATGACAAAGTCGTCAGACTGTGGAGACCTTCGCAAAAGTGTACTTTCACCAACGTAGTCTTGAGACGTAGTTCTATGTGGAGTAGGTTCGCACAGGTCCGTAGGTTCGCGCAGGTACGTAGGTTTGCGCACGGTGTCAGTAGATGAGAGGCTTCACCAAGCCTTCGCTTCTTCCTCGAACCTCCATTCCACCATAGCCTTCATCTGGTTGGTGAATTGTCTCATAATTTCACCCAGATCAAGTTCGGCGTTGATTGAAGCTGCTGCCGTGTAGAAGAAGCGTTCACGAACGCCGATGAGTTGTGTGCCTCAACTTCACTCCATTGAGAAGTTGGTGGTAGTTCGTCAAACAGCTGGCCTGCTGTGACCGTTGCAGGAGACGATCTGGTAGTCGTGGAAGTCGATTTGAGTCGCCGATCTCATAGGTCCTTCAGGTAGAAGTCTGCCTGACTGACTGAGTTTTAGTTTTACGCCGCTTTTAGCAATATTCCAGCAACATCACGGCGGGGGACACCAGAAATGGGCTTAACACATTGTGCCCATGTGGGGAATCGAACCCGGGCCTTCGGCGTGACGAGCCAACGCTTTAACCACTAGGCTACCCCACCGCCAGGTAGAAGTAACGGGGGATCATCAAAAAACGTCTACTTCATGCGGAGGTAATATCTCTTCGTTGAAGGATTTCTGATGCGTTGACTTACTAGGCCGCGTAGATTTACCCTCCGATATGGTAACAGATGGTTTCTTCTGCGACGTAGAAGAAGACAAGGTCTTTTTCTTAGCTTGAGTCGGAGTCAACTGCGTTGTAGCCGATCTCTTCTTGGCCCCCGTACCAGCAGACTGCCCCTGCAACGTACTCAACATAGCACCAGTATTACGAATCTCCGCAGTAGCAATCAACATACGGTTTGCAGGCTGATCTCCTGTTTCATCAGCCGTGATTTGAGATGACTTCCTCACCCGATCCATGGCACGTCTATAGATATAAGACAAATATTGATTAAACTGTAGATTTGATAAATCAACACAATAAGTACAGAGCAAGCTGGAAGAACATGGTTTTATGCATGAAAGCCATTGGGGGTGAGGAACAGCCACGGATAACCTGTGCCTGCAAACACTGCAAGATTTCATGAAATGTAAACAAAGTTACATAACGATGCAATTATGACACAAATACCAATAATTTTTACAATTTTTTAAAAATACAATACATAATAGTTATTGCCAAATCCATACACAGCGTAATTTTGAAGAATAGGACCTAAATAAAAAACATCCACTTGGGCGAAAAGGGAGAGAGTGACAAGTAAGGCTGGTCACATGACTGTTTACGCAGGAAAAGGGAGGTAACTCATGGGTGAGTGTATTTTTACGTCCGCTTGGGGAACTTCAAGGGATTCAAGTGTTCCACTACCATTCGCGAGGAAAAGGGAGATAAGCAAAAGATCATGAGTCAGGATAAGAAAAAAAACACAGTTAAAATGGATATCACTAATACAATTAACGTTACTAATACTAGGATCACCTGTTACTGTTACTGGGATCACCAATGACACTATCACTGTTACTGGGATCACCAATGACACTATGACTGGGATCACCAATGACACTATCACTGTTACTGGGATCACCAATGACACTATCACTGTTACTGGGATCACCAATGACACTATCACTGTTACTGGGATCACCAATGACACTATCACTGTTACTGGGATCACCAATGACACTATCACTGTTACTGGGATCACCAATGACACTATCACTGTTACTGGGATCACCAATGACACTATCACTGTTACTGGGATCACCAATGACACTATCACTGTTACTGGGATCACCAATGACACTATGACTGGGATCACCAATGACACTATCACTGTTACTGGGATCACCAATGACACTATCACTGTTACTGGATCGCCAATCACCAATGACACTATCACACTGGGATCACTGGGATCACCAATGACACTATCACTGTTACTGGACTGGGATCACCAATGACACATCACTGTTACTGGGATCACTGTTACTGGGATCACCAATGACACTATCACTGTTACTGGGATCACCAATGACACTATCACTGTTACTGGGATCACCAATGACACTATCACTGTTACTGGGATCACCAATGACACCATCACTGTTACTGGGA